TGCACATGAAATCTTTTGTCGATATTCTGATTTATTTTCATAAGAAAAAAAACTTTTTAACTGATAGTTGTGAAGAAAATACTGTCAGAAAAATATATAGAAAAAAGCGTGTGAGGCTCTATCAGGGATGTTTTTGTATTAAGAACCACCCATTGATATGTTATTGTAGAAAATCAGTTTGCCTTATGTATAAAGAGTTTTTGATAAGATTCCTATACTTTAAATGGGCTTTTATCTGATATCCTATTGCTAGACTAAAGTAATTCAGAGAGTTTGGCCTCACAAATTCAGGTACAGTTCATATTTTCAACCTTACTTGCTTGTTCCCCTGCAGTCATTTGGTTTGATGGACGTGTGTCACAATGGAAGAGTCTATTTTGTAGGGTAGCTAGTTAGCTGTTATCTGTAATCGTAGCTTGATACCCTAATGATAAGACACTATAACTGCACTAGTTTGCATCCTAATTACCTTAATAGCTCATAGTTTTACATAAAGTGATTAATCTTCTCCTTTGGCGGTAATATTTGGGTCAGAATGGTGCCAAACTATCATGGCTTCTCACCTATGGTGAGACTGACCCAAGTGCCAGCAAAATTTTCATTTTTGTCATGCTCTGTAAAGCTGACACGAAACATCAATATCCATAGCTAGGTGATTAATGATCATGTAACCAAACAAAAACTCAACAATTTGAGGCGGCTGCTCCTAGTAAATTCAGTCCTATCTATTACTGCCGTCAAATAACTTTTATGTAGCGGAACTCGGTTGAATTGTATAAGGGATAAATGAGAGAGCACCTGGGTCGGGCTAGTTATAAGAGCTACCTTTAGAAACTTGAGCGGGAGTGGAATGATAGTATATATTTCCACAAAACAATTTCTTTAGGTCTTATTCTGACACTTTTAGGTGACAACTTTGTGAGGTAATCCCACACCTTTCATGTGAAAATAAAACTGTTGAAATATTACCTACATGGTTGTGTTGTTTTGATGAGAAATCCTGATGACATATTCAATAGATCGTTTTTGTGCTGCCCCCATTATTTTTTTTTAAAAAAAAAAACCCAAAAAACAAATCCCACAGTTCCTAAACTTGTTCTTAACCCCACAACTACATCAGTGAAAGCGGTTGTTTTACTGCTATTTCATAATATTAACTAACTTGCAACATTTCAATCATATGGTACAAGTTTTATCTATCACAAAATACATTAGCGCTCACACAAATATTCGTTATTTGTATTCAAATAGTTTGTCATGGCTATTTGAATAGATTTTTTAGAATTCATTATTCAATGTCAATTCCAAATTCCAAAAAATTAAATTTATTCAGTTTTTGTCCCCTGTATGAAATATGTAGTAATATTGATCAATGAAATGAACCAATTTTAAAAATAAACAGACATGGAAAGTGGTAAAAACACACCAAAAATAATGCAAACACTGATAAGTTAAATTTAAACTGATATTGAAATAGGATTAGAAAAATCAAATCATACAATCACATTTCTTGTGACATAATCGCGAAAATCAATGACCCTAAACTTTTAATTGTTTTTGGTGCGGTTTTTGCAAACAAATTCTAACACTGAAATTTCGGTATTGACAACAGTCCGAGTCATCGTTATTTTCTAGAACATTGTTCAGTAATTAAACGCCCAATGTGCCATTTTCATTTTTGCTAAAATATCACATTTCTCATGGCTTAATACATGTTAAATTATTTAACATTTAATTAGGAAATCAAAATCAAAATGCCAACCTTAGAAAATCGCCTGTCTTGGATTCAATCAGATTTAAACTTAACCCATCAGAGGGCAGCGTCTTGTTACGCTCGAACAGCATAGATACAATTTATCGTAACTTTGTAAATACTGATATTACCATTAAACTTTCACAGTACCAGTATTGTAGTTTACAAGGGATTCCTATGGTGTGAAATGTTAAACATGTTAGGAAATATATGATAAACATGTTACCATTACAATGCATGTATTCATTTCATAACATTCTGTGTATCCCCAAGGCATATCCAGGGGACCTAATTCTAATAAGGGTAGGTGGTAAATGTGGGTCATATGGAAAAACGCAGAGCATTTCCCAGATTATGTAACAGTTTAAAATGCTTGAAGTGATGCCAAAAATAAAGTTTTATGTATAATATACTGGATCAATCCACAAAATTGTCTAATTACGTCAGCTAGTATTTTTTAAAAGGAATTCCAGATAGCATGACACTGTCTACAACAATCGACCTGTTATAATATAATAGTGCCCCGTTCAGGTGCAAAGTCATACTTTGGTAATTTAGTTTATTACTGATATTTTATAATCATATGTGTACATATTTCTAGGGCAAGGTAGCCAATATTGCCTATCAATTCATTATTCAAAGCATGATTTGGTGGAATCCATGTGGATTCGGATTACAGAAGCGAATTCGAAGATTCAAAAGTATGTTTAGTTTTGCCAACGTCAAAGAAATGGAAACTTTTATATTCCGATATTCATATGTATAAATATAACTTAAGGCTATTTGTATAGCTATGAATAATAATTTTATTACATGATTTGCTGATTGGTCTTGGGTAACTATGGTAAGAGTGACAGGTTACAGTAGTTAGTTACTGAAGTAACCTAGTAACCAGTTCTGGAAATAACGATTTTAGTTGTACCTGATGAAATGTCAGGCACAACTGAACTAGAACCTAACATTCTGAACTTGACGTGTGCAACATGTCTTATGGATATCAAGAAACACACTGAAAAAAAAAAAAAAAAAAAACTAGAGAAAAAATGACAGGCAGCAAAGAAATATTGGCTGACAAAGCCTGAATTTGTTCCAGACATTGTCAGTGACAGGTACCTTATTTTCAGTTTCAGACTTGCTAGTAACTAATTTGCTAGTAACAGGGATTTTTTAGGGATGGGGGTTGGGGGTAATTCATACTTTCTCAGTATCTATCGTTAGAAATATTCAATGGCTGTTTTAATCAATAATTAATCCATGATAACATATTGTAGGAATAGGTAAAAACATTATTGATGAAGCTAAATTTATGTTTATATTTTAGACGTCAAAGGCAAAAAGAAATTTGGGTGGATCTGAAATTTTTTTAGGACTACATATTTAGAACTAAATGTCATTATTGTGGTTAATTTTGTAGGTTTACGGAAATTCAAACACCTTGAACGCCTACATGTTCATAGAAAAAAATAATACAAAGTATGTTGATAAAACTTTAAGAAGTCTGTCGTGGGTGCTATGCAAATTTTTGACATGGATATCAGCATTTGTTTGTTGACAACATGTGACATGTTTAAAGTAGTAAAATAGCAGTTGTCGTCTGTTAGTTGTCAATGAACTGAAGGGTGTAATATTGATATTACAGTCCCACTATCATTGGTTTTTACTCAGTCAAAACTTCTTCCATGATCGTATAAATAAAATTGATTAAGCGAAAACCTCACTAGAACTGTAATGCCGTTAGCTCAGTAAATATTAACTCCCTGTAAGGAAAGCGATTTCTCAAGCTGTCAAAAAGACCAGTGTTTGTATAGATGGCAAGCAATACATTCTAAGTGGCAGAATGTTTAAAAGTATTGTTGAATTCACAAAGATTTTATTTCATGCAAGTGCTTTGTAGATTAGGATATTGGATGTAAACCTTGTCTACACAGCATTTCTGCTCCCCTCCAAATCTGGAGAATGTTGGAATTGCTGGAAGTGAATGGTAACTTACTTTAAAAGGAAAGTTAGATGTCCGTAGACGTTTCCAGAACATAAACAAAAAAAAATAATAGTTATATAAGTTTCAGACATGATTTTTTCCCGCTTTAAAGCGATTTTTTTCAGTCAGTTCTGATTTTTGACAACACTCTTGTTACCATATTGTTCTGCCCATGACCCCCCCCCCCCCCCCCCCCCGAGATTTTTTTCACAGCTAAACGGCTAAAATCATGGCTGAAGTTTATACTACTAAACTTCATACTAAATGCTGTTTCAAGACAAACAGAATACAACAAAATGAAATACTGGAACCCAAGAAAACAACATCCATTATCTTAGGTTACAGGTTGCGAATAATGAGTTCAAGCAGAATATATTTTTTCTCTTATATAAAACTAGCTTTACTGACTATTGGGAATAGCACCATGATTTTCTCTTTGATCTCTGAAATGTTCCATACTCTTTTTCATTACTGTCTTTAATCCGCAAGGATTTAATTGGAACAGTGATTTCTCGGGAGCTTCTATGTAATCAAGTTACAGTATCAATTAGTGATTATAGTAGTCGCTATATGGTCTTTAAATTGATGCTAGCTTGCATCATGTACATTTAGCCTTTGATCTCGACAACAATAACTGCACAGTCAGTTTATAATATCACAAGTCATATTCCTCACAAGGGCAAATTGTGATTAAATGAAATGAAGGGAAAATTACCTGCTTTTACCAACTAATCGTTCGGTATTAATTGGCAAATTATGGACAGGGCTACCTTTATCTATCTCTTTCATCCTGTTCTCTCATCTTCATATAATATTTTATCAGGACTTCACTTTGACGTTGGTTCCCATCAAGAAAATGATTTCCAACATTTAATGTTACATAAAATGACCTTGATTAAGAAAAAAAAAGCTTTGATGTTATCTCAGACAGAGAAATTACTAAGTGAACTGAAAAGTTTATATAAAAATTGTTAATTTGTGTTTGAAGTGAGAGTGATTTTATTGGTTAATGTAATAGGCAGTGAGATCAGTTGCTACCATGTTGTTTCTTGATACAAGAAGGAATTAGATATATAGTTACTTAAATTTTATGGAGAAATTAGTCTAGGAAAGTATGGTAGAGACGTAAGTTTATGCATGGATGTAGATCGGTGTATGAAATATTTCTAGAACACCTGATGTCACTTCTTATTTGAGAAGATTAATCCACTAAAAATACTTTTAGTGTACTTTTGTATTGAATTTAATATAATATGTTGTATTTTTCAGGGGAAGTTGGGGATGCCCCCATACCCAGGTTTTATGATGTATAATGACTATGCTTCACCTCCACCAGCACATATGGGAATCCCCCCAGTAACTACAGACCCCAAGACAGGTAAATGGAATATATATTGTTTTAATTCACAAACTGTTGAAAGTATTCAAAGATGCAGCTCAGATTGTTAAGTACATTTATTTCAGTTTTACCAAATACATGTAAGGATTTTGGTAACCATTTGGATTAAGAACATTAATTCACAACAGTATTTAGTGAAAATGATATAGAAGCAAAACAACTTGTTATAAAGTTTAATTGAAATGGGAATATTTTTCCTGTCATTTTGATGTACTTAATATTTCAAACTAGCTTTGTAAGATTCAAAATGAAATATTTAACCAAATCTATGATAAGTTTGTTCTAAATTCATTGTGCTAATTCATTGTGCTTTGGCCTTTCATTCTTTTATTCAATATGTTAACAAGGGATCTGTTCAGGTAACGGTTAAATTTTGTTAAATGATTATAGACCTCTTACTTCTAGGATCTGTCTTTAGTTCAAAATTTGATGTCCATAGATAAAAGCCAATATTGAGATATTTGTATATTCCTTTGTCAACACAGTAAGCCAAAACTAAAATTTATAAGCAAACTGACTGCTGTTTAATCTTTTATAGAGTTTACTTCACATAACGAAACAACTCATCAGATAAACCGAATTCAATACTTTATATTTTGACCTGAAGCAATTTGAAAATTTTCTTTCAGGTTTACCGAGACCCCCTTTATACGCAGCCTATCCTCCAGGACAATTTCATCACCTGTATGGTCCAGATTTATCTCAATGGTAAATATATCTTTACAATTTTGGGGGCATAAAATAATGTGCCAAAAAAAAATTAAAATAAAAATCTGAGTAAAACTCTGTATCACTGTCTTAGAAAATGTTTTAAAAGTTAAAATCACTGCTTAAAAAAACTGTTTTAAAAATCCATGGTGTGCATTGCTTTTGTTGTTTATCAGGACTACACTTGTGGCTAGTTTTTACAAAAGTATAAAGGTGAAACATATTTGCTACCACATGGCAGTAATCTAAGCCCATTTTAATTCTGTTAGTTTTAGGAGTCAGATTTTTGTGTGTACCAAATTGACCTTCGTTGAAAAAGGAAAGTAATCAACGGCCTTCTATCCACAAGATCAAAGTTATTGTTAAAACTTTGTTTACATACAAATAATAATTTGTACAAAAAACATCTGATTAAATGTATTTGAAATATTAAGGTCGATATAAAAAATATTTGATGAATTTCAGTTTTAGCGCCCAATAATGGGTTTGAAAGGTGTGTGTTTTAGATCAGATGAAATTTAATAAGCATGTTGGAAAAATAATTGAAATGTTTACATATGGTATATTAGAAAAAGGGGGAAGCATTTAGGAGTTAGTTAGGCAAAGGGGACAATAGCCAGGGTGTTGGTAATAAATACGATACTTGGCAAATATGGAGTTCATTTTAATAAGAGTTAACAGATGAGGTAGAGAAACTTGACATAATGACTATAGACAAATTTCAGCTGTCTTGACAACAGGTGTCAACACGGAACACTTAAAAGCCAACTAATTGTGAAAATATGAAATATGGAAAAATACAGTTCAATTTCTATAGGAAAAAGATGAATTGGGCCACGTGTCAAGAGAAAAAAAGCTTTTCTGACTCAATTGATGCAATGTGTGTATTGTGTGTACTATCGGAAATGTACTTTATTGTTTTCAGTGGCTAGGAATATATCAGGTGGTTTGAAATCAACCTACAACACAACACAAAGACTAATCAAAATGATTTTCTCCACAAATTATGTCAATGTTGTTGTTTTCCCACAATTATGTTAGTTTAACACACTTGAATGCAAGGCTTAGTTATTACTGGCAAAAAAGATATTGGCAAATATTTGGTAGTATATTGATAGAATAAACACTAGGCCTTTTATTGTCAGGCAAGTCTGTTTCAATATATGTGACCCCTGTCCTCCTCTATTCTTTCATGGTCCTATCATGTATGGTTTCATTTTAACGCTTCCATTAGAATTAAAATGCTTTCAGAAAAAAGGAAAGCCTTGGAATCATTGAGTACATAGCCATGTTATTTTTCTTGATTTCTGGTATGTGTCACTGAATAGAATCTTTTTTTGTCCCTTGGCCTATTGTACTAAAATTCTTGGAAAAAAAATAGTAATAAAAAACCATTTTTTCTTCCATTTTGACTTTTCAATTTATTTTACTTTTCTATCTTTTGGGGGCCAGAAATCTAAATTGAAACAATTTTGATGGATTGTTTCAGAGTAGATATTGGGGATGATTTATTTCAGTTAAAAAATACTATTGTCATAAAATGATTCTGACATATGAATTTAAGTATTTATTTTATTTTATTTTTCAGGCATAGGCCAACAGGCTATCCTATTTCCTCAGGTGCCTTTAGCAGTTCTTATCCTCCATTATTAAACACAACCATATCACGATTTGGTCCCCCGGGAATGATGCCTCATGGGATACAACCTGGTATGCCCCACCCTGCCATTATTAGTCCGGGACCAAAACAAGATATCCTGCCACATCATATGAGTCAAGACCATCATAGGTTTGTAAATTATGTGAAATTTTTAGCTTCATTTGAAGATTATATATTTGTCTTGTACTGTATTCTTTAATATCTCCCGTAATTATAAGTATTTTAATATAAGGGAGACAACCCTTCAGTATTATTACACTTGTACATATTATATGTATAAATAAATAAAATGTTTATTTAATAATAATTATATTTTAGACAAGGTTCAGACAATGGTTTAAATCACTCTCACCATCAACCGCCACCTGAACCAGAGAAAAAGAAACCACATATTAAGAAACCTTTAAATGCTTTTATGTTATTTATGAAAGAAATGCGACCAACAGTTATAGCAGAATGTACACTTAGAGAATCAGCAGCTATTAATCAGATATTAGGCAGAAGGGTATGTATATTTTAAATCATAATCCTAGATTTAGGAGATGTTCGCATATATTTGTATTGGTAACTGTGAACTTTTAGTCTGTAGCAACTGACATTTATGTGGAGTCAAAAAATGTTCCCAAATGTACAACAATACTGTTTTGTTCAACATTATAATTATTTGTCCTTGAATACTTTTTTTGTGAAGTTGTTTTATGAATGAAGTCTTCAGTTTTATTTATGGTATTTGTAATTTTTTTTTTAGTGGCATGCATTAGACCGATCAGAACAATCCAAGTATTATGAGATGGCAAGAAAAGAAAAAGAATTACATTTACAATTATATCCTGGCTGGAGTGCCAGAGATAATTACGCCATACAGACTAAAAAGAAGAAGCGGAAAAAGACAGATCCAATAGACAAAAATAGAGGTAACGGTAATGTATGATTTGGATAATTCAGAGCTTTAAATATTCTCTGTCTTGTTCAGGTTATAGTATTCAATTTTATATGATTGTTTATTCCTAATTCTCCATCTGTTAAAGTTGCTAAAGACAAACTACAATTTGTAAGTTTTAAGAAAATAATTATTTTAGAAATAAGTTTACTTATAATTAATTAAAATTTTGTTTCCTTTTGATCGTTTCAGAATGTCCGAATGCCAAAAAGTGTCGAGCTCGGTTTGGCATGGACCAACAGACAAATTGGTGTAAACCTTGCAGGTAGGTGTCAAAAATGTCCAGTCTAGTGGCTAATGCAGAAAAGTTGACCTTTGGTCTCAAATTTATCAGCCGCCATTCTGGATTTCAGTCTTGTTTTTGTTTTGTATATTATTTGTGTCTACATGTAAATCCTGATACTGCATGTTGTCGGGTTGTTTATCATTTTAATCAGATTTAATTTTCTCATCAACACAACGTATTACATTTGTTCCAGTGGAGTCAGAAAGTAACAGATTTTTCCTTTGCAGATAAGATTTATTTAGTCTGGCCCCGCAAAAAAAAGTTTAACAAAAAAAGTTCAAACCATTGATCAGCTAAAACTTTTCTGCAATGGCCATCTCCTCTCGTTTCAGAACTCTGCATGAAACATGTGATCCGACGACTGCTGATTTAGACAAAAGCAACACCAACGTATAATGATTCAGAAGGTATTGATGACTATGTACAGCATGCTGTATATATACAACAGCTTGGTTGTTGGTCCTCTGCCCTCAAAACCTTAAAGCTTAGCATGTAGCCGCAGGGGTTGAGGAATCTAGCTTTTGTTTGTGTATGATCATAACTCATCTTAAAACAATTACATCATAATCTTTTATACCCCCAGAGCTTCATTGTCTTACGCTTTTCTCATCACCTAATCGCTTTTATTGTAGCTGCTTTGTGTGCGTATACCCCGCATGTTGACTATTTTCTCACCAAATTTTTATTACAGGTGTTGAGGACTTTTCCAGATTCTACTCCTTTCACTCTGCATCATGTGCATGATGGGGGTCACTCATTTTGGGTTGTGGTCATCATGTGTAATGTTACTCTTATTCATCATCATTCATAGCATGGTCATGCAAATCATTTTCAGCTTTTTATTTTTAATACTTTTCATTGGTTTTACGTTGTTTTGTTTGCAGGTAGCCTTTTAAGCATGTGGATATTACACCCTGTATTTTGTGCATATATTTTTTGTGTGCATGTATTGCATTTTAATATACACTTTTAATATATGCTACTGTCAATCAATATATATATCATATATTTTATCAAACCAGTATAAACATATCGCCATAATATGCTTTTACTTCTAACCTGTGTGCTGTACTAATATATAAACAATCCGCTTTTATTAAATATTTTATGCCATCATTAACTGAATGTAGCATGATACAATAATAGCAATGATAGCATGAGAGAAGTCTTATTTTTTTTTTTGAACCCAAATTGTGTTTTAAATTTGTTGTTTCCCAATTAAAAGAATAATTGTCATATTTGTAATTATTTATTAAAACAGTAATCAAGTCGAAAGTTTATTGTAATTCATTTTGTTACATAAATATTTTGTCGAAGTGTCATACCACTAACCTGCTATATTCAGCTTAATACTAATTTTTTACTGCACTCTCTATATTTAAAGAATGATATAGATAAATATTGCACATGGCAGACTGCTTTTAATAGCTTTTAGTTTTCACCAAAAGACATTAAAAACGGTCGGACACAAGTTTCATGATCCAAGGTTCTTTCATTGTTTTTATATAAGGCTAATGTTTATTGTACGTAGTTTAGTAGTATTATGTTTCATTGTAATGTGATGTTATATGGTGTGTATTCTCTTGTTTTAGGCGGAAGAAGAAATGTATATATTTTATGCGTGGCGAGGATGGTGGCAGTAATACAGATGAAGAAGGTTATAGTGAATTTTGTGATTCTGGGCGATCAGCTCATGATAGTGATTCAAACATTGACAGTCCTCGGCCTTCCTCGCATGGAGGTGATGATTTTTCTCATTCTGACCTCTGTCATGACTCACAACAACTTTCGCCAATAGTTGACGAAATGGAACAGGATGATGTGTCTAACTTTAGCATCAAATCTAGTTTGTGTAATCTAGTGTCTAATGTGGGACCTCCAGTGCCTAGTGCGTCGCCAAGCGTTCAGGCCACGTAACATATTATTATTATTATCATCTCATCTAAACATTATTCATTGTGCAGCATAATATTAAATAAGAGTGCACGTGAGTGGCCAACACAAACTTTAAAAGACAAGTTGTAAAACTGAAAGTGGTTGGTCTGAATTGTGGGCTGATATATACTGTAAGCCAAAGAACTGGAAAGAGGCCAAATTTGTCTATATGTGAGGATGTGCTTATTTTTGTTACACTCATTGTGATTGGTGAAAACATTTCCTGAATTCACTTGTGACAGTCAAAAGTATGGTGATTTAAAAGATCCATCCATTTTGAACTGTTCTACTCATTATGTATACTGAACTGCGATGAGAACTGGGCTTGTGAGGAAAGCATGTTATTAAGAGCATAAAAGGACTCGTAATGCATTTCTTCATGACATTGCGTTATGTCATCACTCGATTCTAGGACCTGTAGCCAAACGTCATTGACAGAAATACCCTTCACACTGACTTCAAGATGTACAAAGTTGCCAAAAATGAGTTCCCAATGGTAGGAAACCAGCCGATGATATTTTAAATCAATAATTAAATTAGTTCATTACATATAACATGTATATACCATGTTTTATTAGATAATATACTAGTATATAGAGGTTAATCAAATTATCATTTTAATACAACAAATTCTCAAAAATAGGTATAGTTTTCATTCAACTCAATTATTTGTAGCCAGTTCTTCCAATGTAGAAAACTAAATTACAATATTATGGTAACTATTGTGTTTTTAGATAGTTAACCTCTGTGGCACATTTTTTGTAACAATTTGACTGAGAAGCTACAAGTTGTTTGTTTTTATTTGTCCATGTTGAAGGTATTTATTTTTGTACAGTCAGTTATATCCTTTAAACTCAGTGAATTTATTAGTACTGTCCGACAATAACACATTTAATATATATATATATATCTGTCAAATATATATGTACATTACATGTTATTTACAGTCATTTCACTTGTTTTTCAATTATTCTTGAAGTTTTTGTAGATAAACTTTTGACGTTTGAGTAAATAGTTCTTTACTTTAAATCAAAAGACACACGATGTACCTCTCTGCGAACTCTGTCTTTTTCTGAATTTTTTTGTTTTTGTTTCCTTACCACATGCTTTAAAAACTTAAATGTCTTCTTCTGTACATGTAACTATAACCGTATTAAGCTTTATCAATTAGTAATTGATTTTCACATTCTGTTGAGTTACAATCCGTACTGAATCAGAAAATGTGCCGTTTATTATTATAATGTTTTATGTACAAAAGCTCCCAAAGTAATTATGTTTTAAGTTAGCCGAGTACAAAGTATATGTGAATAATTAACGAGGTTATGTTAATTTAACCTTGTATTCTAATTACCTGTGATGTTGTGTTATAAAATGTGCTTAATGATCTGATAGTTTATAATAAAATAGAATGAATAATACTTATATGACAATGAAATTAAAGGTGAAAAAAATTAATATTGGTACCATTTACCACATTTTTCTAGTCTTAATCAAAGAATTTTCTGTAATTATATAAACATTATGTTCTTTAAACTAAAAAAAGAAGCAGAATGCCTTTCTAGTATATCGTATATCCCAAGGCAATAAGTATTGGTAAATGAATAAAATTGTATATTTGGAAAAATTAAGCAATAAGGGGAAAAAATGTGGAATGATCCTTGAAATAAAGTAAAGTGTATTTATACTAAATGTGAAATATTAAGAGAAGACTGTGCATTATCAAAATCTTTACAAAGATCTAACATAATACTTTCTCAGTAGCAATAAGAATTGTGCACTTACTTCCAAATATTAAACCAATTTTGTAGCTGAATCCCAATTTTTCAGTGTTTTCTTGCCATATTAAAATTTTTTCTTTTTTTTGTAATTTTAGCAAAAAGATATCTCAATTTATTTGTGTACAAATTAATTAAAGTAATTAATAATGAATATGTCAGATATATTATTATGGAATACATCTATTATTATAATGAATAGAAGTTTCAAATATTAATTATTATGTGTGATTTTATTCTCAAGAAGCAAAATGTATATATTGTGTCCTTACAATCAGTTTTGCATGTACTATATGTATGTTAACTATATTTTCAAAGGAAATCTGGAATTTGGAATTAGAAATTGTTTGTCCATTCCATATGTAGTAATTTAGGGCTCCAAGAGCAACCATTTTTCATACCTCAAGCATGCAGTCGTGAACTGTATTTTTTAGTTCGTAGTTCTGATCATATTTTTAATTCATTTCTGCGTGTCATGATTTCAGAGTTATGGTTTCAATTTCTTGTTTTAATTCGTTTCTGTGATGACTTCAAATATCAAATTGTTTTGAATTTTAAAAAAAATGTTTCAATTTTATACTGATGTAAAACTTTAGAAGATTATAAAAATGATGATGATAGAACCATCAGTTAAAAAACTTTTTTTTTTACCAAAAATTAAAAATGGTAGTTTATGGAACTTGTTCATTTTTCAAAAAAATTAACCCAAACTATTATCATACATCATTTTCTTTATTAGTGCTGAATATTTATAGAATGAAATATTTTTCAAGACAAATGTTGGGGTTAAAACCCAAATAACTAATTTTTTTTTCACTATGGTATGAAATCATGCAGATTCATATGTTGTTTACTGTGAGATTATAAAAATTATTAGACCATGTTTTTCTTTTGTTTTTGTCTCTTAGTCCTATCTGCCCATTTGTTTAATCCATAGCATTGACAGGCTTAGTTTATATGTCTGTTAAAGCCATGAGATTTGGGTATGGGCTTGCAGAGCTTAATTGAAAACTTGTATGATTTGTGAATGCTAAATCAAAGGAGCACTCTAAATTCATCCATTTAAGATAGGGTTCAGAAATGAAATGAAATGGCCTTACCATTTAATGTCCTACTGTTCTGTAGCGACTGGGCTAATGAAGACGGGCATATGCCATACAGTGTGCTGTGAGGGAAATTTTGTCTGGACAGCGGCGCTACGGCCTACTCTTATATCAAATTCCAAGGGATCTTTTATGTGCACACCAATGTGTACACAGGACCTTGTTTGTTTTTTTGTCCCATTCGAATGACTATACCTAGGTAACACCCACCAAATCATTATCTGTCAACTCTGTGGTTAACTACACTATATGATTGCTGTCCAGATCATGACCGTTGACCCTTTCTGTCAAAAAAATAAAAAAAATATATGCCTCTTCAGCTAAAATCATGGAGTTAATCACCATGTATTTCTGTGGTAGCAATCATATTATAGCAAAAAAAATTAATGATCCTAGAGAACAGGCAAGAAAAAATTTGTTGACTGAATAGAGCTGATATTGAAGAAAATTAAAGAGAAAAGGGACTTGGTATAAAAGACTTGTTTCTCAAGCTGTTTCAGTCGGTTTACTTGCCCCTGAATTTAATTGTCTCGCAGAATGTGGACATAGGCTTAATACTACAATAAATTAAGTGTTGGTAGGCCTACTTGCCATCTTTGAGTTCATCCGTATATAACATAATGACGAATTATGACTTCTTTTTTCAAACTTGACAGAAAGTAATTTAGCAGAAGTTAAATTTATAATGAATTCATATTCGGTCAAATTAGTTAGCCTACAGTTCAACCAGTCGGGAATCTTCTGCCTTTTGCGGAATAGCATTTGTATTCACAAAGCTATAGAAATCAATTCCAGGGTATTGTTGACACAATCAATCATAAAGTCTGTAACTGAAAATTAGTCGCTGGGAACGTTAGACTAGTAGTAGGTCCGTATATTATGCATTTCTGCTTGAATTTGACTATTTGCATTAAAATAGGTGCATTGAAATCTTCAAAGGGCAGTAAACAATAATTGTCGATTTTTGCGCAAATTAGATTTCAAGCAAATTTGGAGATACATCTTCAATGCCATGGTATAAGTAAGATAATGTGTAAATTATTTTCAAAGAATTCAGCGATCGCCCTTGTCAATGATTCTGTTTTCGATAATTGGTGATTCTAAGTTTATTTCAAATATAATATTCAAAATCCAATTCTTTTCAGTTTTAGGTTTCTTTTTCGCAATACTACTAATACTCCCACATGGAAATGTGGTATATTGTCATCACCCCCGCCCGTCGGTTGTCCACAAGTTCTTGTGAACACTCTACAGACTACATTTATCTGATCATTTTGAAATTTATATATGTTGTTTACATTAGTAAAACGAAGAAGCCTAGTTAATTTCAACAATTTCTGTTATTTCTAGAGTTATGGTCCTTGTTTCACTTTGTAGAACCTTGTGACTGCTCTAAAAACTAAAGTTATCAAATCTGTATTAAATTTAAATTACATGCATAATTTGAATTAGTAAAGCGAAGAAGCCTCTTGAATTTCACCAGCTTCCATTTAAAACTTTCAGATTTATGGCCCTTGTTTTACTTTGTTGAATATTGTGAACGCTCTAATGACATAAGTTATCATCTGATCTGTATGAAATTTATATGCATTGTTTAGATTAGTAAAATGAAGCATAATATCAAATTTCAGCAATTTCCATATATTACTTCTAGAGTTATGACCCTTGTTTCATTTTGTTGATCCCCTTGTGAATGCTATAACTAAAAGTTATCATCCGATCTCTATTAAATTTATATGCATTATTAAGATTAGTAAAACAAAAAAGTCTGTTGAATTTGAGCAATTTCTGTTTCTAACTTCTAGAGTTGTGGCCCTTGTTTGACTTTGTTGAACCGCTTGTAAATGATAAGTTATCATACCATCTGTATGAAATTGATATCAGTGTCGTGTAAAAGCTCCCATTACTTACAGAAGAATAAATGTGTGACAACCCTTGTCGACTGCACAGGCGATTTAGCTGCTGTGGGTGTATGCTTTGTTGCCTGGCAACCTATTTTTCGAAAAAGTTTCGATGTAGGCTATGTGTCTATAGAATGCTGCTGTAACACGTATTTCGAACACCATGAATCTGTTCTCAGAAAACATTTCAAATATAATAACTTTTAACAACTATGTCTAAAATTTTAAAATTGTTTATTGGAGAACAAAATAATGTGGCGAAATGAGTGGACTTTTTCAATGTGATAGGCTGATGGCTACAAATACTGCGTGGTCAAAGGCGTAATTCGAAATGTAAACATTATTAGGGTTTCAAAAATTACTATAAGAAGTGTAAATTCTATACTTCTGGTTCATCATTACTCATAACATAGGCATTTCTCTTCTTTTAGAAATTTGGTGGAGAAAAGTTTAATTTCAAATCACCGAAAAGGTTTTCCGTTATAAATATGACTATTGATATGCCACGTCACTCTTAATAATTCATTTGGAAGACTTTAATGCAAAGTGACCAAAGTTGTATTTATTGGTCGAGCGATTCCAAATTAGTTGTTCAATTTGATGGAAGTAGGGGTCTAGTTTTTCAGGTGAATATAACATCGGTAACGATAGTAACGGTTAGAGAATATTTTCTGATAACTACAAGGAAAATGCGATCTTGAACCTGGTTCGTGGATTCGGTAAAGTGCAATAAATAGTTATTGAGCCATATATCAATTGAAATATTTCTTCAGATTAGATTAAAAGTGTTTTTACGATCATCTTGAAGCAGTGAGTCAAGTCGGACAAGTCTTCTCCAACTAAAGTAACTTAGCAAGAAATAAAACAGACACCGGTTATATTTTATATCTGTATAAAAATCAATGGTGAAATTCTCCAGAGAATGAAATTTTGTAGCCGCCAGCAATCCAGCTTCAACAATATGTGTCCCCCAAAAGAAATTACCGAAGCAAGTTATTTTACATTGTGGACTTTAGCAAGAAATTGCTAATGCAATACAGTTGTTTTCAATGAGACTTGCAATAAAGCGAACTTGATTGGACAACTGAGAAAACACTGCGAGTGTTCTTACACAACGGGAGAAAACAATTATTGTCAATTGTGCCTGCCAGTCTGCTTGTTAAGTAAACGTTTTATTTGGTCGCCTGATTGATAAGTGAGGACAAGAGTTGCTCTCTATAGTATTATCCTACCATTGATTCATTTCGTTAAACTTACAAAATGAACTTTCTTCACAACCTTTAAATAGATTATTGTTTATATAGTACTGTATACAAATCGTAGAAAGAACGACAAACTTAGACATTACGACAGTTGCTCAATTTTATTACCTTCGATATAATTTTCTCTGCGTGAATCAATATTTGAGTACCCACAATTTAAATAGAATTGAATACATCATAAACTACACCCTTTCCCGGATGGACCCAAAGTCATGAAAACTGGTCCCAGGTCAAATCGACATGTTGTTATTCAATCGTCTAATAAAATTGATGACTGAAAGCAAACTATTAGATATGCTTTATGGTGGTTATCCGAAATAGGATCAAAATAATTGAATAATTTATGGTTAACAAATAGTGTTTGAGAATATGTTCATGTTATCGTGTAAGGAAGCAATGATGCATGTATGATAAAATATATGTTATCATGACAATCTAAACATAGAGTGATGTCAGTTGTTGATTCCAGACAATGGTCCAGATTACATCTCTATCAAAGCGTGACTTTTTTTCGACCAAACTAAATGGTTTGTCTTGGCTTGGACAAGATTGTCCAGACAATGGTCCAGATTACATCTCTATCAAAGCGTGACTTTTTTTCGACCAAACTAAATGGTTTGTCTTGGCTTGGACAAGATTGTCTGTCAGTAACGCACATGCTGTTCCAGACGAAACGTTGCGGAATACGTCGAGCTGCATATATTATTTTATTTGTATTTAGCCTACCAACAACAGTCCCGGATTTGGGTGAAGAGAGGTCCCAAGCTATTCCATGTCCCCTCAATCACCCACCCTCACAACTAGAGGAAGATGAATGGCCGACAAATAATCCACTACCGTGTGCGTAGGCATTAACGGGAAGAGTGAGAAAAGGATAAGTTATATTTAGTTGACCATTAAATACTTATCCGTCAACACTCGGTACTGATAAAAAAAATGTGATTGAATGAAATACAATTACTTTTCAAATAGTTTGGTGATAGTATTTTCTTAAATGTTATTTGGTGCAACGTAGCCTACAGCCTGCACCGGTGACTCAGTGAGTAAGCTGTTGGCTGGCTAACCTGGAGGTCTCCGGTTCGTTCCTGGTCGCGAGTGATGAAGGGCGGATGATCTGGCAAGAAAGTGTCAAATCTTTCGGATGGTACGAAAACCCGACTTCTTGTGTACACGTGAAAGAGCCCTTGACTGTTGCATGCATGGGCGTGGATTTAGGGGGCGGGGGGGGGACCCCCCCCCCCTTAGAATCGGAAGGGGGGGGGACGAATTGGTCTCTGTCCCCCCCCCCATGATTTTGATCTGGAACTTAATCGGGACTTGGAACAAAAATTGTCATTCTTCAAGCGCCAGTTTTCGGTCAAATCTATTTCACTTGTACACGAAGCGTTCCTCATTGGAACTCAATTGTTGTTCAGGCAATATCACCCTCATGACACACTGCATGGCGTATGTCCATAACCGTCATTGCATTTGGAAAATGGACCACATGTGGAATTTATTTATGGGCTAAAGGGAGGCAAATCCATTCATGGGCTTTTCTCCTCCATGCATGGCGTGTATGATTGCTAGCAGTGGAGACACATTACAGACTCAAATACCCCTTACACTTATATACTCTTCAAAAAAAGTAGGGGATATTGAAATGCAAATACCTATGCAGGTTGTGATATGATAAATAGTCATGGACATTTGACATGCTTTGAGAGTATGTTCACAGATGAAGAACTTATCGCCCCAACAGAACCACTGAGCTGCATGTGCGACACGCAATAGCGCGATACACGTGTGGGTGTGTGTGTGTGTGGGGGGGGGGGTGTCATTGTCACATTTGACACTTCAAGGCAGGGTTGATGAAAACTGCCGCTTGCTGGTTTATCCTATGTTTGGTTTGCTATCGGTTCTTGCATAAGATTTATTGTTTAGCGTGTGTTACGTTTAATTTGATCAGGAGACGTGTTCGTCGACGTCAAAGTCAACCAACAATACTGCAAGAATTGGCCGTGGCACTGCAAGAGGAGTGGGTAAGATTGCCCCAAATCGTGATTAGACGGTTGATTAGGAGCATGCCACGACGAATTGCTGAATGTCTGAGGATTGGTGGAGCAATTAGGCCTACTCATTATTAAGACTATGGAGTTGTAATGGCCTAGTTGATGAGAGAGAGAGAGAAGGGGGGGGGGGGGGTAACGTCCGTCCATTCAACACAAACTAGGTCATTTCGGGACTAATATATGGTTCAATTATTATATATCAATAATTCGCGTGCGCGTAGATTATGTTCAAACTCAAAAGTTGGACAAGTTACCTAGTTGAGTTTCAGAAAAAAATATATCTATTTATTTTATGATCAGTAGTGGAATACCACGTTTTATCAGTGAAATAAAAGTGTTATTCCACTGGCTAGCAGTAGTCCATGTTGTTTTTACCTAAAATGATTGTAAAATCATAAAATAAATAGAACATTTGTAGTTTTGTTAAACCACCCCATATAACACATTCTCTATAAAACACTCCATTTAATAACATACAAACATTTTGGTCCAAACGGCCAAACAAAATTGAAAATGGTTTAAGAAATATTTGTTATTCATTATCAATTCAATGATATTTATTTACATAAATTTAACATAGCAATGTCAACAAATAACTTCGGTGAAATGAAAAAGACATCCTTTAACTTTAACATAGAGAATTTCTCTCTCTTCTATCTACAATTTTCAATATCAACCCTTTGAATATAAAGTTAAAACCTTAAACAAAATATTTCTTACAGGTGAATTTATGACTTGTTTTCAGATCCCATAATTACCTATAATTTATTATGTATTGAATAAACAGCGTTAGAAAAAGAATATAGTGGCATCATTTTCACCTGACAACCGGATTTAGCTAATAAAGATACTGGCTAGTGTTTCACTTTGATATCAGCAGGCAAGAAATCTTCTGAAAAGCTGACTATTGAAAAATATCTAATTCAATGTTGAGCTCATATTACGTAATCAGAAATAGCTTAACAGAAATTCAAGGTTGAACTCATATTACGTAATCAGAAATAGCTTAAAGTGAGAAGTATTTAGCTTAACAGCTAACAGTTGATTAATTAGTATTCACCCCTTCCTTTGAGAGAGAGAGAGAGAGGAGAGTGAGTGTTAACGTCCACTCAAAACAAAAAACAGGCGACCATACACCTTGTCATGTACAACCGGGGAATCGAAACCATTCCAGTTGACTCAAAGATCAGCCTTATGATACAAGGCGCACGAACTAACCATTCGGCCATCCACCACCCCCTCCTCCCGCTTTCTCCAACCAGGATTTTCTGGGTTGGCAATAACCTAATTCATTGTGTTTAGAGAGAGAGAGAGAGAGAGAGAGAGGGGGGAGAGATTTAACGTGAACTCGACACAATCTAGGTCATTTCGGGACTAACATTTGGTTTAATTTTATTTCAATAATTCTCTAGGAGTCTTTGGCAGTGGGAGGAAACCGGAGAAAACCCGCGAGGTTCGATAGGCGACCCTACTCATTGTCACGTACAAGCGGCGAATCGAAACCAACCATATGACTCAATGGCAGGTCGTATAATCAAACGCGCACGAATTAAATAAATCAAAAATAAATAATCAGTAGATCTAGGTATTTTTATTAAAGAACCAGCAGTTGCCAGGCAAGAAAATGAAATGAAATGGGGCTTAACGTCCTACTATTCTGCTCCGAACTGGGCTAATGAAGACGGGCATGCGCCATACAGTGTGCTATATGAGGGCCTACTCTTATATCGAATTCCAACCGTCAAGGGATCTTTTACGTGCACGTCGATGTGTACACAGGACCTCGGTTTTTCGTCCCATCCGAACGACTAGACAGCTGTCCTTGTCAGGCCCTCCGTCCTGCATCACTGACAAGGGGGAACCACACCTGAAAATCTGGATGAACTTTCTCGGCCAATGTAGGGATCGAACACCCGACCTCCAGACTAGCGAGCGTCTTACCCACTTAGCCACCGTGACTCCGCCAGGCAAGATAAGCCTACATTTTGAAAGATATGGATAGAGAACAAGCTTAAAAAAGGGGGGCGATTTTTCATACATACGGGGGCCATAATTCAGGAAGTTGTGGTCTGAAATGCGCAAATATTGAAGTGGACTGAGATATAAAGATATATTTTAAGTTTCATCTAAATCGGATAAAAATTGCGACTTCTAGAGAGTCCACAACCTTGGTATTACATACTTTTACTCTATTTGCGTACGAAATTCGAAGTAAACCGTCATTAAGGTGTAACGGTAAACGCTTTTTTAAAAACGTGATTTTTCGTGCAATCAGGGGCCAAAGTTCAAGATGTTAGGGTCCGATATGCGCAAATATCGAAAGGAACCAAGATCTTTGGATTATAATTTCAAATTTCATCAAAATCGGATAAAAATTGTGACTTCTAGAATGTCCACAACCTTGGTATCACATAGTTTTACACTATATGCTTACAAGGAGCGGCCATTTTGTCTGGCAGTTTGTGTCAGATTTTTACGAAATTTGAACTCAACCTTCAATGATGTGTAACCGTGATATATTTAAAAGTTTTTCTTTTAAAATTGAATACAAATTGTGACTTTTAGTGGGTCCACAAGCTAAACATGCGATTTTTCGAACAATCGGGGGCCATAATCCAGGAAGTTACGTTCGGATATGCGCGATTATCCAAAGAAACCAAGATCTTTGTGATATAAACATAACTTGAAAGTTTCATCAAAATCGGATCAACCTTCATTACGATGATATATTCGAACCCTTTTTTTTTAAATCGGATAATAATTGTGACCTCTAGAGGAACCCCAAGCTAAAAACGTGATTTTTCGTACAGTCAGGGGCCATAATTCAGGAAGTTACGATCCGATTTGCGCAAATATCAAAAGAAACCAAGATGTTTGGGTTATAAACATGCATTTCATTCAAGTTTCATCAAAATCAAATGAAGATCGTGACCTCTAGAGTCTCCACAATCTAAAACGTGATTTTTAGTACAATCAGAGGTCATAGTCCACGAAGTTTCGATCCGATACATGCCAATATCGAAAGGAAACTTATATTTCAAGTTTCGTCAAAATCGGATAAGAATTGTGACCTGTAGAATGTTCACAAACAAATTGTGGACGGATACGTCCACATGAAAATGTTGGCGTATAAAAATTGATGTGTTGTAAAATATATTGTCCTTGTAACATTAATATTTTTGCCCATTTTGGCGGTTATGACCAAAGTTAATTTTGGTTGTTATGGTTTATAAGGCCATTATGACCGCATCCCTTTTATTCAAGCACTCGTCTTGCAATATCCTTGAATTATTCCCTGGGAAAAGTAAGTTTACTGGTATATACATGTAAGGTCTCTCACAACCGATATTAGATTCCTTTATGGTTTATAAGGCCATTATGACCACATCCCTTTTATTTAAGCACTCGTCTTGCAATATCCTTGAATTATTCCGTGGGAAAAGTAAGTTTACTGGTATATACACGTAAGGTCTCTCACAACCGATATTAGATTCCTTTTGAAATGTTCATACTGATTTTGCAATTGGAATTCCAAGTTCAAAGTTAAAATGAGAAACAAAATATTGTTCAACAGAAAGCAACAGAACAAGTTCATCAACATAACTAGAATATTTAAAAAGTTTTATTTCCATGATTTTTTACATTAACAATTACAGATGAATCAGGTACATCTAAAGCATTATTATAAGTTGAAATAACTAATAATATAACATTGTCAAAATATGTAAATTACTGGCTACTGGCACCTAGCATCACTAAAGATTTCTTTTATTTAACAATCAAAAGGTTACAGGAATTTATATTACAACTTTCTGTTGTCTAGCCAATTGTAAATATGAAGATATTAAAGAATGGAATGAAAGGGATTTTTCTAAAACTTGAAAAATTGTTAGTCTATAACAAACAACATTATTTACCGGGTGGTTTTTTCCAATAAAAGTATAGCAAATTTGGTACATGTATATATGGAAAGTATAGTCACCCAATCTTACTAGAAAGATAATGGATTACCTGGGCAAAATTGTCAGGGTTATTAACTGGTAACCTGACGGCTTGTCCGACAGCTTATTGTGTGCTAGCTTGACTGAGGGAGCGGTTATTTCTTGATCAGATGGTTAGGCGGTTTGGGGAACATTGAGGGGTGTCGACATACAAAAGACTCTGCAATTAAAGGGCGGAAAAAGAAGTAGACAGAGAATAACTAAGAAATTACTTGGGCCTAAATTCTAAATATGTATGATAAATGGACAGTAAGTAACGAAAAATACATTCTGAAAAATGGATCCTCTCACAATAAATTGAGGTGACAGGCATAAGTTTTGCGAGGGATTTGAAGCAAATTTTTGATAGATTAATTAGTTTGAATATGTTTCTAGTCCAAATATATCATCGAATCACACAGTTTGTATGTGGGAAAGTAACTTTAAACATAAATAAATATCCTCTATATTTACATTGATATCTTTTCTTATTTACTTGCTACAGAAAAGCATCAAAAACTTTTAAATAAAAAAATATATAATCCAAGTTAGATATGCTGTGGAAGATAGTTCTTCCCTCTATTAATTAAATACATTGCTTCAAATTTGAAAATCGAAAACCCTTTTCCAAAGACGTAAACATCAATCCATTTACTTGCAATTAATTTATAGGCCTCAAAAAGGAGATGCAGTATGTAGTGGATTAGTAAGCTCAATTTTGGCTTCATCTAAATATTAGATACAACCAGGTTTCAGTATTTCAATTATTTGTTCAGTAAGCTAATAGATAGATCTTTAAATTATTATAAAATATCTGTCCACTGTAACACAACCGGCTATATAAAATGATGTCATGAGATGATTTAAATGAAAAGATTTATATATCTAGGTATTTCTATCACTATGCTTCCTCTGATGGTATTACATAATATACAGCATCAACTGAAAATAAATACATTTATAATTCAATTAAATAGAAAAGCATTTTGAAATAAGTTACAGAAAATAAACTTATATTGCAATTAAATAAAAACACTCAATTTGAAATAAGCTATGGAAAATTTATATTTCAATTTAATAAGAACACTCAATTTGAAAAAAAGTTACGGAAAATTTATATTTCAATTTAATAAGAACACTCAATTTGAAAAAAGTTACGGAAAATTTATATTTTAATAAGAACACTCAATTTGAAAAAAGTTAGGAAAATTAATATTTCAATTACATCAAAACACTCAATTTGAAATGAGTTACGGAAAATAAACATATTCCACACATTTATATCACATATAAATAAAAACACTCAATTTGAAATAAGTTACAGAAAATTTAAGTTCAATCAAATAAAAACACTCATTTTGAAAAGAGTGAAAGAGTGTAGGTTAAACTTACCATCTGAACTAACAGGATCTCCTTGTGAAGCAACAGGTGTCTAAAAAGTAAAGCATATTGATTGGATTATCAATTCCAAGGACAATACTACCAATTTCAAAATGAAATTTGTCCAGAATTTTGACATATAGTGTTCACAAGCAGTGTAGACATAACTATAAATACTTATATTAACCATAATTTAACAATCAACATAACTTATAGAGAAAAAGACAAACAATAATAAGAAATTGTTTTTCTTTTACCTCTTCAACTATTTTTCTAGCTTCATCTCCATCAATCATGTTACTGCCAGGCGTTTTAGTATTTTCACTGTAGATAGAATATACATAAATTCATATATAATATCAATTATTATACATATAATATTACAATATATTACCTATGTAGTATGACTGTGATAAATACTGTAAAACAAGAAATTAATATGAAAACGATTTAAACATTTTAAATGCGACATATAGCTGATCATATTAATTTCCATAAACTTTTAATCCTCCTGAACATCAAAACCAATACAAAAATTTGTAACAGTGATTAATTAGATTGTATGCTAATCAATATCAGTGATAACCTAAAGAGCTTGTAAATGGTGTCTTAAAGATACATTCCCGCATACAAACTGGGTGATCTGATGATATATTTGGACCAAAAACATATTCAAACTAATTAATTTATCATAATTTTGCTTCAAATCATTCTCAAAACATTGTAATTGCCAAGGAATACCCTGCTATAAAAATCGATCGAAAGAGGTCATGTTTGTGTCACGTGACTTACTCTCTCGGTACCTATAGCAACGGGGGCAAAGTCGGAGGAGAATTCATTGTATACACAAGACGATGTTGTCTTTAATCGCTTACTATTTATTCCAAATATCAAATCCTAATTAAATTTTCGGATTATCCACTGCCAACGTCTTTTTCCGTGATTTTTATCTCAGAAAGTGTTGTACGTCTAACTCTTCATAAAGTTTATCAACATGTACACCAAGCACTCAATCTTCGACGTCACGCGCGCAGGTATTCCTAATCGGCGATTAGGGGAACCCTTACATTTTTGTCCTGTATACGCTCTACAAGTGTTTTTCAGGGAATCAAGTATTTTTCTAGTAAGATTGGATATCTCTACTTCCATATATACCCAAATTGCGATACTTTTATTGGAAATAACCACCCGATAAATACTTTTCTGGGAACCTATCTTTAATAAAGATTAAAATAAGAAGTCACTCATAGTAGTACAATACTAATTTCAAAACACCTTCTAAACAGTAAAGTTTTGATAACTTCCCCTCAAATTCAGGTCATACCAAAAAGATATAAGGACATGTAAAATTTTATTTAAATTCAGTGGAACTTAAATGTCTTTTTTCAGTGATGTTACCTCCCTTGAGAGATGATTTCTCTACATCTGTCAAATTTTCCCTAACACTAACTGGGCCTTGCATGGTGGATTCAAGATATATAAACTTACCATTTAAACCCATATGAATTAGCTTCTTGTATAAGTTTAGTCCACTGCACATTGGCAAGATTTATTTCCTCTAAAGCCTTTGCCTGAAATAAAACAAACATTATTAATTCTAGGAAATACAGGTATATCAATCCTTTCACATAATTTGTATATTAAAGTCTCTGCATGCCATTTGCACTTTTTCATTATTTAAGAATTAATTAGGATTGAACCATTTTTGCACTGATATTCCTTTTAGAGTTTCAACTTCAAAATATTGTAGTTTGCAGGGGATTTATTGTAAAATAAGCGGGTGAAATTTTTGCATAGTCTCGGTCATCATTACTAAAATCATTAATATAAACAGCATATCCACTTTTTCTTATTTAATTATCAACGGCCGTTAGCGGCATATAGGAATCTAATCCAGCCAACATCGAAGGCTGGCCTTGACATCGAGAGTTTATTATGGTCTGGGTAAGTTAATTAATGTCTAATTGATAATTTAGATAACATTTCAGGCCTAAAGAAAGACTTGTAATAAGCAGATTTTGCTCTTGCATAATGCATGTTTAACTTTTTATCAATACACAGTTTTAAAGCAATTCTAGTATATTGGATGGGAAGGAAATATAAATATAAAATTTGAAATTGTTTCTTTTTGGTTCTTGACCTGGAGCAGGAGTGAAATTGTGATTTACAATCAATAGTGTACAGACTACAGTATACTTGATTATGCCATCTCACTCTTCTGGATGCCGGTTTAAAAACACCTACACCATTCAGATATAAAGAACTTTATTCTTGATCAACGCAATACTATATTTCATACAACAAAATCAAATAAAACAACTTTTTTTTATAAAACAAATAACAACAAACCTTATTCTTTGCTTCACCATTCCAAGCAAATGTATTAACTGGTTTACCATCAGGTACTTTATAAAATTTAAACCATTCATAAGTTGCCTAAAAACAAAAGTGTAAATAATGCATAATATGATTCAATCATAGATAGCCAAAGCAATGTATGTGTTATATCAACAAAAAAATTATTGAAAATACATCCACTAGTCTTTTTACCTAATGAGTGAAAAATGTGGCTTATACTATAAAATCAATTAGAAAGTCACAGTTGAAATTAAAATCCACAAACATATTCTGATATTTTACTCTACAAAACCAATTTCATTTTATAATTAAAAAAAAAAAAAAAAAAATGTCTTACTGTTTCGATAACAAATAGCCAATTATAGAAAGGCAGAAAATAATAATATAATGACAAAGTAACATTTTATTGGGATATATGTATAAGATATACAAAAACTATTAATAATAGAAAATCAATATATAAATATCTTGTAGATATTGATAAAGACAGGTTGTGAGGCAACAAAACACATACACCCACAGCAGCTGTTTAGAATTTCATGACACAATAAGGAATATCTCGTGGCAAAATGGTTGAGAATTACTGCCCTAGAGCGTCCACAAGCAATTGTGGATGCCAGACAAAGGATGTATAAAAAAGAGAGAAATGGGGTTTAACATCCACCCGGTACAAACTAGGTCATTTCGGGACTGACATATGGTTCAATTTTTTATTTCAATAATTTGCTTGCATGTAGGGGTTCTGGAGAAAACCCATGAGGATGGACAGGTGACTATACTCCTTGTCACGTACAACCGGGGAATCAAAACCATGCCAGTTGACTCAATGACAGACTTTATGATACAACGCGCGAACCATTCGGCCACTGAACCCCCTGTGTATAAAAAGCTAACTATAACCATGTGTGTACTACTAGTATCAAAGTAACATCTTGTAAAGTTATATTTTATTTTATATACAGGAAAGATTATAACTTTATTACGGGGTGTCAAATATTTATGTTTTAAACTGGATAACTTCAAACATCAATTATACTTACCGGTAGTAACCCAGGGAATTCTTTTTTAACATCATCAATATCTTTTTAAAAAAATAAAATTTCTTTTTAATTTCTTTTTCAAAAAAGTAAAACAACATTTCTATTTAAAATAAATAAATAAAATGACTTGTGAAATTATTTAAAATGTGCTGAAAATCATGGTTTATGGAAAATAAATTTTAGACCATTAAGAGCTGGCACATACTAAAATTAGGCTGTTTCAGTGTCTGTCTACAGTTAGCTCTGCGTGAGAATAGACACTAAGCTAGTTGACCCAACATTTTATGTCGAAAACACTCTTTCAGCAAACCTCGGCAGATTCCGTTACTCTACATCTAGCCTTGGCTTTATGACGATAAGTGATATGTACCTGCACCTATACAATTGCGATGCGGCTACCGGTTTACTTATTAGGAAAACTTGATGCTTTGAGAAAAGTTCTCAAAATTGTGTCATTCGAAGAGGGTGTAGAATTTTTACTGCAATGTTGTCCTTGTTTAAATAAAATTGGATAAACTTGAAAGAAAAACAGCTTCAGACTTTCAAAGCTGTGTATGATAAAACATTCTTCAAAGGCGTCGTCATGGGCAACTTGAAAGTAGTTCCAATGGCGGACTAATTAATGATCCTATGTCTGTGCAACTTTATTAAAGTTGACTTTTATGTCAGACTATATCTTGGAAGGTTGTTGGAATGAAGAAGTCTCTAAAATAAATGTTAATTATAACATTAGAATTATTATTGATTTTTCCAGGTTTGAAAACAAAATTGATTGCACTTGGAAAAGAACCAGCGGCTGCCAGGCAGGATACGCCCACATTTTGCAACAGATGGATAGAGAACAAGCTAAAAACAAACACTATTTTTTGTACAATCAGGGGCAAAAGTCAAGAAAGTTATGGCCTGAAATGTGCAAATATCAAAAGGGACTGAGAGCTTTGGGATATAAAGGTATGTTTTAAGTTTCATCAAAATTGGATAAAAATTGTGACCTCTAGAGGGTCCACAACCTTCGTATTACACACTTCTACACAATTTGTAACATAGAGCGGCCATTTTGTCGGGCAGTTTCATTTCGATTTTCCCGAAATACAACTTCATCTTCATTATGGTGGAATGGTGATGTATTTAAACAGTTTTTAAAATAGGAAAAACATTGTGACTTCTAGAGAATCCGCAAGCTAAAAATGCAATTTTTCGAACTATCAGGGGCCATAATCTAGGAAGTTAAGTCTTGGTATCTGCGATTATCAAAAGGAACCAAGATCTTAGTGTGTAATGGTGATATATTCACAAGTTTTTTTAAATTGGATAAAAATTCTGACCTCTACAGGGACCACAAGCTAAAAACGTGATTTTTTGTTCAATCAAGAGCCATAATTCAGGAAGTTATGATCTGATATGCGCGAATATCGACAGGAACCAATATGTATTTCAAGTTTCATCGAAATCTGATCAAAATTGTGACCTCTAGAGGGTCTGATTTTCACGAAATTTGAACTCAACCAACATTATGGTGCAACGGTGATATATTCAAACGTTTTTTTAAATCGGATAATAATTGTGAACTCAAGGGACCACAAGCTAAAAATGCGATTTTTCGTACAATCAGGGGCCATAATTCAGAAAGTTGCGATCCGATGTGCATGAATATCCAAAGGAACCAAGAACTTGGGGTTATTAACATGCATTTCATGTGACCTCATCATAATTGGGTGAGAATTGTGACCTCTAGAGTGTCCACAAGCTAAAAACGTGATTTTTCGTACAATTAGGACACATATCAATATCGAAAGGAACTGAGATCTTTGGGAGATAGACCTATATTTTACGTTTCGTCAAAATCGGATAAAAGTTGTGACCTGTAGAGTGTCCACAAAAAAATTGTGGATGGACGGACGTCGATGGCCTCTACTACATGAAGCTATGACTAGTTGTAGCAGGAGTTCGCGCAGAGGTCATATAAGCGGCTTTTGACCCTATGATGTTAGACATTTGATTAACCAATCAGCGTTGATGTTTCTAGTGGGTTACCCACAGTTCCATGCAACTCGCGCCAAAAACTCGTCGTAACAGACCGTTTCATTGGCTAATCCCTCACATCAATAGGAACGCGGGTCATATAACCACTCTTCCAGTTCCTAGTGTAGTAAAGCCAAGTTAAACGAAATTTTGAACTATAAAAACAGATGTGAAATGTAGTAGAACCACATTACAAAACAGTTATTAATTTTTGGATATGACGGCCATTTAGGACACAGACCTAATCTCGAAGTATGAGTGAAGAATGGAGCTGGTAGTGTACCAAAATTTGTTTAGATATAAAAGTTCTTACCATTTAAAGATTCTGCTTTTGGATCGGTTACATCTATAGCTATTACCTTCCAATCTGTTTCGCCTAATTAAAATAAAGGAATTATTTATTAATAACTACACTAAACATATTTAATAATCAATAACCATATCATGAAAACGCCTGCAAGGATAAACTATGTAAAAATTATCGTACCTTCATCAACTAATAACATAACACCTAATACTTTGACTTGAATAACAGCAGCTCTAGCATGAACCTAAAATATTTAGAATATTAATGAAAAGTAATGAATAGATCCTTTTGAGGCATATAAAATATCAATCTGAACGACAGACTCACCCTACCTGCAGAGAAGTGACTCTGACACAGTGAATAGCCATGATATCCATATGACGTTATCTAAACGTCACAGGTCATGAGGTCACATCAACAAACAAATGTAAACACCATCATCATGATCATTATCAACATTACAAGACACAATGTTACATTTTAAACAATAGCCTTCTTGCTGCCTTTAGGACTGTAGAATCCGTACAGAACGTCTTATCGCTCTTCCAATGAATTTTCACAAAAATAACATCATCTACATGTACTACTCTAGATTTGACGTCGGCATATTGGCACTATTTTGTGCTTCGGTCGTGTCTATTTCAGATATACACAATCAATTCTGTTAATGTTTTTAGCGTGGGGATTGACTAAAAGTTAATTTATTTCAGTTCTAAACAAAAATTTAAAACTTTAATGCAATTTTTAAAAAATAGCCAAATTCTGGCTGGGATTACTGAGCAAAATGGCCATTCACTTTATATGTGCGAAAAAAAAGCCAGCTACCATTTAATTTTCGTACGTTAGTTACGTTCGATAAAATATGTGTGGACTGTTCAATAAATCTAATAAAGATCGGTTGGCAGGCAATGGAACATAGGTCAACAGCAGCTAAGTTGTCCGAGCAGGAAACAAGGGTTGTCACTCAGATATTAACTTAAGCCTCTAGAGCGTTAACAAGATTTTTCCAAGTGATCAAGGGCCATAACTCTGACAGTAATTATCAGCATTGTTGAAAATCAATAGGATTCTTCGTCTCATGACCTTAAACACTAGTGCTCCTACGGTTAGGACTTTTTGTTAACCGTTAACCATATGGTATCAATTTTAAACATAAAACAGAGCTTGTCAGGAGGTGCGAGTCATTACTCGTGCGCACGCTACACTCGCCTAAAAGGCATTACACGCGCAAAAATTTCAGGAATTTTTTTAGACATGTACAATTCTTTAATGAAAATTTAAACTATCTAAGGCTGTAGTTATTTATTTACCTGGTTAACTTGGTTCATTTGAAACATTTTTTAATTCAATATAACGATAATATACAAAACAATACTCTATTTCCCTTCGTATGTGACAGATGGCGATAATATTACGATTACACAATGTTACTAAGAATAGAATAAAGTAAATTGGAAGGCGTCTATTGATTGGACAATAAAAAAATAAATCTTCGCTTGCAAGTAGAATTTTTATAATTGGTTAATTTAACTAAAAACCAAAATAGAATTCTTGCGAGAAATTTCGAGATATGAAACGTGTTGAATGTCGTAACGAATCTAGTATAATGTCATTTTCTAGCCTTTATGATTATATTTTGAATGGTGGTTACGTTTAGAAGTAAATAATAAACAAGGCAGAATATAGTTAGAAATGCCGAGAAGTATTTAGATTGGATTAACAATAGCAAAAGTCAGAACATGGTCTGTTGACATTGCCGTATGACTACGACGAGTGCTATTAATAGTATTATTTTTTAGCAGTCGACATCGTAGGACGACTGTTACATTCTAAGATTTTCAAACATCAAATACAAAATGACAACAGGCAAGTTTTGTTATAAATAGGTATATAATCAGACACAACTGTATGTAATTGGGGACATCTCCGAATAACCGTACCATTGAATTCGAACTGTTTAACCGTCCAGTTCTAACCGTTTACAGCTATCCGACAAGTCGTAGGAGCACTATTAAACACTGTGTATAAATTTAAAGTCAATCGGATATTAACTTTAGCCTCTAGAGGAGTGGTTCTCAACCTTTTTTGTCAACATGAGTCCAGCGGCTGCCAGGCAGAATACGCCCACATTTTGCAAGAGATGGATAGAGAACAAGCTAAAAACAAACAGGTTTTTTTTTGTACAATCAGGGTCAATAATCCAGAAAGTTATGGTCTGAAATGCACAAATATCAAAAGGGACTGAGATCTCTGGGATATAAAGATATGTTTTAAGTTTCATCAAAATCTGATAAAAATTGTGACCTCTAGAGAGTCCACAACTTTGATATACCAGATGTTATACACAATTTGCGTACGAGGGGCGGCCATTTTTCGTACAATCAAGGGCCATAACTTAGGAAGTTACGGTCTGATACGTGCGAATATCGACAGGAACCGAGATCTTTGGGTTATAAACTTACATTTCAAGTTTCATCAAAATCAGAAGAAAATTGTGACCTCTAGAGAGTCCACAACCTTGATATACCATATTTTTACGCTATTTGAGTACAAGGGGCGGTCTGATTTTTACGAAATTCAAACTCAACAATCGTTAGGGTGTAAGGGTGATATATTCAAACGTTTCTTTAAATCGGATAAAAATTATGGCCTCTATAGGGTCCACAAGCTAAAAACGCGATTTTTCGTACAATCAGGGGCCATAATTCAGAAAGTTCTGATCCGATGTGTGAGAATATCGACAAACAATTGTTGTCAAGGTATTGATGTAATGAAACTATACACCAAGTTTGATCACTCTCACTTAATCAGAACTAAAGTTATTGTGTCCCAATTAAAGCATCAACCAATCAAATTGCTCATCTCTGCTTAACCTAAACGGAAAATGCTCATCTTCAAACTACATCAAGGCATCGACCTAATGAACACCTACACCAAGTCTAAACATTCTAGCTCCATTAGAAGGAGAGTTATTGTGTCCCAAATGGGCGGCCAGATGGAAGGACAGACAGATGGATGAACCCTTTTTATTAGCCCCCTGCCTTTCGAGGAACCATTCGGTCATCCAACCCCCCCTCCCACCACATTTCAATGTGGGCATATAAAAAAGAGAGATAGAGAAATGGGATTTAACGTCCCCTTGACAAAAACTAGGTCATTTCAGGACTAACAAATGGTTCAAGTTTTTATTTCAATAATTCGCTTGAACTCTGGCAGTAATTATTGGAAATTATTGAAAATCAATAGGCTTCTTCGTCTCATGACCTTAAAGGACCTAAGTCCGTAACTCAAAATCCTCCAAAATCTTTGACATCGAAAACACGAATTATTGGTCAATTTAAATCAACATTGATGATGTAAACTTACCGGGAAAAGATGAGCTTCTGATATCCGATATTTAAGATAAAATAATTTTTTTAACATTGGTACACGAATCGTGTACCATAATGCGCGTCAGCCCCAGTTGTATTGAGAGACTCGAGGGACGAGGCTAGACACATTGCACCAAATCAAATGGAGTTATGTAGACTAGAATAACTAGACGCTAGAAATTTGCACTCGATTGAGATTGCAGACTTATTTCGCCGAACATAACTGATTTGAAATTGGAGTAAAAACGGAAACCATTAAATGTAAATCAGTTTATATACATTCATATTACAGTATTATATGCGTTGCGACCCACTTTTGTGAATTTCTAGGTCCCAAATGTTAGCGATTTAGCGCTTTAAACACTGTGTATAAATTTAAAGTCAATCGGATATTAACTTTGGCTCCTAGAGCATCCACAAGCAATTGTGGATGCTGCGCTTGTGGATGTTGGACCACTGGACGAACCAGGGCGATGGCAATATATGACAACATTTCAATGTCGGCGTATAAAAAGTAAGATTCTATTTCTTGCAGCATCATTAATGATAGTTTTAACCAAATTTCAATAAATTTGAGTAAAAGTTGTGTTCTTACCTTACTACCTATCTCACAAACATCAAGTGGATCTTGATCACCTTTAGTTCTACCTTGATCCGATTCTGTTAAATGTGCTGGATCCTCAAATGTCTAAAACATATATATACTAATATTGTTTGATAATTCAAAATCCTCTTGTACCTAATAAAATTATTTCATTTAAATGAATCAAAGGATACATCATTTTTTTTAGATCATGGATTATTACATTCAATTTGGCATTAGAATTAAACAATACAATACTGCCACATAATAACAAGTGGTTGCCATGCAAGATGTGGGCATATCTTTCGTGGCAACCGCTTGTTGTTCTATTCGTTGAAAGTAGAGTCCAGCAAAACATGATCTAGTAGATGTACCGTAGCATAATATTCTGTGCAAAAATCTTCAATTTTATGTTAGGTTGAGTCGGCGCCGAAGAACATGAAGCACAAATAGATTGGTTGATGGAATTCTTGGATAATTGTTTGAAATGTATCAGAGGCTAGATTATGATTAAATATTCTCTTAGGGGGCAAATGGACTTTTTAATCGTTCTATGTGTAGGGAGGCCATTTTGTTCAAGGGAAAGAACTCGCAATGAAAACTTAAAAAATCACGAAATAGGTCCGTAAAAAATTTGTCTTGTTTTAAATACCAATCAAGCAGATCGTATCCACCTGTTTAAAATATACGTTAGCTTGTTTTTGTCCAATTGCGTGTCGTTACTTATTGGAACGAAGGTTGTGAGGATTATGGCTTTTCGGAATGTGCAGTGTTGAATCTATATGAAACCTGTAGTCTCGATTTTCACGTCAGTTAGCAATCTCGCGTCAACAGTGTGGTAGTTCTTAATGATCGTTCACTGTACAGTACTCGCTTATTCCGATCGTTAGGCAACACAAATAAAATAAGTTGTTTCTCGGGCACCGCCCGCACGCAAAATTGGTTGCGCGTGCGGCCTATTTTTTAGTCTTGATGAAAGAAAAAAAAAAATATGTAACGCCCGCCCGAACATCGATAAGCAAGTCATAAAAAAAATATGCCGCATGTATCTACATGCCCCATACGTGAATATCCATTCAAATGTATTAAACTGATTCAGATGTAAACGCTCATTTACGGGTCTTTTTTATTGATATCGAAAGAACCTCCATTTTTGTATCACGTGATTATAATTACCTCCCCTTGTGAACTGGAATTTGAATCGTGTTAAACACCGAAAGTCATTGACAACAATGCAATGTATTTCAATCATTCGATCTTAATCGGCTCATTATTGCCGGCTTCAGTCGGTCCATGTTTAAAAAAATCCTACTTATAAAACAATGAATCGTAGAACAGGTTAATTATTATAACTTGTGGCTACGAATACGATACGATGATAGTCACCATACCTTAGTCAGAATCTGGGTCATTAGCACATTTAACGGTAGTTTTGATAATCCGGAAAATAATAATTGGATTACACATTTGATGGTTTTACTGACGAGTTGTTAGTTAAATTTAAATAGTCATTCGATATAAACCCCAGATAGAACACCGAATATCCTGAGAAACACACCGAATAACCTGAGAAACAGTCATATCCCGATGACACGTGACATTGGTTGGAATTAGGTCAATCATTATAAACCAGCGATACTAGATTTAGATCGAAGTGTCGTTTACCATGATGATGATGATACACATGCTGACAGAGGCTTACTCTTTAAAATATTGTCGTTATTATGGACGGCTATTAATAGTCGTACGGAATTTTATTTTAAACCAATTTCAATTATGGTTGTCACTATTACCATTAGTAAGCTACATTACGTGAATTAAATATGGAAAATTATTTTCCTTTCAGTCAGTGTTCAGTGTTTGAGTAGACTTGATTTTTGGGTTTATGTTCTAAGTATGTATAATATATAACTGAAAGCAAAACCGTAGACAAGTAATGACTTTCTTATTAAAAAAAAAAAAAAAATACAAGGCCGCCCTCCCGCCCCAACAATTTTCAACAATAGGCAAATTTTATTTTGCACCATCCTCTAGCCAGAAATGAGATAAAAAAAAAAATAAACCGCCCTCCCCCCCTACAGTTTCAGCTGTCAGTTGCCCGAGAAACAAGACATTTATTTTGTGTAGCCTTAAATGCAGATTCAAAGAACGATGACATTTCTATTCATTTATAGCAACAAATAATACAGCCATTTTCACGAATCCGGTAGGCTTAGAGTATTTTGAACAGTCGCTCGTTGAACAAAAAAGTTTTTAATTTCCCTTGACACTTAAAAAAAATTAAAGATTTTATCAACAGTACACTACCTGTGGAAGAGCACCATAATTCCAAATATAACCATGATGTGGAAAACAATTCTTGACAAATCTCAATTTACCCTTTTTAACATCTTGTTTTATAGGGTTAAGACTTTCTTCTTTACAGACCTGAAAAAAATGAAGGATGATACATTACCATTACACTTTTGTCAATCATCAGTTTACCGTAATTTTAATTATTATCCTGAAAGCAATCTGTTGGAATTGCAGACATCATGCATCCTTGAAGCAAATCAGTTTCTTAAAATTTTTAGGATTGTTAATTGTGTTATCCAGCAAGTTGTTTAACAGAAGCTTGTCAGTTTTTCCGTCTCAAATGAATGGCTTTCTTTGTCCATTCAAGGCCCTCCCTCCTGCACGGGGGAACTAAGACGGAAATCCCAATGAACTTTCTCGACCAACATTGGGATTGAACACTGGATCTTCAAGTTAGTGAGTAAATGTCTTACTCATTGAGCCACTTTGGATCTTTAAGACAAGTTGCAAATGGCCAAGGCAGCTTCATTGTTCAAGCGACCCATAAAGTTTGTTGCACTGTGAATCATATGTACGTCAAATGCAGAGTTATGTTATATTCAGATGCAAAGTTATGTTATATTCAGAACTTTAGATTAAAGTCTAAGCTTATACCTCAAAACAGATTTACAATCAGTTTGCAAAGTGAACAAAGTTCATAACTTTTGAACTAATGAACAGAAATTGTATGTAAATTTTAAACAGATTGTCTCTGTTGTCTCCAAGGCTTTTACAATATCTTACTATGAGAATAGGGGCATAACTCTGGCAGTTATCAGAAATCAATAGATTTCTTCTCATCTCACTAATATTAACATGCAGATTGGATGATAAATGTAGTCTGTTCGAGGATGGGAATACACAACCACAATTTAATGAGGGCTTACAAAAATCAATACATACCTCCATTTTTGCATTCGTCCATCTTGGAATTTCAACAACCATATTAAAGACATTATCAGTTCCTGGAACTCTTAATGGAATATCATGCCATGGAGATATAAATTTACCATTTTGATCCTCTGAAAATAGAAAATTTTCAAGATGCATGTAAGGATTAAATAAAGAGCTGACTGTTCTAACTATAATAGTTCAACCTGCAGCTGCCTGGCAAGATACGCCCATATTTTGCAAGAGATGAATTGAGAACAAGCTAAATAAAAAGCGATTTTTCGTACAATCAAGGGCGTTATGATCCGATATGCACGAAATTTGACAGGAATCAAGATCTTTGGGTTATAAACATGTATTTCAAATTTCATCAAAATATTATGACCACTAGAGGGTCCACAACCTTGATATACCATATTTTTACACTATTTGCTTACGAGGGCAGCCATTTTGTCTGTCAGTTTTGGTCCGATTTCCCCGAAATTTGAATTCAGCCATCATTATGGTGCAACGGTGATATATTTAAACGTTTCTTTTAAATCGGATAATAATTTTGACCTCTAGAATGACCACAATTTGAAAACGCGATTTTTCGTATAATCAGGGGCCATTATTCAGGAAGTTATGGTCCGATATGCGAAAATATCAAAAGGAACCACAATCTTTGGATTATAAACATACAATTCAAGTTTCATCAAAATCAGATAAAAATTGTGACCTCTAGTGTGTCCACAACTTTGGTATTACATACTTTTACAATATTTGCGTACAAGGAGCGGCCATTTTGTCCAACAGTTTCGGTCAGATTTTTACAAAATTCAAACTCAACCTTCATTAATGTCTAATAGGGATATATTTAAACGGTTTTTAAAATTGAATACAAATTGTACAATCAGGGGCCATAATCCAGTAAATAAGTTCGGATATGCGCGATTATCGGAAGGAACCAAGGTCTTTGTGATATAAACATAAATTTAAAGTTTCATCAAAATCAGACCACAATGTTGATATACCATATGTTTACACTATTTGCGTATGAGGGGCAGCCATTTTGTCGGCCAGTTTTGATCTGATTTTCGCGAAATTTGAACTCAACCATCCTTAGGGTGTAACGGTGATATATTCAAACGTTTTTTTAAATCGCGTAAAAATTATGACTCCTAAAGGCCCACAAGCTAAAAACGTGATTTTTCGTACAATCAGGGGCCATAATTCAGGAAGTAACGGTCCGATATGTGCAAATATTGAAAGGAACCAAGATCTTTGGGTTATAAACTTACATTTCAAGTTTCAACAAAATAGGATAAAAATTGTCACCTCTATAGGCTCCACAAGCTAAAAACGTGATTTTTCGTACAGTCAGGGGCCATCATGAAGCTTTGGTCCGATACATGCCAATATCGAAAGCAAGCGAGATCTTTTGGAGATAAACCTATATTTCAAGTTTCGTCAAAATCGGATAAGAATTGTGAGGTATAGTGTGTCCACAAACAATTGTCGACGGATGGACGTCTGGGCAGACTGGGTGACGACAATATACGTCCACATAAAAATGTGGGCGCATATAAAAACCTATATTTCAAGTTTCAGACGGACAGGATGACGACAATATATGTCCACATGAAAATGTGGGCATATAAAAAATTGAATATGTTAAAAATTTAGCTTGAAGTTCTTTATTCTTAGAGAAAGTGAAGATACATGTATAATGAGCTTTTGAAGTTTTGACAATAAAGTCTTGATTGACAAGAGCCATTGCTAGAAAAATAAACAGTCTTGATTAAACATTTTATCTTTAAATTATTAAATGGTAAGGTTGTTATAATCCATTCAATATCACAGCCATCAGATGGTCAAGAGCATTTGTCATGGGCTGGCCATGTGAATAAATCTGCAATTAATAACATATAATGCAATTTTAAAATTAATCTAATTTCTTAGTTTGCCATGGGGTTGATTGGTGCAGAAAATTCCTGGGTAAAACAAAATTAGGAAACAAATTCCTGGCAAAATTCCAATATAGAAATACCTAGAATCAACTGATAGAATGCAGAAACTTGATTTCCCTGGGAAAGACCTTATACACTAGAAACACGTATAATATATAATGTTAGCAGAGAAAATGATTTCTCCGGGAAAACAACATTAGTGATTACAAAGCACACGATTTTAACAAAAGAATTGTGTTTAAACCCCATTAAGTTTCACATTTCTATACACTGTGCTATGATTTCATTGTAAGTAATGATTAATGGTATCGGTTGTTAAAAAAAATGCATGTAGAAACTAGAATGTATGCATCGAAACATTTGCTTGACTATTCATTGCCTACCCTTTGCTCTAGATGATATTTCAATTTTTATATGATTATCATACATACATACATACATACAATAACATTAGGTTCTACCAAGGTTACTCATAATTTTGTATAAGACAGTATGCCTATTGAAATCAAGGCAGTTCTTTATTAATGAGCTTACACGGGCACTCAAAGGGATTAAAATAAAACGTCTCACTACTGCTTGACTATACTATATATTACAATTATTACTGTAATACATGTATATAGTCAAGCAGTAGTGAGACGTTTTATTTGAATCCCTTCAAGTGCCTGTGTGAGCTTATCAAGTAAAAGGAAGGCGGTTTAGGGTCCTCTTATCATTAAAATTGTAAACCCCGATTTTTAAGATTAAAAATACTGTACATGTTGCATTTAATTAAATAGTCTACACCCAGACCCAATGTTATAAGTTATTATGAAACCTGGTTTAGGTCTGATATAAAATGAATTGTAGACTAATATGGGTGTAAATTTACACAAACAATAAGACATGTTGTTACTTGTTTTATATTGATTTGTTACTTCATCTATTGACATATCCTAGTTTAAAACAGCAAGGTGGTACATAACACACTATAGTACAAAGTACAAACCCTCAATCTTCATATGTACAATATGTACACCTACAGTCAAAAATAATAATGATGTCTTCAAAATTGTCAAATTAATTAAAGGAGCTAAATTGCTAATATTTGGGACCTACAAATTGACACAATTGGGTCGCAACGTATATAATAATGTAATATGAATGTAAATAAACTGATTTACATTGAATCGTTTCCGTTTTTACTCTAATTTCAAAGCAGTTATTTTCGGCGAAATACGCCAGAAGTCTCAATCGGATGGCAATCTCTGGCGACTGGTTATTCCAGTCTATACCGATAGTATTTATTGCGCATGCTCTCCAGATAAGAATATGGGGTCACCGTTTGACAATACTTGTGGAATATGTCTAACCTCGTTCTTCGGGTCACCTGTTACAAATTGCGCTGAAAAGCATTATGGTACCAATCGTAAAATGTTTATATTTTGTCTTAAATATTGGATATCAAAAGACCATCTTTTCCCGGTAAGATCACAACACCACTGTTGATTAAAATTGACAAATAATTTGTGTTTTCAATGTCGAGGGTTTTGGATGATACTGAGTTAGAGACTTAGCTACTTTAAGCTTACCTATTACTTTTTTACATGTATTTAACTACTATAACTCACCTACATGTAAGTCAGAAGTCATATTTGTGAACTTAAATATTTTAATAAAACATGTCAATGATGGATTCTAGTTGAACAAATAATAGGTTAGATGTTAGAATATGTCCACCCACTTGCAATAGTTGTATTGCACTAAACACCCGAGTTATGGGACCTCAGATTAGCTCTAGTGCTAAAAACAACTGATGGACAGATTCTAATATCACATCCAATTATTTTTGGCTGGTACCGTAGCCCATTAAAGATCAAGGAATTAAAAGTTTTTATAAGGATAAGAAAATGCAACAATGTCATAAAAGGGTCCTATGTCAAGTGGTCAGGGGTGGGAAATTAACCCCCTCGAAAAAAATATATGTTATTGTACATGTAAAAACTAGAAACTGTGCAAAATTTGACCGAGATACGGCATTTGAGTTTCATGAGTTACCCATAAGTTTTCGAAAAAAAAATATGTATTAATAATTTACTTGGGTTTCAGATATCTTAGTTTTATCTTTCTAGTGAAGATATACAGCTCAAATTTGGTAGTCTGAAAAAAATTTTTGTATAGATTACGAATCTGTAATCAGATTACAGGTGAGTGGCAGGGTTCGCGTGCTACTTGGCCATAAATGCTGAAAAAAACTTGGTGTTAATTGTATATTTTCTGGATTTTGTAGTACTCCAAGAGGTACAAAGTAATGACATATAGACACAAATTTTGACCTATCCAGAGATTGCCGGTAGTACTACATAAGAAACATGAAAATGCATCAGTCTTCACTAGGTTCCCAGAAAATTGGCCTCGAATATAGTTTCAGACAATTTTTCGAAAATTGCCTCACATTTTCGAGCTGATAGAACCCGGTAGAAGAGCACAAAAAAATCTGAAACTTGGTGTAATTATAGTTTGTACTAATGTCTCCAACATATATTAAAGCCATTCTTGTCCCATGCCACCTCGATATTTTTTCAATTTTTTTAAAAATATGTGGTTTGGGTCATTCCATGTCAATTATCACCCAACGAGTTAAACCGTACCTACTTGATTTTGCTGAAATTTGGTTTATATGTTTATTAGGGCTGAAAATGCTGATATTCCAAATTTTAGCTTGATCTGGCTAAAAGTTCCTTAGATACGGCTCACCAAATTTTGGGGTTTTAGGCCAAAATTGGTGTGGCTGTCATTATTCAAATGACCATAACCCAGTAACCAATAGGTCAAAATTGCTGGAAAAAGTATTTCTGGAATGGGAAAGACAATGACTTGCTGTTTGAATAATAGTTATCTAGCTTTAGGAAAGTCTGCGGCAGGTTACTATGTATCCCCAGAGCTTATCTATGAACATAAGTAATGATGATTGAGGCTATTAAATTTATATAAAAAATCCTGGCTATACCTATAGTCTACACACCATCTCCTATATATATATACGTTGATATATACTTATGTGCTTGTTTTAGCTACGATTGGGTGCCTTTAGTTTCACCTGGCAAACTTAATTTTGTTGTTAATGCATGTTACATCTTAAAAATAAGTTTAATTTTATAGTATTCAGACTTATTAAACATACATAGCATAATCTAGTAAAACAACTTTCATTCATCTGCAAATATTGTCAATAAAGTGAATCAGACTTTGTTTGTATCAAAATTGATACGGACATTCACAGTTACAGTGCAACTCGTATCAGGTTAGTACTTTGATTGGCTTTTGTACACGACTTAAATATTAGCCTTGCCTTCATGACGTAAAGATGTCAAATTCAATATCCTGTGTCAGTAAACAGACAGTTTTATGGATAACATTCACTAGGTTTATTAACTGCAACGTTTCAATGAGGATACTCACCGTTATCAAGCAATGATACAATCAAACATGTTACATAGAAGGTTATATACAAGTGGATAACAATAAACTAATTAACAGTTTGAATCAGAAGCCATTCAAAGTTAAACCTCATACCTATGAAAACTGATAATATGAGCCCTTAATCTCTATTACGAATACAGAATAAGAACAACTAGTAAATAAGAAATCATATTGATGCACTTTAATCCCCTACTCCTATATAAGGATTAAAACAGTGTGTAACAAAACATATTATAAAGGTCTAGGATCCTAACAATTTGTACAAAATTGAAACCATAATAAAAGAAAGAAAGAAACTGTCTGTATATATCGCTTTTACTAAATGCCTTTTTAAGATACTATCCGATGTCAGGTAGGATTATATGCTCAAGTGTAGTTGGATGTGGCAGAAATTTTATAAAGAAAAAATTGTCAGGTTTGCTTATTGTCCAATCTGAACTCAATCAAGCTGAAGTTGCCAGGTGAATCTATATAGTACCTTCTCTTATCACAAAACACCAAGGTTGAGAAATGAGGTTTCTTATCTAACCATCTCCATGCCATACCTAATTTCTACCTCCCCACACCCAAATCATGAATTTTTACAAAGTAAAAGTCATCAATTTTAAATTACTTTGTCTTTCTTAGGCCTACATTAACATGCTGGTTATGCATGAATGATTATTATTACTGTTACGATATTCAATGATCTTTTTAAACAATGCCAATTATTCGGCCACTTTCATAATAATGTCAATAATGATAAACATTTAACATTTTGAGACAGAAAAGTAGGAATAATAAATAAATTTTTCAAGTTGATAAAATTCAATGACTTTATTTATTACTCTTCAATCAACACTATAGCATGCCCAATGTTATTTTTATCACCAATAATACTGACACTTATGTTATAGATTATCACACAGTGCCTATCAGTAAATGTTCAGTCTTAATGACGGTGGATAAACACCGGTTGTAAGTATAAGATCAGTTTGTCTTACTTTGACTGTCACTTATCTACAATGTCAAATACGAGGGTTACTTACTGAAAAACAATCTTTCATTCAAACTATTAGATTGTCCACGTTGCTCAACCGAATAAGACTGTATTGATGCCATTCTGGTCGCCTGTGGTATTAAATGTCGACAGGTAACTTCAATCCGCCGAGTTCTGTGAACTGAAGCCACAATCAATGAATATATACCTCTACCACGTTGCATCGGATCTAGTAAACAGTCTGTTTGCGCATGCGCATTGATCATTATCAGCGCCTCCTAGAGAAATGACGGACACCATTTAATTAAGGTTACAGGGAAATCGTTTAAAGGAGATTGGTAGGGCGCTTTGACATAACTAAAATTCTCAAATTTCTACTTTTCCAGGGAATAGGCCAATGAAGATGTCTGTATAAAGTGCGTGGATTTTTCTTGGGGAATAGCCAATGGGAGATTTCTGTTCATACCAAAAATTCATTGTTAATGTACCGGTATACATATTTTTTGAGGGTCAAATTTTAAAAAAATAAATTGTAAATGCGTCTTCAAATTAATTTCTATCACATCATTGTCAAATCTTGATATAGTTTGTAATGCCCATGCAGCGCATCATTTTAGATTTAGCCTTGGCGTACATATAAAGATTTTGTTATAGGCCTAAGTTTTCTTTCAAAAGCGAAAAACTAAAATTTTGTTCGACGCCAATTTTCAAAAATGAAATCAGATACTTTGTAGGGCCTACACAAATTTCAGAAATATTTCGATATGAGAAAATAAAGTCAAGCCATCCATTATTGTGGACAATGAGGGAAATTTTGCCCAGAGCGGCGCAACGGCTTATATTATTTCGAATGTCAATAGTCAAGGCTTCTTTTATGTGCACCCCAAAGTGTACACGGGAACTCGGTTGATTATAATATAGACTCATCATCTTACGAAATTTCATGCATAAGTATAGTATACGCCTTTCGTTACACGTACACACACGCGCGCGCGTTTCCTGGTGCGAATCGTGATAGCATTTGGGAACCTAGCATAACGACGACTGTATTAGTATTACCCATCTTATATTTCTATCGTGAGTAATCGTGACACCTCACAGGTTTGCACGCATACTAAACTAAGGCTGTCTGTCTACAGTTAGCTCCGCTTGAGAACAGACACTAAGCTAGTTAACCGACATTTTGAATCCTAAATCGACGATTTTAGTCGAAAATACTAAGTATATTTCGAGAATTTTGAGAAGTACTTATTCTGCTTTCATTTAATGGAATTGAATAGAATTTTTTAGTCTTTGTGTGTATGCCAGATGTGAAACGAAGTAGAACCGCATTACAAAGCAATATACTATTTTTTAGATATGGCGGAAATTTAGGACAGAGATCTATTCTCAAAGTATGAAGTAGGTGGATCTCTGTGTGCAGAATGGTTTGCACGCATAAAGTGAATGTCAGACCTTTTATGCTCCTTAACGCCGTCACACGTGTAGAAATAAAATAGATATTGAGTAACTTCCTTGTTGAATAAGTATGCCAATAATAATATAATATAAAAAAGACGGTGTGATGTTGGTGTAATTCATATACATTTTGATCATGCTTGGACTTTTTTTTTAATAACCAGAAGCCGCTGATAGTTCCTAGCTCTTCCTATATACTAATATAGATGCAATATGAAAATACCGCTCATCCCCACCTCTGGTCTAAGGCTATTTTGGAATCCTTACCGACTATTTTTCACCCTGATTCTTCTTTGTTTACCAACGGAATCATTTTTTGCCACAACTGAAACACATTTATAATAATTCAACACTATTTTCAAGTAGAATTTTGCGATTTAAAACATACACAAAATACGTTTGAACTGATCAGCCATTACCATTCAAATATTCAACGGGTCTTGAAATTTGTATTCGAATAGTATTCGAATATTTTCGATATATTTAAAGTGGTTTATATTTAATTTATTATACTTCCTAATCAATTATTAAATACGTGAAATCTCCGTTGACTCGTGATCAATGCACAAGATAATATTTTAGCAATTGCCAGTGGATCTTTTACGTAAACTGCCAATTTGTACACAAGAACTCGGCCTTCCACGACATCAAAACAAGTTTTTCTATCACCAGTGTATAGGAATTCTTCCGCGCTGCATCCGAAACGCATCCGAAACGAAAGGCATCTCTTTCATCGTGGGTCTAGCACTGCAACAATTTCCATCATTTCACGGAAATTATTGTCGTCTAATCGCTTTTCCATATTTAGCAGAAAACAGTCTCTTCATGTTGGTAATGAATGTGGGTTCACCCAGCTGTTTCTTCTTGACGAATCCAAGTAAATCCACCACAATGGCATATTTAGATGACAACGTACAGTGAGTTTCGCTACACATTTGTTCAGATATAATGTGAAGTCTCTAAAGGGGGTCAACACTGATTTAGCTTTCACCCAGAATTCAGCATCGGGCTCCCTGGCTCCTTACCGAATAACTGTCTCTGAAGACAGTAGATCTTTGTAGGGGTAGCACCCTTACAAGCCGGGAGAGAGAGAGAGAGAGATGGGGTTTAACGCTCACTCGACACAAATTAGGTCATTTCGCGACTAACATATGGTTCAATTTATTTCAATAATTCGCTGGCGCGTAGGGGTCTTTAGCAGTGGAAGGAAACCGGAGGACCCGGAGAAAACCCACGAGGTTGGAGAGGCGATCCTACCCCTTGTCACGTACAACCGTTGTATCGAAAGCACGACAGTAAGTTGACTCAATGACAGACCTTATGATACATCGCGCACAGGCTAACCATTCGGCCATCCACCCCGCCCCACCCTTACAAGAGGTAATCTAAATAAGCTTTGAATGAAATTGTGGCAAGTTGCCTTTAATAATATTTGAGAGCAAATAGAATAAATAATGTAGATATTCGAATATGGTGATTGCTATTCGAATATTTGAATATTATATTCGACGAGCGAATATTCGAATATTCGTAGCATGTTTATTTAATCGCTAAATTGTACTTGAACATAGTGTTGAATTATTATAAATTTGTGTCAGATGTCAAGAAATGGTGTTGTTTGCGAAAAATAAACATTAACGGTAAAAAAAAAATAGAAGGTAAGGGTTCCAAAATAGTCTGAGAAAAGAGGTGAGGAAGAGCGCTGTTTTGCCGTATTTTCATATTGCAGCTAAAGGAACTAGTATCAAAATATATCCGTGGAGTCAATGTTGGGAAATAATTCCAGACGGTTGTCAGTTTTGGCGGGGAAATTAGAATTTTACAAAATGACAACAATTGGTGTCAAAATATACGTTTTGGGGGCAGCTAATTCCATTTTCGTCACATTTTCTCATATTGGAATGAACTCGTTCCCCTGGGTCAAAATATGTGGAAATCCCATTGGAGATAAAGAGTAGTCGAGTTGCCTGAGATCTAATACGATGGCATTCACCAAGCATCAACTAAATTTCATTTAGACTCACTGGCCGATCACTGCTCACTGCGGAAGATGGCCAAACCTATGAACACAGAGAATTTATTTCATAAAATGATTTAAATGATGAGACATAGATGTATCCCGATATGCAGTAAACCATTTGATAATGAACTGCCCATCGTCATTCTGAAAATTACCGAAAGATAACGGGTATTATCGGCCGACAATAGGCCTAATGAGCCGATGAAGATCCCTGGCCAAAAATCAACAATGAGCAGATATAACAATTTCAGTGGTAGAGGGATGGAAAGGCAAGACTAAGTTCGACAATGAGCCAAGGGCGTGTAGTCTTTCGCTGCAGACCATGTAAAAGACAAAGTTCCGTAAAAAATGAATTTTGACATGGTAGTTTTCACCGATCTCGAAATCACGACCATAATTTATCAGCTTAGCCGCCTTATTAAAGCCTCCAATACCCGTTATTTTCGGAATAACGGCGGGCTGTAGATTAACAAATGGTTATCTGCATCTCTGACCAGAAGCGATACTGTAACCATCTGTGTCTCAATTTTTGAATCATTTTGTGAAATAAATTCGTCACGGCTTCAATAGGCTTGATCAGCTTCCGCAGTGACACAGGAGTGGCCCCAGTCGGCTGGGAGACACCACAAATTAAATTTAGTTGATACTGGATGAATGCCATTGTATTATAAGGTAAAGTCTAATATAGTCTAATGTGTTTGTGATTTCCATATATTGTATCTTGTCCGTAGTTTTGTTTTGTGTAATTGTGTGTGGTGCAGTCCCCCTCCAATCAACCAACAAATCGTTTACACTCCACGGAGGTGGGATCGTCGGGCAATGTTTTTGAAAATTTAACTGCCACAAACGCGTTTCCTGCTATTCCAGCCCGTGAAACAGTAAGTTCAATGTGGTCCTGAGGTGACTTACCGGAATCCAAAATCCCAAACAACCAATCCATCGTTGCGGGGTATGGGGGACTCGTACTCCCTGAGAAAATTTTGAAAAATTAACCGCCGCAAATGAGTTTTTGTGTTATTACAACCGATGAATTAAGCAACTTCAAAGTTTCCAGTCGGTTTGCACCCGAAATCCCACTCTATGCCGACCTGAATTCCAACCATCAATCATACCCGAAAAATTTCGCACAAAGTAGAGTGGCTCCAGATAAAATGTTTTAATCCATAGTCAATTCAGTACAGAAATGTGCTATGGGGGAAATTTTGCCTGGACAGCGGCACTATGGCCTACTCTTATACCGAATTACAACTTTCAAGGGAACTTTTATGTGCACTTCAATGTGTACACGGGACTCGGTTTTTTGTCACTTCCAAACAACGAGACAGCTGTCCTTGTCAGGTCCTGCATCACTGACAAGGGAGAACTACGCCGGAAAATCAGGATGAACTTCCTCGGCCAATGCAGGGACAATTCAGTACAAATTCGTGGTATTCCATTAAAAGAAAGGTAAAATTAGTGTTTTATTAGATTTCGTGCACTTCTTTGTGAATATTATTTTAATTAAACATATAAATATGAATTTTCATCGTGTTCGAATTACAATATTCTGAGTTATAGTGTTCTGGTATTGGTGAATAGCAATCTGATAAAAACCCAGATCCTATTTCATTTCATTTTTTATAGTTCAAAATTTCGTTTTATTTTTCTGTACCACACTAGGATCTGGAAGAATTATTATATACGCCGCGTGGGGATTAGCTGATTGATTAATTAATGATTAATCAATGTGTGACGTCATAGGGTCAAAAGCCGTCTGTACCTCTGACCTTTTACTACAACCGGTCAGATCTTCATGTAGTGTATGCCATCGAAAGTATAAAAAAAACGAAACGAAATATAGTTCTGTATTGTAATCAGATTGGGTGAATAGTATCTACTTAATCTTCCAATTATGTTCTATTGCTCAATTCATTTACATAAATAGTATCTATATAGCTTCATCCTGACCTAAAAATAGAGTAACCTTATTATACTTGAAGATGGTGTTGCCTTTCGAAAAAGGGAATCTTCGAATAATTGATTAAATCGTGACTTGGCAGTTGGAATTCGACAAAGAGTAGGCTATAGGCACCACACTGTGCTGTGCGAGCAATAACTACCTCATGGCACACTACACCTTGTATACCCCTCTTCATTATCCCAGTTGCAGAAAATCAGTACGTTAAAGGCTCAATACCACTCTTGTTGTAACTGAATAATATGTCCCAATCTTTATTCTGGTAAACAAATTGTACTATTTCACAATATTCCAATTAATTGATGATACAAATTTCATCTTAACACACCTAATTTAAACAATTGGAAAAATTCAACTAAATGATTTGAAAAGCCTGACGTAAAACTTTTCAAATGTGACATGGATTTAAAAATATTTTTGAACCCTCTGGACAAGTAAAATTGAATTTAATGGATAATTTACACAACAGGTAGGACACTAACACATCTAGTACTTAGAATAAGGCTATTTTTTTAATTTCTGGAGCTGTCAAGCCAGCAAGAGTGTTATTGTCCCTTTAAACCCCGCTTCATTTCATTTATTTTCATTCTAGCTGGTGATCAAAAGAAAAATGTCCTGATGTCACCAAATTCTACAAGCCTCTTTATCTATACTTTATATCGTAATAACGTTAACATCAAGATTAAAGGGCCAATCTCGATTATATTTTGGAGAATATAACTGCTTAATTTTGTATTAAAATCCCTTACCTTGGGGCCGAGCAACTAACTCAATATACATCAGAGGCGGATTCAATGGGGGTGCGAGGGGCGCCCCCCCCCCCCAATTTTCGACAGTGCCCTTTTTTACTGCTGAAAGTGCCTTTTCCCAGACTTAAATATGTCCGTTCCCTACCCGTTGTAGGGATCCCAAATGACTCAAACCATCGACTCAAACACACCAGTCTGGGAAATAGCTCTTGGAATGGCTACAGATGCAAGGAAATGACGGATAATTTTCTTGGGGACCCCCCCCCCCCTCAGCGGTCAATGCCTTCATTTTGCAGCCCCCCCCCCTTTTCAAAATTCCTAGATCCGCCCCTGTACATGATACGTTTTCAAACAACTTACGTCGGCCAGTCTTCATCTGGAAATGGAGACTGGTGTCCCAAGCTGTATTATACGGTTTCTGGATAAAACCAGACTTTTATTTTATAAAAAAAACGTTGAGGTGAAATTTACCTTTCGTTATCAACAGTACGTGGACCATGCACTGAATAGACCTCTAAAAGGACGGCGATATATCATCGGGTCACCCAACGAAAAAATTGACACGGAATCTTAAAAGAGTCCCGTTTTGGTTTTTTTTGACGTTCATGTCCAAACGACTCAATATTTTGAGCTAAAATTTTGAGGCAGGGTAAATACATCATTCCTCTATATTCTGGCGCTTAAATTTCATACGTACACAGACTTTTATTTCTGAGACAGTTACAATCACGAAACTTTACTATGTTTAGAAATTTTTCATCGCAGAGAAGGATGTAATTTATTACAACCTTCATTAAAAAAAAAAACGTTATCTGATCCCAGGATGAGCTTTTTAATATATTCTGGCATGCAGTGTGCAAAAGAAATTTCTTTATATAAAAAAAAAGAGCAAAGATTTTTTTTTCATACATTCATTTATGAATTGAATTTAGTTACGCACAAGTTATCATATTCAATTTTCTGTTCATAACCATCGACATTAAAAAAATAATACAACAATGAAAGTACACTTTATCATTCTTAACATTGTTGTTGCATAAAAGATCACAGTATTATAATAATAACATTATTTAACATTTACTTGAATTTTAATCTGACCGAAGAAATTATTCTATATGTTAGTGTTACAATTGTAGTTTTATTTTTGCTTAGGACCTTGATAATGTAGCTATTTTTATCTTCTATTATATCTTGTAAAGTTTACATTAATCTGTTGCTATTTAACCAGTATGTATTTGTTATATAAAGCGTGGGATTGGGGTGTCTGAAGCCAATTTATAGTGTCATTTTGCAAGTTTACAGCACGTTGCCCTTAATCATTCAGAATTGGGGGATTGACGAATAGTGCCTATTTGATTTATTTAAGTCCGTCGGATAGGACGATCTTCCAATTATGTTCTATTGCTCAATTCATAAAATAAATCTTTACGACACAAGAATTATCCATCATGAACTAAAGATAGTTTGCCGGGCAACGAAACATACGTCCACAGTAGTTAAATCGTCCGGGCAGTCAATAAGAGTTGTCGCATATTTTTACTTTTATTGGTAATGAAACGTTTATAATACTCTAAAATCTGAGAATAACAACTCATTAAGTAATTATCAGAAAATCATTAGAATTTGTTTGACCCATGCTAAGGTTTAGACAAAACATTTAATATCATGGATTTTAAAAGCTGTTCAAGTTATCAAAAATCATTAAAAATCAATATACTTGTTTGTGTCAATCTAAAGTCAATCGAAACGATTATATAGGTGTAAACACGGTGTATAAATATAAAATCAATCAGATGATAACTATGGTCTCTAAAGCATCCACAAGATTTTTTCAAAGTGATTAAGGGCCATAACTTTGACTAATTATCGGAAATCATTTAAAATCAATATTCTTCTTCATCTGGTGACCTTAAATACTGTATATAAATTTAAATGAAATGAAATGGGGTTTAACATCCTACTGTTGTTCTGAACTGGGCTAATGAAGACGGGCATAAGCCATAGCGTGTGCTATGAGGGAAATTTTGCCCGGACAGCAGCAACACAGCCTACTCTTATATCGAATTCCAACTGTCAAGGGATCTTTTACGTGCACGCCTATGTATAAATTTAAAGTCAATTGGATATTAACTTACGCTCTAGAGCATCCACAAGATTTTTCATATTGATCAAGACTCCTAACTCTGGCAGTAATTATCGGAAATCGTTCAAAATCAATATGATTTTTCGTCTCATGACCTTAAACAATATGTATAAATCTAAAGTCAATCGGATATTTAATTTAGCCTCTAGAGCGTCCACAAGATTTTTCAAGTGATCAAGGGCCATAACTTTGGCAGTAATTACCGGAAATTGCTGAAAATCAATATGCTTTATCCTATCATGACCTTAAACACTGTATAAATTTAGAGTCAATCGGATATTAACTTTAGCCTCTAGAGCTTTCACAAGATTTTTAAAAGTGATCAAGGACCATAAATCCATAAGATTGTGGACACCAGATGGACGGGGGAGGGGGGGCGGCATCAACAAAATACGACCTCATTTCAATGTGGGCGTATAAAAATGGAACACATCCCTGTATCTGGAATTTGCTCAACAAAATCATCTTTATAAAACCTGGCTATGGAAGACTAGATTTATTCAAAAATGATTATAAAATATACATATCTTCTACCCCTTTCCCGTTACATTTTACAGAATATATATATATATATACTTTATTAGTCTCAACATCTTGACGAAGTATAACACCTCTGTCAATTAACAAAATACTGAATACACACAATATTCTATCAAATGTACACATTTTTCACAAAACATTTATATCAAAACTTGGATATTAGAGCTCCAAACTACTGTCTTTTACGATACGGTATTTTAACGAAATAGATTGGTGTTCTAATTTATTCATGTTAGATCTTTAAACTTTTAATATCTCTGGTTTATTGACCATAAGCAATCAGGGAGGTGAATTCTCACACCCAACACCAATCTACTATTCAAGGAAATGATTTTAAAAAGAGAACTTCTAGTTCAATTTTGTAAGAGGATGTTGGTATACTACCCGGTATTATATCTTTTTATCTACAGATCATCTGTGTAGATCCACATGTCTCCATACTGACATCATAAAGGAAACCAAACTTTTTCCTGGATTGACTTATCCTAGTTTTAATGACTAACCATCCAACAGGATGTACTCTCTAAGGCGAGATAAGAAAATGTCACAAAACTCATTATGACTGAAAGACAAATCAATTACTGACATGCAATAACAAAATAAAGACACTCACACTTAATTTCAAATATATACTTACAAATAAATAAAATGAATAAAAATTGAATTTCAAAATTGAGCAGGTTAATTATATACCCAAATGATTCTCTGATATTATATATTCATTTTATTTACACTAATTTATTTATATGAGCTTTTACTAAAATATTCCACATACATGTATTTATGAACATAATATCCATAACAAAATATATTACATAAATTATTTTAAGTTTAAGTTGCAAAAAATAGGCAATTGTATTCTATCAACATAATGATTCAAACAAACACTGTAATCTAACATATAACGATAATGAACTATTTGGCAGTGTAACTATAGGAATGTTTTACAACTTCAAATATACACTATTTACAAATGCCTGATTGATGTCTATTCTACTATTTACATAAATTATAAGAAAATTTCTCTATACAATTCTATTTACAAAACAACCATACAAAGGCCTATTACATTAATGCTTTTTTTTATTTATAAACATTCGAATACCACAAATCTGTACATCTAATAATTTGATACATGCATGGACCTTATTATAAGGTCCATGATACCAGTAATATATTTATATAAAAAATATAATACTTTTCACAATATTTAAGGATTCAATATTCTCTTTTATTAATATTCTTACTTTCACAAAATAATACTGCACTATTTCTAATGAACACTTTTTATATATAAAAACTTACCAGTACATGTAAACAAAAGGGATATTGCACTGCAAGATAACTGATCCCAGTCAACAATGTAATGATGAGGAGTCAATTGCTAATCGTTACTTTCCTAATTACAGGTATCTTATAATGAGCAAAGATCAGTAATCAATTAGAGAAATAAAATATTTAAAATATATATTTGGTACATAAGAAGTAATAAGTGCACTAATAATAATATTACTTTGGCAAATAATTTTATACATGTATCCACAAGTAAATAACATAGCCATATAGGATGGGTGGCTTTGCAAGCACATTTCTCCTAATCATAAAGCTTCCTTTAGTTATGTATGATATGGAAACGAAAAATTGGATATATTTTCTTGACCACAACAAAATAATATACATAAGAGTTTGTTGTTATCCATTATGGAGATCAACAAAATCAGTAAGAGCTTGAATCTTATAAATCTACAGTATTTCAATTTTGGAAAGAACATGACTTTTACGCAAAGCCACCAAGATAACTGAAACTTTGGGGAATGATCGTACATAGACTGATGTTTGTAGGATTTAATGAAAATTTTATGGGTCCTGTTTTTTGGGGTCACCTTGTATATGCTGGGATCAAAGCACCATGCTTCATATAGCTAAGCAAGTCTTATCAAATTTTATAGATTTCCTTTTTACGAAAACAATCAATAATACCGAACTGTTGATACATGTATTGTATATACACAAACTATTCCTGTATAGTATGATAGGAAAATCTATTGATTAGATCTGCTAATTAAAATATCTGCTATCTGAAAGGCATTGGCAGTGAGAAATTTTAGCAATTTAGCATTAACGTTAATGTATTTCCATCAGTCAATAGTGAATAGAACATTGTAACATTGTTTCCTTGGTAGTATAATCAAAAAGCGTGGCTACATTAACTTAAAGTGAATTGCCTTATGGTGACAATAATCGACAGCCTAGAACTCTACGAGATAAAATGTATCGTTTTACTAGGTTCTGTTCACAAGAATTGTCAAATTGGGCAAACCAGTATCACCTCCCCCTCTCTCTCTCTCTTGCTAGTTTTGACATAAACCTGGGGTATAGACCACGGAGTCACACTATTTACATCACTGAGACTTTAACTCTCTTCAGTCACCACTCATCTCCGTTAAACATCGGCTGTCTCCAACCATTATTGGTTTATATTCCATTTCGTTTCATTTTAAAGTTTCAAAAATAAGACGTATTACTTCCAGGACCTAGACTGTTATTTGAAGATTCATTAGAGGATGATTTGTCAACTGGATGATGTACAGTAAATGTGGTTTCTATTTCCATAGGATCAGACCAACTAATGTCTTCTTCTGCCTGCAATAAAAATATAAAAAAAGAATTAGTCTAATCACCAATACATACATTACAATATTGAGGTTATTTCTGCTCCCATTCACTTATAATTAATTACCAGTAATGTTCAAAACCTAATTTCATTCATACCCACAAGGTGTTTGCAGACCCATACATACTAATAAATTCAGGAAGGTAGAATAAAAAGTCTGACATTGCTTATATCAAAAAATTTAAATTTAAATCAATTTTAAAAGTTCCATATCATTTATTGTAAAACAATTACATAAATTTATCTAAATATAAGGCCAGACCAATTTATTCTCTTGTTTTACGGATCCGCCGACCTGAATTTCTAGAACCCGCCCAAAAAAAAAAAACATAATTGTGTCCGATGAAAAAAAAAATCAACCTTCAATCCCCGATTAAAAAAAAAAATCGTCTTCTGGACTTCTAAAACTGACGAAATTTAGTAACAGTAAAAGTAATGAAAATGGTAGTGCACGCAATATTGTCAATAGGAATAGCAGCTAGCTTGTAGTAGCGACATCATGTTGCAAAAAATTCGGATTTGGGCGACATTCGGGAATTTACCGCCACTTCAAGATTCTTGCCGAAAATATATTATTTATTGAATCCGTTTGCTTATTACCCGACAAGCCGATGTCAGGTAATAATTATTCATGTTTCCGGGCCAAGACTTGAGAACACCGGCTCACTTGATGAGAAGTCATGGCCCCGAACATGTATAATTAACACATGTGATAATGTAACGAAGTCAATGATTGGATTAGCTATATCAGTTAGCCAATGAAATACGTGGTAGCTTATAAAAAAAAATGAAAGTTGCGTCGTATGTTTTACGAACGTGAGGATGGTGAGCCGTTATTTATTTTATTGGTGTTAATTATTCTGTGATCGTCATAGAAGGGTGCTAATTTTATTGGTCAGATAATTAATCAGTGTTGGACATGTGAGCTTACATAATATTGTCAAAACACGTAAGTTGAGTTTATGTTAAATAAAATACCGACCGAAATCCCGATTTTCAGATGCGACATCATGATCATGTCGGTCCGTATAGCGACATGAACCGTGTTATAGCGATTTCTGCTCCTGATTCGCCCATTAGCGGGACCCCTTAGCAGAATAATATCGACGACCCAAATCTCGAACGAAAGTATTCACATAAACGCTGCCTCCATAAACCTTGACAATGCCAGCCTCGCTCGTCCAAACGCTACGTCTACTCTACTAATGTATTTGGTGACATCCCGTGACCATTCGGTTCTTTCCGTAGAATACCGGTCCAGTTTTCACCTAGCCAATCGTGTGCATTCTTTTATTAATCCTACTTATAACCAGCCAATGAAATATGTTTTCACTTCCTCTTTGGCCAATAAATTCGCCATGATGGTTCAATACGACAACTTGTCTGCGATATCACCTCGGTGGAAGCGGACGTTAAATAAAACTAACTCACTCACACACTCAATACGACTAATCTAGGCGTGTTGTTGGTGACATTTGATTTCGCCTTTCAAGCCCCACAATGGATTCACGCTATTTTAGCGTGAAAGTGGTAAGAGCTTTGGAATCTTTCAAGTGCCTGATAAGAATAAGCCTCGATCGAACAGTGGGTGAACTGGCTAATTTAGCAATTGAGAGAGTGGGCCTACTTCCTACTTCTTCCACGCCCAGCATTGTAGATGATGATGGACTGCGCATCGAAAAAATTATGGCCTTTGATTCCGCTTCCAGTTCAGACGTTACGACAAATGGTAACATCGTAGACGCATCAACACCCCTCCATGTCATCGTAGATTTTAATCTGATGTTTGTAACAGTCTTTCTTGTTTGCAAAGTGAAAGTCAGTGGTTCAAAATCAAACTCAACTCCTTCAAGTGGTGACAACGATAAGCAGGGAAAAAATGCTTTTGATGAAATGATGTCCAGTAACATAAAGTATGATTGTTTACCCCCCTCAAAAAATTATAACAATCTTAGAAAAGACCATAGGATGTTTAATGACATTCTTAGTTTGTTGAAAGAAATGAATGTTGGATTCACAGCCCATAATGTTAATAGTCTTGGGAAGCAATTTGTCAGCACACTCCACAATACATTATGGTATATTACTTCACAGCATCATAAGTTTAAAGATCGTGGATTACAAATTCCAGATATATTCCAAAAATTTTCTGGATATTATGACAACAAGGCCTGTCACAAAGGACCTCCCCAGGTAGATTTTGTTTTCTAGAACAAGGCTAGAATTAAAATATCCAAACAAAGCAAACTGTTAAAAACAGTAAAAGACATAGACATACATACAATAAACAAAACTAGTTATGTGGACTTTTCATATGGCATGAAAAGTGGTATCAGGTGTTCCGGAGGGGTAAGCGTACCCTGCCCTGTGCACAGCACCCGCCACAAAACAATAACTAGCAATGAAACACAACCTTTATGTAATAGACATTTGATTTTTAGTAGGGGAGTTATAGTATAGAATTTATTCACTCTGCAGGAGTTGTGGTCAACAATTCAATTATATCAACAAAGCTTGCCAAAAGAATATTAGCTATGTGGACTCTCCTTTAGAGATGGCAAATTGACACCAAGTTGTAGAGTGGCATCATCAAATGTTTGACAAGATTTTTTATATTGGAGTGTAACTGTAAGATGATAATCTGAGAGTTTGTTGAGAAATTAAGTGTTCAGGGAATAAAACGGGATTCATTTTGTTACGGAATTTGATTTTCATTTGTTCCTTTGATAACCTCTTCTATTTTATAATTTCAGATGCAAGAGAGTAAGCTTAGGTCATTGATAGATGAAATGTCAGATTTTTTAATGATTCCATGGACCATGAAGTTTACTAAATTATTCAATGCTGTGGAAGGCTTGATTAACATATTGAAGAAGTATGCTGACTTTTTATGTCAACAAAACATTCGATCACAAGCGCGCAATGCTTCCATGGAACCACTGAGGAATCCAAACATCAATTTTTCATTAACCCCAATCCAAAAACTCACAGGTCCAATTAGAGCTGATTACATGGCATTAGATGCAACCTTGTCTGTGAAAGAACCTTACGAATTCCTTGATTTGGTTGAATTCTTACCAGAAGAGCGATTTGACAGGCGTTCATGGTTAGAACATATGCAACTTCCGTATCCTGTCGCCCATTACACATATTTTCATGGTAATTACTTGGGAAATATTAATTTCATTTGGAAGCTTCCACCCGAAGATGAAAGATCAGATGATAAAACAGTTAAAACTGTACAGCAAATAAGTGAATATATACCTACATTTTCCACACGATACATCAGGCAACAGTTCCTCAACAAATATGTACAAGCTACAAATTCACCCAAAGCAGTCCTCAGAAATTTGTATCGATTTCTAACTAACGACTGCTCGTCTGCAGAAACCGAAGACCAGGAGGTTATTGATAAACGTGTGGAAGAAGTTATCTCCCTCCAGGATCCTGAACTCACATGGGATTTAAGAAAGATGAACGGCAATGCTCGAAATTCAAAGTTTGATATATTTTGGACCGAACTTGACAATTATTTCAATGAAATAAATCTAGCTGTACATGAGAGACGTCATGGTCAACATATGTACTTACCATACGCAATATCTATTGAAGACCTTGTGTCAATTATAAAAAAGCGGTTGCCCGAAAACACTCCGATCCCATCAAACGAATGGGTGAGATTACAATTCTGGCCAACTAACCCAAACACAATAACAGCACTGCGATATACGGCAAGGTTTGAAGTTAAGTTTACTATTCAATCCAGACAAATACGAGGTCAGCATGAGGATAGTCACTATGTAGCAGTACAACTACAGTACATCAAAGCCTTTGCGGTAAAATATAGAGAATTTACAGATTTCTTGTGGATGGATGACAAGGCTATTGTGCCAATTGGAGAACCAGGATTACCAGTTTCAACAGGAGTAAGACCTCATAATCGTTCTCTGGCTCCGAAATCAGGCCCTTCGATAAGTGCTCTTGACCATGACTACAATGTTTGTGGTGCTATCCCCTCAGTTACTTTCAAATGTGATATCCCTGAGGCTGCATCTAGTTCCTTCTTCAACGGAATAGCTTTTGTGACGGTTAAAGATAAGGTTTTCAGTCCGTCAAATGCCATCCGCCATGGTTGTGAAACAACCAATATATTAAGAACACATTATAGCCAGGATGATACCCAAGTAAACGCTGAACACCCAATTTTGATCATGTATACAGACGGTGGCCCAGATCATCGGACAACATTTGGTTCGGTTCAAATAGCAGCCATCTGCATGTTCATGTGGTTAGATTTAGATTTTCTTATAACTGCTCGCACTGCACCTATGGGTAGTTGGGCCAATTTAGCGGAACGAGTTAATTCTAATCTTAATCTTGCTTTGCAAAATGTGAGTCTTTCTCGAGAACATATGACAGACAATCTAGAAATGAAGATGAGGGGTATAAATAGTCTAAAAGCAGCCAGAGACACAGCAAGACGATACCCTGCGTTTAAAGAGGGTCTCATCCAATCAGTAGCACCTGTTATAGAATTGTTGCAGGAGAGATTTGGTCATTTGAAGTTAAAAGGGGAACCAATAGTTATTAGTCCATCTGCAAATCAAGAATCAATTGATGACTTTTTTAAGATTGTGAAGGATCTGATAGACCAAAATCTGATTGAAAACAAACTAACAAAACCTGATCTAGAAAAATCAGCAACACTTCAAGATTTCATGAAGAAGCACTGTCGTTTACGTAATTACACATTTCAAATTAAAAAATGTGCGAATGCTCTGATAGAAAACTGTGCTTACTGTCTCTTTAACCCACCAAGACTTCCTGATGAAGTGTTTGATACCCTATCCTTCGTTCCAGATCCTGTGGTAGCATCCAACAATAAATATGAATCATTCGAAACTGTTTATGGACAAGCAACAAATGATTTGGCAAGGCCCTCGCTAATGCTGTCTTCCCAAAATAAGGAAATTGACAAAAAGAATAGAAAAATTCTCAATGCTACTAAAGTAAGAGATGCGGTGTTATGTGTCGAATGTGGGAAACCACGGTGTGTGTACTCTGAAACTAAACTAACATATATAGAGAAACAAGCTGTTGATCGTCTCAAAGAACTTAATTCTTTTACATGTGGTTCCCCACTCTTCCCACATTCCAGCAAATATAATAGTTCTATAATAGTCCGAGAAGGATTGAGATGTTGCTCCACGATGGAAACAACTTACTATTCAAAGAGCACTGTATCATTACCTGCAGTTTGTTTTCATTGTGGAGTAGCTAAGTCTTCAGATTTTGCTGCAGATCAAAACATTCAAAGCTTGCAAGCGCAATACAGTGTTGTTCGACCGATATGTGTGAAATGTAAAGATGATGGCAAGGAAGCCATAGTGAGAGGGAAAAGAAATGTAAAAAGACTAAGAAAAATGTAAGATGATGGCAAGGAAGCCATGGTGAAAGGGAAAGACATTAAGTAGGAGCCCCAAAACAGATGTCACTAGACTTTAACACTGTAAAATAGCTGTTTCAACTTTTATTTTATTAAATGTGTTCACTTAAAGGTTGTTTTGGTTTTATGCAGGAAAATGAAATGAAATGTAGTTTAATGTCCCATTTTTATGCACCGTAAAGCTAATTAGAGACGGGCATGTGCCAAGTATGTGCAGTGAGGGTGAATATAAAGTGAGAAATAGTAAATGTATTGCAGTACAACCAAATTTTAAGTAATATAGACGCCATTTTGAATTCCCGCCCTTTGAATTTTTTTCATATTAATTTTAATTTTATTAATTGACTCAGCAACCCTGTACACCCTCATATAGCTCAATATGATGCATGCAAAGTGAGAAATAGTGAAGATATTGCAATGCCTATAAATTTAAAGTAATATAGCCGCCATTTTAAATTTCCGCCATTTTGGATTTTTCCATCATCACCAAAAAATTCAGTGAACCCCAAACTCTAATAGTTATTATGATAAATATAAAGTGACAAATAATACCGTTATTCCATAAAACTTGAATTTTCACTCCATTTTAGCTCAAAAACTTCTGGGGGTATTTTTTTTTTTTTCCCCCTGCCCTTTACACAATTTTGGTCTTTTTTTTTTTTTTTTTTTTTCCCTCCTGCCTTTACAGATTTTTCCAGAAAAAATCCGTAAAACAAGAAAATAAATTGGTCTGGCCTAAAGAACATATCACAGATTTGTATCATCATAATCATTTAAATAGTATAAAACTAATCACAAAATCATTCAGATTAATATTCATAAATCAAAATTTGTAAAGGTATAAAAACAGCCATGTCATAGCAAAGGCTACATATTACATTGAGGTAAGTAAAAGTATGAATGCTGCAACAGTAATTAACACTTAAACATCATGCCTTATAATATCAATATCATAACAAACAAACAAAAGTATAAATACAAATCTCTTAAGATGTTGGATATAGGTTAAAATCCTAAAACAAATACAACATTTGACACAAGAAAATCAGTTTTATTAGTGTTTGGGTATTTATTTTAAAAAATATTATTTCAAATTTCTAGTGAAAAGGCTAAAGATTGTATATAACTTAATATGTGTGTGTTCAGAAATTGTGTATATTCTGTGAATTTAGAAATTTTATATAGAGGTTTAAGTATCTATATATTGTGGATTAAGAGAATGTGTATTTAGATAATAATATTGTTTATTTAAAGATTATGTGTATATTGTTGTGTATTTTAAGATTGTGTATATTGTGTCTTTAAAGATTGTGTATATATTATGTATTTAGAGATTTTGTCTCAAGAGAGTGTGTGTTGTGCATATAGTTGGATACAGTAATTTTATACAAATGAATACATTATCTGTGTTCATCATAGTTAAGATATTGTGAAGACTTGCTCGAATGTCAGAAAAGAGTAACACCGCCTTGAAAATCACAGAAACAAAGCCCCATTCTTATAAAGTAAACTTTGATCACTTGATTTGGAAGCCTGTTTGAAATAAACCTATTATTGCACACCTGTGATATTTTGGTATTAATAAGAGAATATGCAACCGAGATTACATAGATACATCACAGTGTATTTTATATTTATAAATCAGTCTGCATTTAAATATAGAATCTAAAATAAACTACCAACACTGACTTCACCTAAATCCCTTTACCTATATAATTATTTGTTAATGTGTCATACATATCATCTTTTTAAGTCACCGGTTCCCAGATTAAATGAATCTTTACCTTTAACTTTCAATACAGAAAGTAAGATGGCTTTTCAGTACAGAATCTGAAGAAGTGTTCATAACAAAAATTGAAAATTCAAATAATACAATAATACAGGCAAGATATGCATAATATCAACAATAACATTTAAAAAGGGTAAAAAACGTTAGAACTGTTAATGTGCTAGGTTTAGTTCTAAAATCTAAAACTACTATTGAATTATATAAAGCCAGACATATTTTAATTCAAGACAAAATAATTATTACAATTATCAATCCCAATACCAATACCAAACAACCATCTGATCAACTACTTTATGGCATTATGCTACATAACATGAGATGAAATGGGCTTTAACATCCTCCTCTCAGTAAAAAATAATCAGCCATACAGTGTGCTATGAAGGAAATTTTGGCAGGACAACTGTGTTACTATCTACTTCTTATCAAATTCCAACTGTCAAGGACTCTTTTACATGCAGGGTGGACCTCTATTTTATGTCCTGTCTAATTACAAGACACCTTTTCCTTTCAAAAATATTAATAGGATTCTACCTTTCAACAGGACAGACAACCCAATATAAATTTCCGAAAAAATAGGAATTGCAGCATATAAAGTGCCAACAAGATTTTGTAACAAAGGGGTGGATGATTATCGTAAAATTTTCAAATAACAGGATTTTTCATGAATTTGGAAAAGATTATTGTATATGGATTATTGTAGCCTCTATTGTTTTAACAGGCAATGTGAATGACAGACCAACATTAATTAAAATGTTGGTGTATAAAAATGATGCAATGGCTTTATATGCAACAATAATTTAACATTATATTAAATAACAGTTACAGTTAATAATATTGAACATGAATCAGTTATGTTATACAAAGGCAAGATTGTGTCAATTTGTGAGGAATTACTACAATAATATCATACAACAGTGATCCTGTGATATCTATGTATGAACAATTCAATCAATATGAGAAAATAGTTCAGAATTAAAATATGGCATCTTATATTTCTTCAAAACAAAACAAACCTCCTAAATTTTCCAAAAGAAGTTTTTTTTCTTTTAACTCAAAATATCTAAGCGTTTTATACTACCTATAGATGTAGATTTGTGGAATCAAAATTTTTGAGTTTCAAAGTTGTATATGGGACCATTGAAAATATCAGCAGGTGGCATTGTTGTAGAGATTACTATAAGATTAGCTACTAATTAATAGGGTAGCGTGCAGGTTAAGGTTAATTTAAATCAGATCTATATTAATTTTTGTGAGTTTATCAAAGATGAGTGGTTTCAGGTACCTCATTGACTCGAGAGTACACACTACGACTCCAATGATTGGTGTTATAATTGTCCATGTCAATATCGTGTGTAAAGCTGTCTGAATCTATACAATCATAGGCACCATTATGGAAAGCTATAAGAGCCGGAACTTTGTTTCGGTGTAATTTATTATTGGACTGGAATTCTTTCTTCTTAATTTTTCGTCTGCAAAAAAGAGAACATAAAAACAATAATTTAATAATTCATACAAAAAATTACATTTGAAGGTTTAGTCATTTATTAATGGCTAAATTTGTCATTTAGTGCTATGGGAATCCCTTGTAAACTACAATCCTGTGACAACACCATTTTTTACTGGTAACGTAGCAACCTGGTGGGCCTATATTAAAACTGGCTAAATCCAAGCTGGGAGATTATCTAGTGTTGGTATTTTGATTTGTTGTCTTAATCAAATGTTAAATAATCAATATGGGTACATATTTAGCGTGTATTAAGCTGTGAGAAATTTAATATCTTCGTGAAAATGCAAATGGTGCATCAAGCCTTTAATAAGGTAACAATCAACTAAAAAGCTTCTTTCCAAATATCATGTTAACATTCTTTTATGAGAACCCTTTTTATAATATATATACCTACCTGTATCTAACATTGATTTGACAGTACCATGTAAAGAAACTATTAATTCCTTAGCAACTTTTTATAAGACAAACATGGTGACACATGGATAAGATTAAGCCAACGTTCAGAGATAAAACCTGACCAAGTGCAATTAAGAGAGATTAAACATTTGACTGGGATTATACTGGGATTTGCTGAGATTAACCTAATGAACTACTCAGTAACATAGTAAACATTCCTTCTTATAAGTATGGTTTAGAAATATATACAGTAGGTAAAAACCTGACCAGACAAACCACTAAATAAACTTGCTAATGTTTTCTAAGCTTTTTAAAATATGTCATAAAATAAACAAAGGTAACAGAAGACTCAGTTATCAACATCCAGCATCCTTGGACATGTTTTGAAAGGTACAAGGAATAAACTTATATGTCTGTGTTATTGGCAATCAACAACCAAATACTTAAGAGTACATGTTAATAAATTTCTGCACTAACCAAGCTAATGAAAACAGGGTACATGTTATAAGGTGAAAAGAAAATAGTGTCAGGCATCCCAATTATGCTACCTGATTATAGTGGACACAAATTGGATAACTGCAGCCATTGTTTATGTTTCATTCATTTTCTAACCAGCGGTTGCCAGGCAGAATAGGCCCCCAGTGGGTGCCTGGCAAGATAGGCCCACATTTTGCAAGAGATGGATAGAGAACAAGTGATTTTTTGTAAAATCAGGGGCCATAATCCAAGAAGTTGCATGCAAAATTAAGCCTGATTTTTTACTTGTAAAAATACTACTAACCTTTTAGCTATAACAACCACTACAACAATAATAATTATTATAGCTACAGTTGATCCAGTTATACCACCAATTATAGCATTATTTACTCCTGAAAAACAAAGCACAGCAAACAAATTAAAAGTGACTAAAAACTTTGACAAGATATAAACAAACATTAAAACTCCATCCAACCTGAAGACAATAACCTATATCATAACTATCCCTTCCAGACCGAGGTGTGGTGGTCTGAATAGTTCAACCCTTGATTATGAGGTACAAATGTACTGTTAATTGGGTGTCCATGATGAAAGTCCAGATTAGTTTGTATACACTTACATCAACGTCAAGATATTATCTAAACTACATTTTGTTTTATAATCATCTTTTATACAATATACATAGCAATTGTAGCCCCTATTTAGTGTGTAGTAATTAAATTTCTGTAAAATCTAAATCTATTTATTTACCTGACATCGAATCACATCGATCTCCATAGTAACCATGTAAACATGAACAGAATGACATGCCTTCATTATCATAATTACATGTACCATGTTCACTACATCGACCATTACAATTATCTACAAAAATAATATTAAATATGGTCTATAGTAAAACCCATCCACATATCAACCAATTTACTCAATTATATAAGTCAATTTGTAAAGTATGATTTCTTAAAATTACAATTTTCAGTTTTAAACTGGACTGCTGATACAACAACTGTAATTGGACTTGCTACATGCCACATGAGGATGTAAAATGAGCCAAATTTATCACTTCTTGTATTGGAAGAACAAGAGAAATCCTTACAAATAGTAGATGGCCATATTCATTTTTGACAACATTTACACAAATTTTTAAACAGAAAGTAATTTCATGACCTACCTGTACATATAGATCCATTTTCATTTCCTGTATAACCAAAATTACATGTACAGGTGAAACCATCTTCTTCATCTGTACATTCAGCATTCTCATGACAGTCATCAACTTGTAATTCACATTCATCTACAGGCCCAGATTTACATTCATCTACAGATACTGATCCTTTATTATCAGTAGTTAAACCTATACCACATGCTATACACATAGTCTCACCTTTACTAGGTTGATATGTTCCTCTAGGACATAGTTCACATGTATTGTCAACAGTTCGATACTGACCTCTCAGACATTCAACTAAAATAATATTAAAAACACAAATTTCTTCTAAAAATATCTTAAACTTAGTGTAAGAATTATAATTGCAAGATATGATGAGGTGGGTGGGTTGTATAGGCCTACTATATTTTGTTTATCCCTAGTTTATTCATGGTGTGACGAAAGTTGTACCATAACTATCAATGTCTTAATATTAACACAAGTGTTAGTAAATATAACTATTTTGCAATGAAAATATCATTAATTATAAATTATTTCCTTCAAAGTCGTTTTTAAACTGTTAAAATTAATTATTTTAATAACATATGTGTGGCAAATGCAGCCCTACAAAAGATCAAATAAAAAAGTTAAAAATGTAAAAAGAGAGGCTACTTACCAACATTACAATCTGATAAAGATGTAGAGCCAACGGATGATGTTGTCCATCCATATGGACAAGCTAGACAGTAAGCTTGATCTAAACTATCTCTATAAGATCCTACTGGACATTTCACACATTCACCAGTTACAGATAACTCTTCACCAAGTCCACACAAATCTAAGAAAAAAAACCCAGCATTTATAGCATGGGAACAGTTTTGATCTTCAGAAGTATATATATATATATAATATTTGTGTATTTAGTGTTTAGCACAAATCTATGTATATGTGTTTAGCCTTCATTCTTGTATATTGAGATAATGTGTATTTGCTTGTATTATACATATCATATTTATAGCATGGGAACAGTTTTGATCTTCAGAAGTATATATATATATATAATATTTGTGTATTTAGTGTTTAGCACAAATCTATGTATATGTGTTTAGCCTTCATTCTTGTATATTGAGATAATGTGTATTTGCTTGTATTATACATATCATATTTATAATGTTCAGGAAATGATGATTTACACACATTATTTTGGAACAACAAACTGCAATTGCTCAGTTAATAATTTTTGTTCAACTTTTATTTGACCTACCTTGACAATTTGATATACTAGTAGCACCAGTACTATCTGTAGTTTGTCCTATAGGACATGATTTACACTGTAATTGTCCTGCTATATCTTGATATTCACCTCTAGGACATATAACACATTCTCTTGTTGATTGTGAGTAGTAACTACCAGCTTCACATAATGCTACAATAACAGAAATATATTTTTCATTCTAAATTTTTCACCATGTAAATTGTTTTGTCAATTTGTACTGGTCAATCCAGATGGGAGTCTCCAGGATTTCCCTGATGTAAAAACCTTTGGTGCAAACTTTTTCTTGGGCTCACATTTAGTATCATGTCATGCGATCAGTTTGTTGTAGTCAAGGTTAAACTGTGCTAAGACACTAATCTTATCACTAATAGTATAGCAACATACAGTATCACATTTTGAAAGAAGCAGATCAAGAACTGTAAGATTTTGAGAGGAACTAGTCCAGTCAATAGCAATGATCAGTATGTGCACAGTGTAAGTTTTGTAAAAGGTATGCATATGGATTGCTGTTGATGAGAGATCATATAAATAGATACTAACCACACCTCACATATTATAACATATAGACAAGAAGAACTTACAAAAACAATCTGATACATTGGTAGATCCAAGAGCACTAGTAGTATGACCATCTGGACATGATTTACATGATGTCTGTTTCTCTATATCATTATACTGTCCAATATCACACTGTACACATTCATTACATTCTAGATAATAACCAGTCGGACAATTCACTGATAGAAAAATAGAGATCATTGCAAATATCAATATTCAATTTAACTTCATTTAAACATTAAAGTTAAAATATGAAATAAAGTCTAGAAACAGAGTGAACATTGGGTTTAATGTCCATTCAACAAGGTCATTTTGTGACAAATATACACTATATTTTTAGTTCAATAACTTGCTAGCTTGCAGTTGTCTTTAGCAATGGTAGAAAACCAAAAAAATACTTACCACATCTCCATTGGTCATTTTGCATCAGTCGTGAACTTTGTCCCGGTTCGCAGTTTAAAACAACTTGAACAGTTAATGAATTCTGATCAATTTGAAATTCATTAAAGTTAAAGTCACCATTCTTGGCCAGAATTTCTATTTCCTCTGCAGCAAAATCTTTGTTGGGTTGCTGAATGGCAGAACTATTGGGGAGAAAATTATGCAAAATAATAACTCATAAGTTGTATCACTCTCACTGAACTAGATTCAAAGAAATTCACCTAATAAACATTTACAACAATTTATTGTGACAGACAAATGGACATACAGATGAACACATTTGAATAGTCCTCTGCTTTCAAACAAAGGCGAGGGACAAAAACATGAAAAGCTACAGATTGATTTGGAACTATTTTATCAATGATTTCAGTACCAACTTATTGCCAAGACTTCTATGAGAAACATTTGATCAATGTGGACTTACATATTTATCTATTCACATTTAACATCTTATTATTACAGATTACAAACTGGTTTCACGAAATTCCCAAGCTCAAGAGGATGGGCTATATGGAATATGGGTGTACTGTAGAAATAATGTATTGTTCAAAGTGCCGGTACAACAAATATTATGATGTACTAGATGTGAAATAAAACCTCTAGTGTTGAATCTAACCTGTTTGATGATATGTTAAAATTGAATTTAAGGTTGTATGTAGAGATGACATCACGTTTCTTTCTGCTTCCACCAGCAGCACCACATTCAACAACTATACCATCATAGGAACAGATATTAGGTGAACACAGACCTAGTCTTTCATCTAATTGTCTCATGATTTCTATAAATTTCTCCTCTAATTCCTTCTTTCTCTCATCAGAACATTCTAATCCAGTAAACTCCATTCCTCCTTCAATACTGGATTTTGGTGGGAATAAAGCTGGCCAAAAAAATAAATATTTTATGTTAGAAGGCACCAAAATTACTGTAGTACCAGCGCAAATTGTCAGGTACAACTAAGATAGTTATTTCCAGGCCCCAAATGTTGCCTTGAAATTCCATAATTGGAGACTAAAATATAGTTGGTGCAGATTTTAAAGGCTAATAATTGTGGAGGAATTAAAATCACAGAGGGTATTTGGTATAAACCAAACCATCTAAAAAATTAAGAGTTATTTTGTTATGAAATAAGACTGAGTCACATGTATTTTCATACTAACATTTGAAAAGTTTGTCATCTAACAAGCAAGAATGTTATATAAGCCAAATAAAAATACTTACCAGCACATGGTGGAAATCTGAAGGGATTTCCCCTAGGTGGATCCCAAAATCCTTCTTTACCACATCGATAGAATGGAGGGGGAAATTCCACGAAATCATAATGAACAGGATCTATACAGGATATGACACAATATTGTCCGTGTGTCCAACCATTACATGCTGCTAGACCTAATACAGGTGCTGGTGGTCGTATACAGTCAAAAGCTGAAATTTATTATATAGACATATTATAGCCTAGAATATATATATCCATAAGGAGATGAAAAGTGGAACATATTGCAGAATGGGATGCAGATGTTTGCTTTTGATACACTTCGGTTAAAGATATAAACTTGAATTATACATCAATCAGCTGACACCTAAGATTCTTCATGGTAGATTATTGTGTTCATTTACAAATTATCCCTTCAGTACCCAACAAATGCTGACAACCATTCAATATGCCATGGCTATACCATCGACAATTACTAGGACTGAATTGTCCTTATAAGTCACATCATTCTATGGATACACTTTTCTGTAGATAAAAAGCTTAGAACTTTGAACTAAAACTCTAGTAATTTTAGGGAACAGTTTATTGTTGCTTTTATCAATATTAACAGAACCTTGATCTTATACTTACGTTTTACAATAACACCAAAATTACATTCAGCTGAATTATTTTCAGCATCGTATGCCACATAACTGACAATATATTCTCCCAGAGGAAATGTCTGTCCTGTAAATAAGATACAACACATGGGTCAGATTCATGATTGTCATAAAGACATGAGCTTTGTACAGTCTTCACATGTAAAATACTGACTAACAATTGTTTAACTTTTTTTTATATATATACATATATATACAATATTTCATTCTCATAAAAGGATTGAGGAACAGAGTAAGCCTACAGAGTATATGAAAATTAGATACCATTATATATGATACATTAAGATATATAAAGTTAATCACGCAAAGCCTGGAAACAGGCCCACACAGCAGCTATGTCACAAAAAATAGATAGCCATAGATAATAGCTTATCCGAAAAGAAAACTTTGATAAGGAACCTTTTTTGCCTTCAAGAAGTCTATCGTGTTCACAAGCTCTTCCAAACACATAATATATCTCTGGAACAGAAAGTCCCAGAATGTTGAAAATCAACATAGTTCATTATCTCTGATCTAAATGCTTCATGCCAAATAACTGTGGAATGGAGGGATTGTTGGGTTCTTCCTCTCACAACCACATTGCATCACATTATTTTTTTTTTAAAATTTGTTAAAAATTGTAGTTTATAATAAAATAATGTACCTGGTCTGTGTGTTTGTTGTATATCAACAATACCTATATCATCAATAAATACAGGTTCATCCCAGTCAACGATTATTCTAGGTTCTCCAACTGTTACTACCTGTATATCATCTGGACAAGTCTCTATAGTTGGTGGATGTTTATCTAACAAATAAAAAGTAAATAACCGTTATAGATGTTTTATAACAGTTTTATCAAAGACTGCAGCCAAATAAAATTTGGTGGTCCCACTCAGCTCTAAAATCCCTAGTCAAATCTACAGGACATCCTCTTCAAAATTTTGATAATGCACAGAAATTTAGCAATGTTTAAAAATGGGGTGGGTAAAATTATACAAGTTTTACAGCATGTAAATGTTAAAGAAAATAAGAAAATATGTTTAGAAACTAACCTATTTTGATGTCACATTTTGTTCCTCTGTAACCTGGTGGACATTTTGATCCTCCACAAAGAGCAGGTTGTACAACCTCTACATCATTTCTGATATATGAATCAAATATCCGCCATTCTAATACATCTCCCACCAGTCGTGTTGTACAGTTACTAGATAAATCATATATAACAGAAGTATTTAAAACTTCATTAAATATATTCAACTGACTAATTTCACCATGGAATGGATCTGTGACTTTACTGTCATAGGACTGGCCAAGCACAAGTCTTTGTCTGCAATGAAAAAAAAAAGTTATGTACAGTATAATCAGAAAAAGAGATTTATTAATACTCTGATTAATACTACTGTTTTGTTAAGATGGTGATCTGTAAGCTAAATCAGTTTAACTACCGAGTACTCTAACAATGTTAATGAGAGGTTTCAGATAATATCATATGCACATACCCTCAAGAAGTCTCCATTGCTCTAGTTAGATGCTGAAATTCATGAACAAAGTTAGATATTGCCGCTATTGCCCAATAAATCCTTCGGGAATACAAGCAAGAGTCAGGCACATTGGAACTGTTTAGACAACGAAGGTTAAACCAGATTATCATTCCTGGATGATGTACCAGTTTAACCTTTCTCATACATATAATACCAAGACAAATCTAACATGTCTATTATTTAAATATTTACCTGATTGGTAGATTAGTTGTAAGACTGTTACCAGATGTCACCTCTTCACCATCCAAATAAAGCTGCCATTCTCCATTACCAAATATAAAACATACATGATGCCATAGTCCATCATTTACTGATAAATCACCTTGTACAATATTCTCACTGTCTATAGAAACTGCAAACTCTGCAGATGACAATACCAATAATGGCTGTACAGTAGACCTACAATAATCAATTTTTTTTATTTTTTCTTGTAATCATATATGAACCTGCGCTAGATTTATGGATAAGGTAGACAAGCTACCTTTACATTACTACTACTGAAATGGAAAACATTTAACTTACGTGGAAACATCCAGTAAATTCATATAAACTCCAGTTCCAGATACATCAGCAAACCTCAGCCAGAAACACAATGTGGTTGAAGTTGTATTTTCAATACTAACATCATTGGGTTGACAAACAGAGCCATTTTTACCATGAAACAAAAGATCATAATCCTCTGTTTTCTCTACAAGGTAAAAAGAACAAATATCCTTTTTATTAGTTGGTCTGTCATGTTCTACGGATTAATATCTACATATTTGATTACATATACTAAATTTATTGTACTGTTTTTAGTAACCAGCTGCTGCCAGGCAAGATACGCCCACATTTTGCAATAGATGGATAGAGGGCCATAATTCAGGCAGTTGCGATCCGATATGTGCCAATATCGAAAGGAATCAAGATCTTTGGGATATAAACATACATATCAAGTTTGATCAAAATCAGATGAAAATTGTGATCCGTAGAGTGTCCACAAGCTAAAAATGTAAATTTTCACAAAGATAGCTAGAGGTATGAAAGGAATACTAGTTTTCGTACAATCAAAGGCCATAATCCATGAAGTTATGGTCCGATACCTGCCAATATCGAAAGGAACCAAGATCTTTGGGAGATAGACCTATATTTCAAGTTTCGTCAAAATCAGGTAATAATTGTGACCTTTAGAGTGTCCATAAATAAATTATGGATGGTCATCCTGACGTACAGGAGCGATGGCATAATACGTCCACATGAAAATGTGGCCATATAAAAATTAGTAACCGAACACATTAAACAAACTGATCACAACAGCTAAATCTTTTATCTAATATAATTAATTTGTTTAGCTACAGTCTAAAATATTTGTTATTAAAATCATTGTTCTTGTTAAGCTAGTCTTTAAAATTACATCATTGTATCTGTTAAAATTCTAACAATTTGTCTTAAATTATTATGATTAATTCTTATATTAAAGAAAGAACTGACCTTTACCACAGTCCTCTCCTGTATAATATGGTGAACATAAACATGTAACACTTCTCCATCCATCTATACATGTAGAATTATATAAACAAGTATTATTTAAAGCACAATCATCTATAGACATATTACATGTCTTTCCTTCAAACTCTTCTAAACAATCACAATAATAATCTCCTACTAAATCTGTACAACTACCATTATTAATACACGGTTTTGAAGCACAATCATCTGTATCAACAGAACAGGTCTTTCCTTCATAACCTATTGCAAAAAAAAAAAATAGTTATCTTTTAAAAACTGCTTCAGCTATTTACCAGATCCAGTCTAGAATAAGCCACTAGTTTAAAGAACTAAATCTGCCTATGGCAGGTTTTGCTTTTTGCTTCAAATCTTAAATAAATTATTATTTAGACATTTATTAACATTACAAGCCAATAATCAAATCTCCAGAACATCGGATGGCCGAAATTTAAATGGATTTAAACATCCACAAGATTTGAGGGTGTCAAGTACCATTGCCATGATAATCTTCAAACAGTCATAACATCAATCAGAATAAAGTATGAAGATGTTCGTTGCGTGTCCCGTAATGAGTTAGTTTGTGTCCTAATTTGTGTCGAGTTGGATGGTATTCACTTCAGGTGGCTCTCTAACTCTTGCACTCAGTGCAGTGGGTTCTTTTACAAATTAACTAGAAGGGCATTTTTCCTCAAATGTTGGAATGGAATTGTTTTTTCAATTAAAGATGTAAGTACATATAAAATGTATTCATAATATACTGCCATCCAAGTAAAATGTACCTCTGATTTGAGTTGAGTTGAGAATTACAAAGTTAAAGTTTACAAATTTACAATCATCCATTTATCAAATTGTTGTATTTCTATAGTATCTCAGTTACACAGTTTACTTAAGTTTACCTGTTAAACATTCACATCGGAAGTCATCAACTAAATCGAAACAGGTAGCATTATTTAAACATGGTTGACTACTACAATCATCTATATTTATATCACATAATGTATCTTTCCATCCAGGTTTACATCTAGAAATAAATAACATTTATCATTAAACAACAACTTACTCCATATAGTTCATATATTAAAAATATTGTATAAATCTAATTCAACAAATTACAAGATAGACCCAGATTTTGCAAGAGATGGATAGAAAACAAGCTAAAAATGCAATTTTTTTTGTACAATCTGCGGCCATAATCCAGAAGTTACAGTCAGATATGCAACAATATTGTAAGGAACCAAGATGTTATCAGTTTCATTAACATCGGATAAAAATTGTGACCCACAGGGAAAATAATCCATGAAGTTACGACCCGATACACATCTAAAGGAATCCAGATCTTTGGGATATAAACCTATATTACAAGTTTTGTCAAAATCGGATAAAAATTGTGACCTGTAAGAGTGTCCACAAACAAAATGTGAACGGACAGACACAGGTGACAACAACATACGTCAACATGAAAATGTGGGGGTATAAAAAGTTTTATGATACCTGCAGGTAAAACCATTCACAATATCCAAACATTCACCATCATTATGACAAGGATTTGATTGACATTCATCTATGTTTATTTCACAATCTCTACCATCGAAACCGTCTGCACATTGACATGTATAATTGTTAACTTTATCTATACAGAGACCATCATGTTGACATGGTTCAGCAGCACAGTCATCAATATGAACCTAGATGAACAAAGACCAAATTCATATCACAATTACTTACAGATTTCAAGACGATCTAATTGGAGATTTTATAAAGTTTGGTATTAACAATCGTTTTCACGTGTGATTATCAATATTTTTAGCTTAATAATTACCAGTCGTAAGTATCATGTGCACAGCCCCTATGTTATCTTAAATTTTACATTTTCATTTTAAAGTTCTGAATTTTGATGCTTCAAGATAGTAATATTAAGAATTAAAATATCTTACATTCAGTAAAACACAGTTCTTTTCAAACTACCTCTACCAAACTTAGACTACAATTTATTACTTCAATAAAGTATGTCTTTAACTATATGTATATGTTCTTTAAATGGCATTTAGTAACTGGATAGAGTAACAACAAAACACATACTTATGGAAAACAGCTACTAGTGTATTTAAGGCGACGTTTCGTAGAGTATTCTCTCAACGTTATCAAGCTAATACAGTAAAACAGGTATGAGGCAAATATATATAGACAAAATACAACAACATAACCGAAACCATACATAGCAACAACATGATCAAAGGCCTACACCAACACTTATTAAGATATACAATAGCAGATAGAGAGTTAATTAACTTATACTCCATGGCCAGTGAGGATGTCTTAACAACCTGATTGCAGGTGTTATTGAAGATCAGTATTAATAGTTGTTATCTCTACATATAAGTTTGGCTTTGATTATCCAACCTACTTTGTTAATGAGGAAAGTACTTACTGAACATCTAGTTCCTGTATAATCTGGTAAACAATCACAATAATAACCATCATCAATAGATGTACATGTAGCATTATTATAACATGGTGCTGAATCACAGTGATCTACTCTTATATTACAGTTAATACCTATCAAATATAATACATATTTACAGTTTACACCTATCAAATATATTACACTTCCTGATAGTAAATTTTCCAGTGCAATTTAATAGAGCCCCCCCCCCCCCCCACACACACACACTGGGTCCACACCCCTTCAAATGTATGAAATATAATCATGCAGTTATCAATGATGTTGTTTCTATTTCTAAAAAAATCAATTTAAATAGAGGTAGAGAGAAAAATGGGGTTTAACATCCACTCGACACAAACTAGGTCATTTTGGGACTAACATGTGGTTCAATTTTATTTCAATAATTTGCTTGCGCGTAGGGGTCTTTAGTAGTGGAAGGAAAACGGAGGACCCGGAGAAAATCCACAAGGTTAGACAAGCGACCCTACTCCTTGTCACATACAACTGGGGAATCGAAACCATGCCATTTGACTCAGTGACAGACCTTATGATACAATGTGCATGTGCTAACCATTCGACCATCCAACGCTCCCAACTTAAAAAGGAAGTTTATTATTAGTTTATGATATTACAGATTCTGCTTAAAACAGCAAATTTTAAGAGATTCTTATATGTGATTAAAATGAAAACATATGCTATTTTACACATGATGAAAATTATAAACATACCTGTCCAGAATGGTAGACAAACACATGTAAAATCATTAATTTTATCTATACAGTATTCAGTACCATTAATATTACAGGTTGATGTTAAACAATCATCTATATTATTCTCACATCTATTACCATTAAAACCTGTACAATACAATATTGGTATATATAAAATATATATATTAAAATTTACATTGAGTTACCTCCCCTGACACACTAAGGGGAGACCATTTTGTGTAAATGAGTAAAATGAAAATAATAAACCTTTATGGCACTTTTGTTAGATCAATAATAAATATATATGCAATTATGTTTCTGTATTTCTAATAGTAAAGAAGAAAGGTAACCCTACCTGATGGACAAGAACAGTTATAATAATTGATATAATCCGAGCAGACACCATTATTTAAACATGGATTTTCTTCACATTCATCAATGTCTGTTTCACACCAACTACCAGTATATCCAACCTATAATACCATATTTATAGTCCATTATCATACAGACAAGAAAATTTTTTATAAAATAATTTGTCTTTTAATAACAAGTTGTTGGGATGGTCTGGCATAAATAAACAAAATGAAAAGACCATCTCATGGGTTTTACGTCCACAGATAGTTTTGGGACTTCAATAATTCACTTGGATGAAAAATTCTTTAGCAGTCGCTAGAAACTGGATATCCGGAGAAAACCCATGAGATTCGGTAAACACAGGGATGATCTTCCTGACATTTACATCAATAACTGATCATACAATGTTTAGGAACAGAGCCCCTGGATTTTAAAAGTTGGAAGAACCTGGGGTAATGGATAAAACCCACAAGATTTGGCAAGCGACCATATTTTGTTCTCACAAACAAATGTGTAGTGGGAATTTCTGACACTTACATGAATTTCTGACCTTATATTTTACATGCAGTTTAGAATACTTAGGCAATAAATGCCACTAAACAAAATAATGGCTATATAACAGGAGGTCGTCGCCTGCCAATAATGTTCTGAAGACGTTTATTGAAAATATTGCAAAATTATAAAGATATCCTGCAAATAAAGTATAGAAACTATTGAAGGAGAAATTCAGTGTTAAATAAAATATCAAATTACACAAGTATAATATTACAAACCTGACAAGTACATGAATAACCATTTTGTCTATCAAGACAAATTCCACCATTTTGACAATGATTGGGTTGACAATCATCTATATCAGTTTCACAATGATCTCCTGTAAATCCTGCAAAGTAAAATAAAAAATGAAAAGAAATGAAAAAGAATACACTTACATTCAGTATTCTTTTCTCCAAAACAGTATTTTTGCATTTTGGATATTTCACACGCTTTCACAATTGATTTGATAGAAAGCTACTTCCATAACTTGCGTTGCGTGTTATATGTGTTTTGTGTTCTTGTCTTCTGGGGTCTTATCTGTGGTGCAGTTCTCACCACTATAACTTGAGCAAAGACAGACATGGAGACTCACACATAATACCACATGCAAACTATCAGTTTTCATTTCACAAAGCATCACAGAGCTGCACAAGACCAGAATAAAGGCTCAAGTATACAGTTTTATCAAATAAAATATATCTGATACCACTCCTTCATGTTTCTACATGTAATATCATTTGTATATCTTACCTGGCAGACATGTACAGTTATAACCATTGATCTGATCATTACATCTACCATTATTTAAACAACTACATATACAACAATCATCTATATTGTCTTCACAATATCTTCCTTCAAATCCTGTATCCTTTAACATAAATATTTATATTCACAGTGTCAGTAAGTTTAACAACTTTTATAACAAAACAATTTGAAAATCAAGAGACAATGCATTTGATAAAAAAAGAAAAATCAGGAGTTGCTTGAAATAGACTGCAGTATGCTAATAGTTCTCTGAGGATGATCAGTCAATCTTCCGTCAATGGTTGGTTAAACATGACATCATTGGCTAAATGATGCCATGGCATCTACACAATAAAAATAAACAGACTGCTTTGTATTCATAACTTGTGGTATGTGAAATGTTGAGACATCATATATTCACAACATTTCTTTAAACACAATAATATTATTGTAGCATATCATCTGTACACACAGTATCCATTATTTATTTCTACATATTCTTAGATTCTTTTACAATCTGAAATGAATAGAATCCATTACATGTACTTACAGTACAATCACAAAAGAAATCATCTATCAGATTTAAACATTTTCCACCATTTTGACATCGATCATTTTCACATTCATCAATGTCTAATTCACATCTGGAATAGAAAAAGAGATTATCATACCATTAGACCATTTGAGGATAAGTTTGTATAATCTCTTTGATTATAATATTTAATAGTAAGTGCAGGGGGACTGCACCACACAAAATTTACACAAAAACAAATACACGGACAAGACATCATACTCAGAAAAACACAAACAGACAGACAATTCAAAAAAAGAGAATGGATCCGGGGGCTAGCCGTAAGCGTCCACTGCGCTGTACAGTCCCAGGTCTGTAGTGAAACAGACTTCACTCAAATTTGAAAACAATCAGGAATACAACCCAAAGAAACCATTGTGCAATGCCAGCATGAGTCATGATCTGCTATATGCTACACGAAATACGAATGTAAGCATATGTAGTAAAATTCAACTATACAAGTAACCATATCGTTGAAATGTATAAGAAGTAGTCTAAACCTAAATGCTCTAAAATCAATCAAGAAACGTTTCAGTTTTCAATACATATAAGGCACATGTTCCATCCGTCACAAAAACAAAAACAAAACTGAATACAAAGAAGCAAATAGGAAATGTAGACTGTCTCGACTGAGTGGAAACGTTATTTTGGGAATGACTACATATCTTAGAAGGTGATAAAAAATCACAATAATAAGAGCGATAATCCAGATAAAATAACGTTAAACGCTTAAAAACTATAAGTTTTAGCGACTAATAAGAATTATTAAGTTATGTAATTGTACAATTTATAATATATTATTAATATAATACCCCACACAAGAAATGCAAAAGAGGTAAGCTGAAGAAATCGTACTATGTAAGTGTATTTATAAAGGCATAAAAAAAATAAGGGAAGTAATTCAAACAGGGTTAGGTAACTACTGAAAATCTAAAATAAAATTTAAATTGGATCATTATTCAGTATGTAGTCGGTTATATACTTATAAGAAATGTCAAACTTGGTATTTTGAAGAAATGGAAATTTTGAAATTTCTTTTAAAATGCGTAATTTTGTACCGCCTTTGGCAGTGCATTTAAAGTAAAGAGATTTTATTCTGGAGAGAAATAGTTCTTTATTGTTACAAATTGTCAAAAATCGTAATGCCTGTGAATAGAAAACATTATATAGCGTGGTATCTGGTATGTTACTATAGATTGACGGGTATTTTACTACTTCAAAACCATATTTGTCCATTTTGTCGAAAATACCGACATTAAATTTATTGTTAATTATATTGATGTCCATGTCAAGAACAGATGTTCTGTTATTGCATTTATAGTGCCAGAATTTTCTTTATTTAATATCAGTTCAGGAGGATATATTTCACTTTTATATTTGTTGAAATTTCCCTTATCATTGATAGGTGTTATGTCATCAATGTAAGTAAGACTTTTGAATGGTTTGAATTGTACCATAATGTAATTATTACCTTTCCCCATGATAACCATTAAAACATTGACATGTTAGATTTCCATGTTTCTGTATGCAGACTCCATAAATACATGGATTATTATCACATGGATCTACTGTAATTTCACAATAATCACCATCATGTCCTGTAAATAGTAGTCATTACAATTATCATACTGTAAATATTTTCTATCTTTACACTTGATTTGATTTCTGGTCAAACCGTACTGCATGGTTATTGTTGTACAAAATACATCAATTACAGCAATTTGAAAGATAGGTTGCCAGGCAACAAAACATACGCCCACAGCAGCTAAATCGTCCGGGCAGTCAACAAGAGTTGTCGCATATTTTTACTTTTGGCGGTAATGAACCATTTATAATACACTAAAATCTGATTAAGAGTAACAACTCATTAAGTAATTATCAGAAATTCATTAGAATTTGTTTGGCCCATGCTAACGTTTAGTATACAAAAACATATAATATCATGGATTTAGCTGTTCAAGTTATCAAAAATCATTGAAAATCAATATACATGTTCGTCAAGACCTTAAACTCTGTGTATCAATCTAAAGTCAATCGAAATGATTATATATAAGGTGTAAACACAGTGTATAAATATAAAATCAATCTCTAAAGTATCCACAAGATTTTTCAAAATGATCAAGGGCCATAACTTTGGCAGTAATTCTCAGAATTTGTCGATAATCAATAGGATTCTTTGCCTGATGACCTTAAACACTGTGTATAAATTTAAAGTCATTTGAATATTAACTTTAGCTTCTAGAGCGTCCACAAGGTTTTTCAAAGTGATCAAGGGCCATAACTCTGGCAGTAATTATCAGAAATTGTTGAAAATCAATAGGATTCTTTGTCTGATGACCTTCAACACTGTGTATATACCACCACATTCAATGTGGGCGCATAAAAATAAACCTTGCAAGCTTTGATCTGCAGAGATTTTTAAGGTTTTGATGCTCTGGGAAATAACTCTGCAAAAAACTGACAAGCTAAACAATTCCAGCATAGTCTGAAATTAAATATTGACACTGACCAGCCCTACATGTCAAGAGCAAAAACCCTGCAATAACTGATAAAGGGCGCTGAATTTTGAAAGTGTTCATTTCATCTGTATAAGTCAAACAATTCCAGGAAGTTTGAAACATAAATTCTAAAAATTCTGATGTTAAAAAAAATTCTGTAGAACAATTATAGGAATTTAGATGGACGCCAATACCATCATATATGACCCATATTTACATGTGGGCACATTTAAATCATGCCTATCAATTCTGGCTTTAGTTTCATAAAGATTTAAAAAAGAAACACAATGGACAACTTAAATGACTGATTAACTTACCATCTGGACATTTACATGTAAAAGAATTAACACCATCAATACAACTTCCACCATTAACACATGGTGAACTAATACATTCATCTATATTAATTTCACATAGTTCACCTAAAACATAATTAGTGTGCTTATTGTTATAAATTATATAGTTTTTCAATATAGTAATTAATTACATGAATTTTGCAAAAGAAAGAGGAAAAGAATAATGAAGCTTATGTCTTATAACACAATACTTTGCTCATTTTTTTATTTACTAGATTATTTTTGCTAGCATTGTTGTAACTTGAGATAGTAGTAGGTTCAAAGATAGATACCTGTAAAACCTGGCTGACATGAACATGTATAATATCTGTCATAATTATTACATGTAGCATTATTGATACAGTCATTCTTTAAACACTGATCTACCACTGAAATATATAACAAGCATAGAAATCAACAAACAATTAAATTATTTCATATTACCAATTATGTCAGATGTATCCTGTGAATAAAAATCTAGAGTATTATTATGATTGTGTATTGTAATCTTGCTATAGCATGATTTACTACAAGGCTGAACAAAACCTTGTCATAAAGAAACAAATAATTTATTTTATCAACAAAGCTTAAATAGTCATAAATAAAATTTTATTCAAAAACATCCTGCGAATTTCAAGTTAATTTTTTTCATCTTGGCTTGAACTTGGCATCAAGTCCTAAGTCACAGCATCAGTCTTGTGGTATAACTACAACAGAATACTATGGAATGGTATACATTGGTACATTTTTGATAACAGGCTTGAACGTACAGTAAAACTTGTGGTCATTGCTTCAGGATATAATTTAATCACAAAAGAATAATAAAATTACCTATACAATCTGATATGTTTGTGCTGCCCACAAATATTGTAACTGTATTATTAGGACATTCTTCACATAATACACTAAATATCTGTGAACTGTATGTATGTAGTGGACATTCTGAACATGGTGCTAACCCAGTTTCACTAAATTCGCCCTGACTACAAATTTCTGAAACAAACAAATTAAAATAATAAATGTATTTCAAAATAACAATAAGTCCTTCAAATTTGATCTCAGCTTTTACAAAGGTCGCATAGCTGTAGTCAATTACCAGCTAAGAATTAATATTTCTCCTAAAACACACCATGTCCTTCATGAAACCTAGATGGGTACTATGATAAAAGCAGGTTTTTAAAGGAATCACATACTTTTAGATTAAAACAGTAATTCTATCTTCATGCTAAATGACAAAAACCACAGTGAGATATGAGCACTAAATATATAATATCCTCTTACCTTTACAATCAGAAAGATAAGTTGAACCAGATAAATGAGTGCTGTAGCCATATGGACATTGTGTACAGTTATATTGACCACAGTCTTCTTGAAACCATCCGATTGGACAATTACTACATGGATATAAACCATTGTCAGAATACTGACCTGGTAAACATATACCTAAAGTAACAAAAGAAACAAGCCAACAGTGAGGCTGATGTCCCCCGCCGAAATAGGAAAATAATTAGAGGACACATATAAATTTATCACAAATTATCTTTTACAAAGTATTGAACAATCAATCGCTCTGCTTACCCTGAGCAGAAAATGCTCATTATCAAACTTAGTCAAGGTATTACTGTAATGAAACTATACACCAAGTTTCATCAATCTCACTTAATTAGAACTAAAGTTATCGTGTCCCAAAGCATCAACCAATCAAATTGCTTATCTCTGCTTACCCTAAGCGGAAAATGCTCATCTTCGAACTCCATCAAGGCATTGACCTAATCAACACATACACCAAGTTTGAACATTCTAGCTCAATTAGGAAGAGAGTTATCGTGCCCCAAAGTATCGACCAATCAAATTGCTTATCTCTGCTTACCCTAAGCGGAAAATGCTCATCTTCGAACTCCATCAAGGCATTGACCTAATAAACACATACACCAAGTTTGAACATTCTAGCTCAATTAAAAGTTATCGTGTCCCAAAGCATCAACCAATCAAATTGCTTATCTCTGCTTACCCTAAGCGGAAAATGCTCATCTTCGAACTCCATCAAGGCATTGACCTAATCAACACATACACCAAGTTTGAACATTCTTGCCCAATTAGGAAGAGAGTTATCGTGTCCCAAAGCATCAACCAATCAAATTGCTTATCTCTGCTTACCCTAAGCGGAAAATGCTCATCTTCGAACTCCATCAAGGCATTGACCTAATAAACACATACACCAAGTTTGAACATTCTAGCTCAATTAGGAAGAGAGTTATTGTGTCCCAAAAAGTGTGACGGACAGACATACGGACGGACAGACAGACAGACAGACAGACGGACGAACCCATTTTAATAGTCCCCTGCTTTCTTCGAAAGGCGGGGGACAAAAAAATATATATATCACAAGGTATTGTATTATATGTATGGAAACCAATTTATTCTACTGAGATATTTCTAAAAAGGCACAACTACTGTAATAAGTTGATGTGTGCATAATGTTTCATGAAGATATCTTGAACGGTTTATGAGATAGAGCTCAGAATAATAATTGTTTTCCAAAAATTATGTAAATATTGATTTGGTGAAAAAACAACAATTATTATATCAGAGAAATATCTAATTAGCAAAAGGCACATCAACTGTAAAAGGCTAATGTACCAATATAAACTTCATTGCTTAACTGTTCTCCCAATACATCTTCATCAGAAAAACATGTATTTAGGTGATGTTTTGGTGAGATATTACAAACTGCAGAAGAGTTCTCATTTCAGAAAGTTGTTCAATAAATCATAACATATATATTGATTCCAATATACAGAAAGTATGAAATATCTTACCAATACAATTATCTGGATGTTTAGAATGTTCTGTTTCTGTTGATGTTCCCTGTTCACATGCTATACACTGTGTTTGTGCTAGTTCATCCTGGTATTCACCAACCGGACAATTTAAACATTTATTAATGTTATGATCAGCAAAGGTACCTTTTGTACATGCCACTGCAGAAGTATACAAATATATAAATATTGATCATAAAATTTAGGGTTCTTTTTCAGTAATTTTTTTCCCAATGCCATGATTAATCTAAATATTCATTTTTGTTTGAGAGTTCATTCTTATATTTGCATTTTGTCACCTTATAAACATTAATTCATTTTGGAACAAACATACAGTTAATATTTTTTTTCACATGAAAGGGGGAGGGGACCTAAGAATTTATTTATGTTAAGGCAGTTAACTCTATAATCACATTAATAACCTAATTGGCAGTTGGTAATCAACAAAGAGTAGACAGAAATGCTTCTGTTCGGCATTATCTCCTGCACAGCAAACTGTCTTCGTTACCACAGTTGGTGCAGCAAAATAGGATGTTATTGTTAAACCCTTTTTCATTTCATTTCAGATTCCTTGGATGACAGGCATTACTTACTGTCTGACTGAACAATTGTAAATAATAAAGTTTTTTTTCCTGTAAGAACAAACTACTATATTATTGTTTATTAAAAATGTACCTGTGATGAATTCTGTCGAAAATAAAAGCAACCACGTTAACTTTCAACTAAGAACTTCCTTATCTGTTGGAATATTTAACTGTGCAATGTTTTTTTTATTTTACTGGAGTTGATTTAAAAAATATTGGTAAGTTTTTTAATAGTCATAATTGAGTAGCTTGTTCATACGGAACGAAGACCCTTTTTACCATGGCTCAGATGGTAGACTGTTTAGCAACCCAACTGCCAATCTTGTCATATTTTTTTTTTATTAAAAACTAAATACAGTACATGTGAAAGACAGACAACTTACAGCAATAATTATTTTTAAAGATATGACCCTGGAGACAAACATCACTTTCTACAGAATCACATGGTGGTATCCAGGTTGCATTGCCACACTTCTCTGTTGAGACAACATGATCAACACTATTATTAATAGCCTCTTTAATAGCTTGACCACAGTTTCTAGCATCCAGTGGTGAATGACCATCAGTTGATATGTAATGTATCAACAGTTGTATTTTAATTGAGATCTGAAGACATAAATTAATAAAACTTTACTCCAGTCATTTAAGTTTATATATTGTTTAATACTGATAAGTGAATATAATTATCAAGAATTTATAGATAAGTAAATATATGGAACCTATTTCACATATTTGACTCTTTTTATATCATATATATCAGTACAAATTCATGTGGATGATAGATAAGAGTCAAAGAGTCAGTTTATCGGTAGATAGTATAATACATATCAACCAATCAAAATGATCCCAACGCATCAAAAAAAGAAAGAAGCTAGACTGATTGATGAAACCTGTTTATTATGTTTGGATACAGCAGCTGTAACTTATTTTATTACCTACCCTATTTACTACTGCCAAGGAACTATTACCAATAATACTTATATTGAGATGTGGTTCTTGACAAGCTCCTTGTATAACACTAATTAAATATTCGAATATGTCATTTGTCACCAAAGTTAAACAATCCGATGTCCCGGATCCATCTTTGGTAAAATTAAAAAATAAATCCAACTGAAAACTTGGATAAATTTTTTCTGAAAAACATAAAAGAACATTGCAATTAATTAAGTGTACAGAAATTGAAATTTCAAAATAAACACATGTATTATAGATATATCATAATCTAATCTCAGATAAGCTGAAATTCTTTTCTAACAGATTCAATTTTAAAATCCTGACTAAATTTGTGGTTAGTTTGTTTCTTTAAGGATATCTAAATAGATGAGTTGTTGTGACCCTGCTTTAGTTCAGATTTTCTTATTACCTGTGCAGTCAGGAACATAATTATGGGGAATCCATTTTGCATCAAATCTACATATATACTGTAATGGTTTATCCACAGCAAAATCAAAACCAGAGGGACACCTGACATCACAACTAAAACCAGCACCACCTACGACACCTGAACATGATTTATTACCATTATCTGGTGTTTCTAGACTCCAAGAAGGACAACTCTTGGCTATAATAAAAGAAAATAATTAATAACAGGTAAACTTTGGTAAGACCATATATTTATCATTTATTATTTTTCAATGAAATAATATATATCTTTTTGATCATTGATCCAAAATGTTAACAAAATAAGATTTGAACTTAAGGGCTCTTACTAATAAAATCTGACAGAAATTCAAAATTATTAACATGTTACTCTTGATCAGTTTTATTCATTAAAATATATCTGAGATGATCCCTATAATATGATTTGATAATAAGGTCATAGTACTTACATTGTGCCAGATAACGAAACTGACATGTAGCATTATTTCCTGACACATCAGTAACTATGGCTGTTACCAAAATAACCTTCATCATAGGTATTGGTGTTAAAGGTAGTGGGGAAAATGTTATACGAGTCAATCCACTATAATCATATGTACTGATATCAACGTCATCATATTCTATCAAAACTATTTCATTCATTGTGTCATATGTAATATTAACATAATAAGGACAAACTATATCAGGTGGTGTATTATCTGAAAAAATATGGAATGAACAGATGAAGTGCAAGCTGTGGAAATGATGAAATTCCACTGTAAGTAGTTGGATTACACAAATTCTCCGTTAACAACATTAAAGTTGACATGAGTTAACAAAACTGCTCTGATGACTATGATACACTGTAAGGTTGTGAATAATAATAATAATCCATGAAATATACATCCAAATTTGTTTTATTATTCCACTTGACAATGGTTTTTGTATTACGGTAAAAATATTGGTCATTTTCTAATTAAAGAAGTCAGAACCGTTAATCAAATTATAAACTTAAACTTGCATTAATTTCACACTATCTTTGGAGATCAAATATAAAAATAATTTTCTATGCATTCCAGCCCTTAGTAAAATATATTTCGTTTTTTGATAACTACCAGTATATATACTTACCAACTAGAACAACATCAATATCACATGAAGCTTCATTACCAGCTGAATCATTTGCTGTAACTTTTATTCTGGTGTCCTGAATGTAGAACATATCAATACTTATTAGACGATCTCTGTCATTGCTAATGATCTGCACTACTTAAAGCACTACTCGCGACTAATATTAATTTTTCCTTGTTTTTTGTACATGCTTTTCGAATTTATATTTGATGTGCTATTACCATTCAACACTGTTTATGAGAAAAAGAATATATACCTGTCTGAAGATATATGGTAGTCTAAAATTGTCTGGTTGGTATCTTATATTTGGTGGTAAAACAGAGTTATCTGTACATGTTGGTATGGTGATATTAACAGGCACTGGACCATATTTACCAAGATATACTGGTATTGGTTTAACAGGACAGTTAATGAACACTGGTTCCATTGTATCTATTAAAAAATAAAACAATACCAAATACAGATTGTGTGATTTTTTTAAATTCAAATTGGAGGCATTTTTACGAAGATCAGAAAGGTTGATAATTATACTACCTACCTATACATTGTGGTACTGATGAGTTCCAATAGGGTTCATTATTAATTGATTTAGGCATGCGTTCTGGTATTGATCGCTTTTGTCTGTGATGTGGTGCTGTTAAATAATAAGATTATAAAAATACAAGCCATAATAACATAAAGGACAGTTCTTAACAAGTCCCTCCCCCACCTACTTCATTCTAAGTAAAAATATAATATTTCACTGAGAGATCTGCTTAAACATTCATTATGTAAGAGCTAAATCTGCCAATTGCAGGTCTTTCTTTAGGCCTGAAATGTTATATGAACCATTAATTAGACATTAATTAACTTATCCAGACCATAATCAACTCTCGATGCCATCAATAGTCCGCGATATCTACTGGATTTGAATACATTTCGTGATGGATGATCGAGGCTAGGCCTAAAATTCAATCGCTAATATATCGGTTCAGAATGGAGCAATTTGACTGAAATTTTCAGCATATTCTCTTTACGTTATCTATTTTTTTTTAAAACTATTATAGCGAGAAGTGTCAGCTCTTTATCCAATCTTCCATAATGCCCCTTTAATTCCATCAATGTATGCTGCTCAGTGATGTTACTTCTAAGGAAATTGTCTTAAACAAAGTGCATTCATGTGTGTTCAATTTGGATGTTAAAATGTTATGGCATGCCATATGAACTTCAAAACTTTCTGGTTTTTTGGCCAAGAAAGTTTATCAATATTTACCAGTCTGAAGACAGTGCCAGTGAAGAAAAAACATTTTGTCATTCGAAGGGGACAAAAAGTGACGTTTATACCTAAATTTTCATTTTAATCATTTAACCATATATTTTGGCAGCATGTTAAGATAGAAATACTAACAACTTTCAACTGATTTTCCATAAAGGGACGATGTCATAACTACAAAAAGATCTACAATTTAGGCTATGTTGCGTACGTTCACAGCTGGTATATTACCCAGACCATGCCTTCATTTATGCTGTATATTGCTAGTGAAGACCCAATTTAATGAACATACCTCCAGTTTTTGTTTGAATTTGACAGGTTTGACTTGAAACATCAAATCTTCGGTCTTTTGAAAAACACTGCCAATCAGAATCGTGTTTTATGTTATTGGTGTTGATAAATGGGCTGATACAAGTCTGAGAAATGGCTGATAATATAGTATTTATAGACATAGGTAAATTATCTTGTACATATTGAGTCACTTCTTTAGTACAGTCATTTGTGTCTTTTATATTACCATCAACGCTGACTAATGCAAGTGGTATAACTATGTTAACCTGTAACTAAAACAATTAATAACATTTAAATATATACCAGCTTTTATTTGATTATGTGCATTATACAAAACTGGCATAATACAGAGTAGGATTGTCTACCTTACTTTGTGGGTACAATCATAGGCGTACAGGCTGATTTTCCTATGAACTAAAATGTTTACATTGACTGATCTCATAGTGTATTATTCATCATCACACCTTATTAATAATTATATTATCATAAACATCATTGTAGTGAAATTAAACATGTAATACTACAACAATCTGAACTGAAATCTATCTATGTACAAAACAGTACGATAGACCAGATAAGAGCAAAATGCAAATTGGAGACAGTTCATAATCAAATTCTGCACTGGTCAAAACAATGAACCACCAAATGGTAAAAGCCTCGGTCACAGTTGCAAGATTAAAATAACCGTAGTAAATTCTTGAAAACTAGAGAAGCAAATTTTCGGGAACTGCAGTTTGAGTTTGAGAATCAAAATCAGCATTGTTTGATTTTCTGAATTTCTGAACTCCGGTTGGTAATTGCATCACCCCACCAAATGGTCAATAAACGTCCCGGATTTTGGGAACTTCATTTTGCTGGATTGAATCATTTTGAAATTTTTCTTTTTATATCCACTAAAATTTTACTTTTTTCATCAATTGGCCACTGCCCAAAAAATTTGATGATTATTTGAAAAAATTTATTTTGCCCGACTACAGGGGTAAGCTGAAAGCCTTTCGCCACGCCCCAGCAGCTTGTACGTCTATGGGTACAACTACATTCCTTTATGCTCAGTACACAATTTGACTCAGTTCCTTACTTTTTTTAATTTACAAAATAAGACCATGATAATTTTTTCAAATAAAATTGCAGACCTACAATATACAAAACAGTACACAGTAACAAAAAGTAATTGTATTTGGCAAATACTGTAGATAGACCACTGATTTATCATCTTCATTTTGTCATCTTCAGATTTCAAATAGTCTTTGATATTCAGTGCTGATATACAATTTTGTTTGATAAAAAATGTAATTTAAATTAGAATTGGAATGAAGGTTAAAACTACAAACCTCTGGTTTACTGCGATCAATAATAATAGGTTTTACAGCCACGGCAATTCTTGATGGTGTGGAACACATTTCAACATTAATCAGCTTAAAAAAGATACTTTTGGCTAACTTTCGTAGTGGATCAATTGTGGCAGACTTTAGCATATCATAACAGTTATTGTCATATCTACCATTTAGTGTAATATTCCAGGTTGTCACAAGTGTAGGACTTTCGTCTGAAAAAAACAAAGTGTTTTTATAAATTTACATATTTTCAAAACATGGAATTCTTTGATATTTCTGGTTCCAAAAAACAATCATATTGCAGATGTTTTGAGCAATTATTTACCACTCTAGAATTGTCCGACAAAGGATTAAGTCAGTCAATCAAGGCAGATTAAGTAGTTAATCAAGGTAGGTGTATAGATGGTATAACTCGATAAATACTTTGATCACTTAATTACCTAATCAATCCAGCCTATTATCAACGATAATCAGGTTGAGTGGTAGTTATACACCCAGTACACTATATTAATTTTTGAATATTAATCACCATATGTCTTGATGTCCGATTGAGCTTATTCCTGGTCGGACAATATAGGAAGTTTGGAAAATAGCGTCTGACATGTCTGGAATATACAGACGAAATCCCATCCCTGGTTTAGCGCTCTATTATGATCGCACATCATCGTTTGGATGAAAATCCGAACAAATGTAGTATTAGTAATAATAATTCTGTTATCTCTTTTGTACAAGTCAGTCCATTTTTCACAACATTTTTTTTTTTTCATACTGTACTCAGATGTACCTAAATATATAATAGCAACAGTCTTTACATTAAAATAGTATATTTTTTATCTTTCAGATAAATGTAAATGACCGACAGACGGAGGTGACAACAATATATGTCCACATCGAAATTGGGCAAAAAATTACTAAATTCTAAAAGATGCCTACCTTTTATGCATTTATGGTTGACAGCATCAAGAACAAAGCCTGTAGGACAATAGACTTTCAAAGGATTGGATTCTGGACCAAGTGCTGGTTTTAAAGAACTACAGTTGTAAACATAATGTGAGGGAACAATTAATTTTACCAAATGACTGGAAGGACTTTTGAAAGCAGACCTGAGAATGCTGCTACATTCAACCATATCATTTTTAGTTAGATTTGCAGATAATGGGAACAGATGTACTGTAGCTATGGTATCAACCTGAAAATATGTGAAAAAACCCATTAAGCCCCATATTGTCAAATTCCCATGATATCTTTACTAATATTTGTGACTTTAGTTTGTCTCTCTGTCTGTTTAAGGTTAACGGCTACACTAGGGCTGTCCCGAGGCTGAAATTTGGTGTATGGGGGTAGATTGGACTGGTGGCGTTGGCCTACTGCTTCCGGTATTGGAGTTATGCTACTTTCAACCCATAATGCAGGGAAGGATTGAAAAGGAACTTGCAAGTATGGCAGGCTAAAGAAATTAATGTTCATTATCCTATAGTTTTTATATGCAAAGGTAGACTCTTTCCCTCTCCTTGGTAGTATAAAGTTATAGTATTTAGTTTAAGTTCCGGTATTTTTGACGTCAACCTATTCAAACTTCTTCAATAGTAATTGGTACATGTACAGTACAGTTTATTTATCAGGTATGTTTAATTATAATATTTATGGGGTATTAGTCTTTGTTTTAAAGTGGCAGCTATATTGAATTTCTGTAAAGTTTAAGTAGGTGGTTTTAAATGGAATAAGGTACATAGTTATAGCACTATTTAAAGTATTTCACTTTAAATTCATATTCATTCATATTTCACCTTTATAATCTGAAACCCATCTTTTGGGTAAGCAACGTGAATTTAATATTTAAGATATCATTATTCTCATTATTTAGTATATTTTCATAGAGCATTTAAGTATCAAGGAAGGGTTATGTTATACATATGGTTTTATATTATCATCATTATTACTTTTAAACTATGCATTAATACTATTTTTATACAATATACTTAATTTGTTATTTGTATATTTGTATATTTGCAGGGTTTTTACTTTGGCTGTCACCAAAGCCAATAAACTAATTTCAAAAAGAACCCTTGTGTGTGCTCATTTCAGCCCAGGCAATCGCCAATGGACCCATTTCAGCATGAACACAACATACAAGGACAATTCAGCAGATGTGCAAAACGAAAATATTACCTTTTTCCCATGGAGCTTAATTGAAAGATTGTGAGCTACAGAAATGTAAATATTTCGGCACTGTGGAAACTCTTGATTAATATGAGGTTCAAGATTCACAAGAACTTGTTTTAAACCTTGCTCATATTGTATCTGACAATAGTGTGGTATAACAGTATCCCTCTCCATACTTCCGGTAAAGGTTAGGATCATCCTTGGAATTGTCAAGACACTTAGAGGTCTTACTGTAGCATCATTCTCAGACTCAACACATATCCAAGCAGTTTCATTAAATATAAACCCCTTTTGACATCCCCAGTATATTGTAGAGATATTCATTCTATCTGGAGTGTAGCTGATATTATTACAATATTCTGGAACAACTTCTTCAGGAATTTCTTGAAATAAAAGCGCTAATTCTGTTTCAGTATAACTTTTTAATTCTTCACCACATTTTTCGACATTTTCTATTGAACTAGAACCATAAGATAATCCCAGTACAATATCAATCTCAGCCTGTAAAGAAATTAATGATATGAAATGGGGTTTAACGTCCTACTGTTCTGATCCTAACCTGGGCTAATGAAGACGGGCATACGCCATACAGTGTGCTATGAGGGAAATTTTGCCCGGGCAGCGGCACTACGGCCTACTCTTATATCGCATTCCAACTGCCAAGGGATCTTTTAGTTTTACGTGCACGCCAATATGTACACGGGACCTCGGTTTTTCGTCCCATCTGAACGACTAGACAGCTGTCCTTGTCAGGCCCTCCGTCCTGCATTACTGACAAGTGGGAAACCACGCCGGAAAATCTGGATGAACTTTCTCGGCCAATGCAGGGATCGAACATCCGACCTCCAGGCTAGCGAGCCAGCATCTTACCCACTTAGCCACGTGATCAAAAGAAATTAATAACATGAATTTACATTAAAAATCTTGCACAAGACAAAATTCTACAGTCAATGACAAATGATGTTTTACAGCAGGTTTGTTGGATCCCATCCATTTTCAATAGACAACATCACAAACGAACAGGCTGTGGGATTCCACAATAATTTCTAGCATCACGGTTAAGATCTATTAAATTTGCAGAAATAAGTCAAAATGTAAAACCCAAAAGAGAGAGAGAGAAATGGGGTTTAATGTCCACTTGACCCAAACTAGGTAATTTTGGGACTAACACATGGTTCAATTTTATACTAATAATTCGCTTGCGTGTATGGGTTTTTAGTAGTGGGTGGAAACCGGAGGACCCAGAGAAACCCCACAAAACCCAAAAGAAGGGAAGTAATCAGTCGGATAAAAAAGTGCTTAGAAAATATATAACAATGATGTTTTTGATTATTTAATAAAATGTTCTATTCCCCCCCAATCTAATAGATAGATGTAAATGAACAAATACTTACGAAAGATCCTTTAAATCTGATATTACCATGAATCAATAGCAGACTAATGTCTGTACTGTATGAGCATTGGGTTGTGCCTATTTCTGTGTCAAATCTTTTCATTAACAGATTCGTCTTAGCATTAATGCGGTTATGGACATTATCAATACATGTGATATTAGAAAATACCCCAGGTAACATATCAACTATTTCTAACAGGTATATAGGTTTCTTCACTGAAATAAAAACAAACACCAATCTTAAACAATATCTGAAATCATACAATACTATATAACTACATTCTGCATGCAGATCAACAGGTAGAATCCAAAGAAAGTTTTCTAAATATATGCACATCTAGGTGAAAAAAAAAAAACAATCTAAAGGGTTGAAAGGCATGTGAATCAATTTTAAATTCTAACTTGATTATTTATATTACAAGATGACTAGTCATCACCATCCTGCACCCTTGCACTTGTTTGGAATTCGTAAGGAAAAACAACTTGGAATATCAATGGGACTAGTCAGCAGATTCATACTCTGATCACGGTAGCTTGGCAACGCAGGGTTGCTACTCCCTGTAAGTTTTGCACAACAACCTTTCGCTACCTCAATCAGCTGCTGCTTGTTAAACAATAAGCTTATACATCAGAAAATAAAATATTATAATGGGTTGATGTTTGTACAAAGCTTCAAAAATATTTCTTGATCGGATAATGAAATATGCTCTAGAAATGAAACCGGGATGAAAGGACCGTCATCAGAAAATAAATAGGTTGATAAATGTAAAAGAAATTTATAATTAGCAAAAAGCACAATTACTAACATTGGTTAATGTTTGTACAAAGTTTCATGAAGATATCTTAAATGGTTTATAAGAAAAGCTCCGGAAACAAAATTGAACACCAAAAACTAAGTCAATTTGTTTCCATGGAAACACAAAAATAATTAAATCTGCGAAATTCCAAATTAGCAAAAGGCACAACTACTATAATAGGTTAATGTTTGTACCAAGTTTCATGAAGATATCTTAAATGGTTTATGAGATATACTCCAGAAACAAAATTGTACACCAAAAACTATAAATCCAAGAAATTCCTAACTAGCAAAAGGCACAACTACTATAATAGGTTAATGTTTTGTACAAAGTTTCATGAAGATATCTTTAATGGTTTATGAAATATGCTCTGGTCATAAAAAAAACAAGTCAAATCTCTTTCCATTCAAACACAAAAAATATAAATCCAAGAAATTCTGAAATAGTGAAAGGCACAACTACTTTAAGTGTACAAAGTCTCAAAACGATATCTTGAATGGTTTATGAGATATGCTCCGGAAATCGGACAGACCCACGGATAGACAGAGCCCATTTTAATATCCCTTTCCTAACTTTGTTTGGCGTGGGATAATTACATTTCTTGATGGAAAATCAGTAAATGATAGTCAACAAGTTATATTTCAAGACTTTTTCAGGTTCTTTGTGTCATTTTTATATAAATTGTATATTGGCAAACCGCCCAGATGGAATACAAGTGCAGAGTGAGACTAAATCTCTATCAGAGGGGTAACTCCGGAACTGAAAGTCGCAGAATACCGAAAAACAATTGAGTTTGTATGCTCATGACCCCATCACTTCACAATTTTAAAAAGTCTGATGTCTGAAGACTCTATATAGCATCCACATGGTTTTCAGAAATGGGGATTGAAGTGGGTTTACTCCACAATGGCAAATTGCAGAATGCTGAATATTAATAGGACTCATCTTCTCATGACCCCAAGGCTTCACACCAAATTTGAAAATATTGGCCAAAAACTGTAGTCTCTATCATGTTAACAAGCAAATGATGGTCAGACGGACCGACATGAACATGGCACAATACATCTGCACTAAAATGTTGGCATATAAAAATCCATTATTTATCCACACAGATGATAAATTACCTTCAATACGAATAGTTAACCACGTTAAAAACCAGCGGCTGCCAGGCAGGATACGCCCACATTTTGCAAGAGATGGATAGAGGACAAGCTAAACAAAAAGCGATTTTTCGTACTATCAAGTGCAATAATTCAGGAAGTTATGATCCGATATTTGCAAGATCTTTGGGTTATAAAGATATATTTCAAGTTTCATCAAAATCGGATCAACATTATGACTTCTAGAGGATCCACAACTTTGATATACCATATATTTACACTATTTGCGTAAGAGGGGCGGCCATTCTGTTCGGCAGTTTTGGTCCGATTTTTACCAAATTCTCACTCAACCGTCATTAGGGTGCAATGATGGCATATTCAAACGTTTTTTTAAATCGGAAAATAATCGTGACCTCTAGAGGGACCACAAGCTAAAAACGCGATTTTGCGTACAATCAGGGGCCATAATTCAGGACGTTATGATCCGATATGAGCAAATATCGAAAGAAACCAAGATCTTTGAGTTATAAATATGCATTTCAAGTTTCATCAAAATCAGATGAAAATTGTGACCTCTAGAGTGTCCACAAGCTAAAAACATGATTTTTCGTACAATCAGGGGCCATAATCCATGAAGTTATGGTCCAATATATGCCAATATCGAAAGGAACCAAGATCTTTGGGAGACAGACCAATATTTTAAGTTTCGTCAAAATCAAACAAGCGGTTGCCATGCAAGATACGCCCACATTTTGCAAGAGATGGACAGAGAACAAGCTCAAAAAAAGAAGTGATTTTTTCGTACAATCAAGGGCCATAATTCAGGAAGTTATGATCCAATATGTGCGAATATCGAAAGGAACCAAGATCTTTGGGTTATAAATATGTATTTCAAGTTTCATCAAAATCGGATAAAAATTGTGACCTCTATAGGGTCCACAACCTTGATATACCATATTTTTACGCTATTTGAGAATGAACGGCGGCAATTTTGTCTGTCAATTTCGGGCCGATTTTCACGAAATTCGAACTCAGTCGTCCTTAGGGTGTAACGGTGATATAATAATACGTTTTTTTAAATCTGATAAAAATTATGACTTCTATAGGGTCCACAAGCTAAAAACGCGATTTTTCGTACAAACAGGGGCCATAATTCAGGAAGTTACAGTCCGATATGCGCGAATATCGAAAGGAACTGAGATCTTTGGGTTATAAACTTACATTTCAAGTTTCAACAAAATCGGATAAAAATTGTGACCTCTATAGGGTCCACAAGCTAAAAACGTGATTTTTCGTACAAACAGGGGCCATAATCCATGAAGTTTCGATCCGATACATGCCAATATCGAAAGCAGCCGAGATTCTTTTGGGATAAAGCTATATTTCAAGTTTCGTCAAAATCGGACAAGAATTGTGACCTGTAGAGAGTCCACAAACAAATTGTGGACGGACGGACAGGGGCGACGACAATATACGTCCACATGAAAATGTGGGCGTATAATAAAAATTGTGAACTGTAGAGGGTCCACAAACAAATTGTGGACGGACGGACAGGGGCAAGGACAAAATAACCCAACATGAAAATGTGGGCGCATAAAAACAGAAAGTTTTCGTTAATGTATGGAAGGAATTTGCAGAATCTAACATAATTCCTTGAGTACCATGTTTACCGAAATATCAAAATTCTACTGACTACACTTGTCTATTCAGTCTTTCAGAAAATATATTTTAATGTTCAACAGTAGATTATATATGGATAAATCTTATAATGTGATTTAGTCTGGTACATGCTAGTAATAACTAAAGGTGTGTATACATTATACAATGTTATAATAGGAATTTCACTTCAAGCTTTTTAATTTGGCTGAGGTTTACAGTTACCATTAAACTGCTGAAAACAGGGTAGGCTTTATGAACAAGTTTTTAAATTATTAGTATAATAAAATGTTTTTAAGGTTTTTAAATTATTAGTATAATAAAATGATTTTTTTTAGGTTTAAAGGTGATAAAGTGATGTGTGTTAAAGCAAAGGTTACGTTTTTTTAAATGATCTGGGTTAGAAAAACTCTCACCTTCAAGCTTAATAGATCGTTTATGAAACTTTGGATGAATAATGCCTAAGAAATATTAAAACATTCTACATAAATTCCTGGCAATGATCTAGATAATGACCATATATAAGTAATTAAATTGTTATTAGCAGTACCATGGATTTTATTTTATTATATATTAGTCATACCATGTTCATAAAAGTATGGTTTGATGTCAAACATGCTTTATCAGTTGTTATGTTTTATGTACCAGTTGCCAAGTCTCACAAGGAAAATTAGTCTATTTTCAATGCAAGTGGTTAATAGACAATAACTAGCTACTAAAAATAGCTTATTTGTGCTATATATGCTATATAAAATGTAGAAGCGAACTATGCATTATTATTCCTGATAAGACAAACATCTTAAGAAACTGGAAGAAGTAAATACACAACGTGAAGCAGAAGTAATGACAGCTAGAGACAAATCCTAGACGATCACAAGGCTACAGAAATATGTAGTAAGAAAAGATGCATGGGTCATACGTAGGATGTGGCGACCGGTTTCCCATAGACGCTCTCCACGTCAGATAAAAGACCTATGGTGCTACATATTCTATTTGGTTGCCGTGACAGTTTCGACCTTTAGGGTAAGCAGAAAAGAGAGTATGCATCACACGTTGGATGTGGGGAGTTCTCCTGTAATATTTTCCACATCTAACCAGTGACTGCATAGCACTGCATAGTCTTACATATTCGATTTGATACCGTAACGCAGTTTCGACCTTTAGGGTAAGAAGTCACTTTAGAAGACGAATACATATTTGAAGACGTTAAGAAGAAAACCTGTACAATCCAGCAACAGAAAAATTCTGGTGGAAAAAAACAATCTGGTGGAGATATTCGAAAAATTGGGTAAATACATTTTGTTTGGAAAATTAAATGTGTTAAATTTGTTTAAAGACCAAATAATATTAATTTAAAGTTAAAATCTGATAAGAAACTAAATATTTAAAATTTAACTGTATAGAGAATAAATTACAGTCATTCATAAGTTTTGATTGATAGGTATATTAAACAATATAATATGACTGGCTATAGGTATCTATATTATCAGGTTAACATGACCTGTAGTAAATTTGAGTAAAATTAAAGTTAAAGAGAAAGTTTAGGGAGTAGGTTTTCAAAAATAAATGTTTTGATATAACTAAGGAATAATAATAATAAGGAAACGGAATAGGGAATAAAATAAGGAACTAATGTTGTCTCCGGATCGCAGTGAGAACGACGGCAGAGCTGAGGATGAAATTTGTGAGTGATTAACTCTAGTTTCCTAGTTGGCCGTGGTTTTTACTGTGATTCGTTAATTTGTGTTTTTTGTTGTTTCGTATACTATATAATTTTGAGGCCCTTAGTCCAGGCCTTAGAGTTGTTGTAATTTAACTTTTGATTAAAAAGTTGGGTTATGAAAGAAAAAATCCCATATGGTTAATCTAGGGATGTTGGTTATAGTTTTCCTGGGAAAAAACTAAAATTATTGGCTCGTTAAATTGTGAGATTATCGCAAAGTCATTAATACGAGTTTTATAGGAGGTTAAAGTTAAGAATACGACACTTTTTAAAAAAGTGGAGATATACGGTAAATTTTGTCCGTATATAATTTTATGTAATTAAATTTTGCTTTAGAAACGTAATATAAACGTTTAATATATTTTTGCTAATTGCTATATTGTATTCATTTATTAAATGTTGCTTTAAATTGTTAACAAAAGATGATTAGAATGTGTAATTTGACATTAGGTCGGATTAATATAAACAATAGGTTCTAACACTGTGTTAAATTTGACGTGTGTAAAAGTCACAATATATAGGATAAAATGGGATGTCATTCAGATAGTGGCCATATCTGTGTGTCATCCTGGCTAATGTAATAATAAAGAGAATGTTTATATAATGTGGAATGTGTTCTAGGTGAATGAAACTGCAGTCGTTTATTTGGGACACAGTTCTATTTTGGATAAATTATAGTCTGGTATTGTCATAGGTGTGAGCTCAGCTTGTGTCAGTGTCAGTCTGATAGGAAATGTTTATGTAATAATGGTTAGTGTTTTTAAAAACGAAATACAAAATTGTAAATGATTAGGTCAAAAAGGTCACATTACTGACTGAGAAATATAAAATAATAATGGCGGAATTCTAAAACACAAACGGAAATTCTAAAACAGAAAACGCAATTATAAAATTACTGATCGAGTTAGGTCAAGAGGTCAAAGTTAGTTTGAAGATTTATAATTAAAGGGACACATCAAAGTTTATTAATAATTAAATAAAATTTAATTTTAATTAAGAGTAAGATTTACAAATACTTTTTCGAAATAATAATGTTAGATTAATATCAAAATAAAGTTTAAAAAAAATAGTAGTAGTTAGTTCTTGGTCTGATGGCAATGACATGTTTGATTGACGGATAAAATTGTACAAACCAATCATACTTAGAAGAAAAAAAAAGAAAGTTTCAACTTGACACTATGGTAGCTGAAACAGACCAATACAAATCCAAGAAGAAGAAATGGTTTACCAGTTTACCAAATTGACATTTCCTGAGACAGAATTTAAAGTGAAACCTGAACTTTATAAATATTACGTGATGTGTTATAGTGTTTTGAAATTAGGACACTTGAAGATTTAAAAAAAGACAATTTGTGTTTTCTGTGTTTAGGCTTAGTGGATTTTCATAGGATTTTACAGTGATGAACTTTTTTTGGAGAACTTTTGCATGCAACTTTTGATTTTTGATTTTTGATTATGTGTGTTTGTGTTTTCACAGTTTTGTTATATAGTATAGTATCATTGATATTTGCCTGTTGCATGAATAATTATAGGGTTTAGCACATAGAAGTTTTTAAGAGTCTCCTACCTGTTCATTTAGCATAAATCTTGCAAGTGGGGGAGATGATATATGTTGATTTTCTAGATTTCTGCTACATTTATGAATAGTTATATAATTCTACAGATGTTGGTATGGTTATTGTAAAGGATTCAAGGGATCTTTTACCCAATACCAAGCAAAAAGTCTTAAAGGAAGGGACGAATGTAATAATATTGCTAGAACTTTTGCTCTTGAAATAAGATGGCTTTATATTTCATTAATTAATATCTTTGGCAAGTTAGTAATTTCAAACATATTCACATATATAGTGTGCACTAAATCAACTTAGTCTGTAATTGTCATATTGTTATATAAAAAAGAGTTATTTATCGAAAACATATGTCACTCATTTACCACCAGAATTACACGTGAGTGGAGTTATTCTAATTGCATCATTTGATTTAAAGTAACCAATCATTTTGTTAATTACACAAGTTCAGGGCCATGATCACGCTTTATGGTGCATGATATTCATTTACCTTTAAAAGAAACCGTGGAACCCTGTAAGTCAGACTTGCATTAGATTCCAGAGATCGAGGGTACATCTGAGTTCCTAGACAGCCGAGAGGCTGGATAGGGTGGAGAAGTGGTTTTAGCTATATAGTATTGTAATTTGTGCTATGCTTGTATACCTGTATTCAGTTATATGCTATATAAAATGTAGAAGCGAACTATGCATTATTATTCCTGGTAAGACAAACATCTTAAGAAACTGGAAGAAGTAAATACACAACGTGAAGCAGAATTAAAGACAGCTAGAGACAAATCCTAGACGATCACAAGGCTACAGAAATATGTCGTAAGAAAAGATGCATGGGTCATACGTAGGATGTGGCGACCGGTTTCCCATAGACGCTCTCCACGTCAGACAAAAGACCTATGGTGCTACACAATGTGAAGATGCCATTCTGCCATTCCCCTTATATAACAAAGATAAGTGTACTAATATTAATAAAATTATAACATTCTTGGAAATAACATTAAAATCCTCACTACCAATTAACAAATTACATACCAATCATATCTGGACCTTGTGTAGTGGGTGGTGGACCTTGCGTAGATGGAGGTGGACCTTGTGTAGATGGAGGTGGACCGTCAGTAGTTGGTGGCCCTTGAGTGGTTGGTGGTGGCCCTTGAGTGGTGGGTGGTGGCCCTTGAGTGGTTGGTGGTGGCCCTTGAGTAGTTGATGTTGCGACTTGAGTGGTTGATGGCGGCCCTTGGGTGGTTGATGGTGGACCTTGAGTGGTTGATGGTGGACCTTGAGTAGTTGAAGTGTTTGTAGCTATATCCTGAGTGTTTGTATTTGTGGTAGATTCAGTAGTTGTAATATCTCGTGTGGTTGTTGTATCTTCAACAGATGTAGTTTCTTGAATAATCGTAGTATCTTGAGTAGTTGTGGTATCTTGTACGGTTGTAGTATACTGAGTAGTTGTGGTTAATTGCTGTGTTGTTGTGAGTTCTACTGTTGATTGAGTGGTTGTCAAGGTTATTGGTAACTCTGTAATTGTTGTATAAATGCTGTCGGTGGATAATGTAGTAAGAATTTCAAGTGTTGTTGTTGCCATAGTGACTGTTGATGGTTCTATAACTTCTGGAAGTCTATCAATACAAGCTATAAAGAATGATTAAGCTTATCAACATATCAGTTTCGATTTTGCCAGCAATTTATATAATAAACTTTAGACTTGAATTCATACGAAGTCATACTTTAAGCCCATCAAAAGAAGGATCTGATGACAGAAGACTTACAAACATATGCACCTTAATACTTAATAGATATATCAACATATATATGAGGGATTGTCAGGAATGCTAACACTATAATCAATGTCAACCAATCCCACTGACAACGTTATAACACCCCCCCCCCCTCTACACACACACACAAGTCTGTAAAGTATCGCATCTACATACGTTAAAATCTTAATTAAAATTTAATATCACAAAACCTGTTTGAAACTTACGTAGCCCTATCTCTAATCTGTAGAGTGGTATCAAGAAAATGGGCCAGACACTGGGCTGAGGAAGACGGTGACAACATTTTCCGAACCCTAGTTTATGTCGGTGTATAAAAATGTCCTAGACCAGATATCTTAGTGTAAGGATATATTTTATATGAATTATTTATGTATATATTTTCAGACTTTTTAATAAAATCAATCATGTTAATTCCATTAACGTAGTTACCATGTGTCCCATGTCGGTCGTATACGTGTGAGCTACTGGAATAATATTTCTACGGACAATTCAGCTCTTCATTTGTCTTTAACCAGGTAAAAAAAAACTTCGATAATAAATAGCCCAAAAGGGAATATTTCATTAGTAAATAATTATTATGAGCCCTACTGATATTTTATTTATTTTGTGTACATCATGCTGACAAACTGGTATAGACACAAGAATTCACGATACCCTACCATAAGTAATAAAACATGAAATATAAATTTATTTTGCAAAGGTTTCGTGTGTTATTAAAAATTGACCGACAGTGAAGTCTTGGTAGTTACACCCCTGGTTAGATAATACCCTTTTACTTACTCTCAAAACAAACAGGATTGCTATTATTACACGTGCCCGAGTCCACCTGCAATTCTTGACCTGGTAAACAGATCCACTGATCGTCATTAAATTGTATACTATTCGCTACTAACTTAGCAAAACTACATCCCACTTCTTCTGACGATATCAGATCTAATACATTAGGATCATTTATGTCATCTGTTAATTTTCTTTTTATTTCACTGGCACACATGCACGCTTTAGACGTTGACACATTATCACCAGCAGAGATTTCAATGGTAACTTTTGAAGACAACTAGAAGTAAACAAAATTTTAATAAGGAAAACAATATGGGTTTCAACCACGTTTTAAAATACTAGAACAGAATTTTTTACCCCTTTTTTCTACTATACATATATCAGTGGTTACTCAATTTTATGTACACAAAATGCAAAATTTTAAAACCTGCTATACTGTAGAGCATAATATTATATTAGCATGATTAAAAAATAAAAATATATCAATTTTTGCTACAAATATGTTCCTGTCCATACAAAGTTACATGAATAAAATGTCTTTTGTGTAGTGGGAGGCTAAAAAAAAGTAAGTGTATAACTGGCGTGACATTGCCTTTCTCCCAATTCAAATTTTGACAACATAACAGAATATTTTCTGCCTACTAATCTCCATTGAAAAGACATTCGTCAAAACGTATCTATTAACCTAATGCCTACTATCTAGCATAATCATACTGATCTTACCCGAGTACTGTTACTAGTTGCAATAGCGTCAGGAAGAACGTTAATATCTAGATTTGCAATAGTTTCACAAAACATTCCATTATCAATTAATTCTTGTAATAAATTCTCTAATTCTCCACTGTAAAAATCCAAACAATAATTGGATATGGTGCCATTTGCTTGATGTTCAGCATTAAATTTCATTCTGTATTTAGGTTTTTCTAAAGCAGGTATGACTTGTCTTTCTGATATACACATCATGGATGAACTTCCTATGTAATAAATTATCATATCATACTCCACCAATTATAAATATTTTAATTAAAGGCCCTGCACACCAGACAGCTTGCATATCTCAAAAATCATAACTATATACTATTTTAATGTATAATCAAGTATGTCTATAAAACCAAACTTCATGAAGATTCGGCTGGCTTGTACATTAAACTATAGAATAATTATCATTACTAAAGATGGCAGTTTGAATTCAATAGAACACATATAAACTCTAAATGGCATTAAAAGTTTTGGAATGTCATTAGAGAGATAGTTTGCAAACTACATAATATTGTGATGTGCCTCTTTTTTAATGTGATTTATGACAATCCAGGATCCTTATTTTCCCTTCATTAATTGTTAAATACTCTAATCTGTGAGAAGGAAGAATATAAAAAATAATGTAAGCTCTACCTGTCAAAGTATATCCTTGTCTATCACACTGGAATTTCACACTAGACCCTACAGGGAATGTTTGTTGATCTCCTATTATAGAACCATAGAGTGGTGAACCAGGATGAGAACAACCTCGACCTATAGGTTAAAACAAAGTCTTGTTGTTCATATAAACGTAATGAAGAAATATTGAGAAAATGAAATTGGCTTCTTTTTTTCAATAAGTTAGTCAGAACGGTATACTAGAGGGATTGGCAACACTCCCCAGAAAGAGTAGCACACCATTAGATCTGTGTAGCTGCTTGGTCAAAAACGAGACGCAGACAGAGAGAGAGCAGACATAATAGAAGATAAGAGTAGTTCCTGCTGAACATGAAGTACAAACAGACTTATGTAAACAAAATTTTGGATGGTACACATTCATGTCATTCTTCAAATGCAAAATGGCCTTATTATATAATTAGACTTTTGTTCCTTGCCAGCTCCTCTGTCCTGCACAACTGACAAGATGAAATCACGCTGATAAATCCAAAGGAACTTTCTTCACTAACAAAGGAATTAAACCAAGTTATTGAGCCAGCACCCTATTCACTGAGCCACCATAGCTAACTTCTCACAAAACCAAATCAAAGAGGTTTATATAATCTATTAGAATATTAAAAGCCACTTACTGTTACATCTAGTGTTATTACCACTCCATATACCTTGTGCTGTACAAGTTCTTACCCTAGAACCTTCTACTTTATACCCACAATAACAGGAGAACGTAGCTACAGATCCAAATTGAGTACCAGATACAGATACTAGTCCATTACTAGGATGATCCAACATACCACAATCAACAGCTGAAAACAAATATTAAATATTGAAAAATGGTAGTAAAACCAATTGCCAAAGGTCATAATATTAACGCATAACCATCCCACACAGTAGCGATGGTATTATTCCTAAGCAATATTAACACATCTGCCATATTTTCATTAACCCATCTGCAACCTTCAACTGTAATATTTTATTCATACCAGCGGCTGCCAGGCAGGATACGCCCACATTTTCGAGAGATGGATAGAGAACAAGCTAAATAGAAAGTGATTTTTCGTACAATCAGAGGCCATAATTCAGGAAGTTACGGTCCGATATGCGCTAATATCGAAAGGAACTGAGATCTTTGGGTTATAAACTTACATTTCAAGGTTTCAACAATATCGGATAAAAATTGTGACCTCTATAGGTTCCACAACCTTGATATACCATATTTTTACGCTATTTGAGAACGATGGACGGCCATTTTGTCTGTCAGTTTTGGACCGATTTTCACGAAATTCGAACTCAGTCGTCCTTAAGGTATAATGGTGATATAATAATACGTTTTTTTAAATCGGATAAAAATTATGACCTCTATGGGGTCCACAAGCTAAAATTGCGATTCTTCGTACAATCAGGGGCCATAATTCAGGAAGTTACGTTCCGATATGCGTGAATATCTAAAGGAACCGAGATCTTTGGGTTAAAAACTTACATTTCAAGTTTCATCAAAATAGGATTAAAATTGTGACCTCTATAGGGTTCACAACCTTGATATACCATATTTTTAAGCTATTTGAGAACGAGGGGCAGCCATTTTGTCTGTCAGTTTTGGGACGATTTTCACGAAATTCGAACTCAGTCGTCCTTAGGGTGTAACGGTGATATAATAATACGTTTTTTTAAATCGGATAAAAATTATGACCTCTATAGGGTCCACAAGCTAAAAACACAATTTTTCGTACAATCAGGGGCCATAATTCAGGATTACGGTCCGATATGCGCGAATATCGAAAGGACCCGAGATCTTTGGGATATAAACATACATTTCAAGTTTTAACAAAATCAGATAAAAATTGTGACCTCTATAGGGCCCACAACCTTGATATACCATATTTTTACGCTATTTGAGAATGAACGGCGGCCATTTTGTCTGTCAGTTTTGGGCCGATTTTCACGAAATTCGAACCCAACCGTCCTTAGGGTTTAACGGTGATATAATAATACGGTTTTTTAAATTGGATAAAAATTATGACCTCTATAGGGTCCACATGCTAAAAACGCGATTTTTCGTACAATAAGGGGCCATAATTCAGGAAGTTATGTTCAGATATGCGCGAATATCGAAAGGAACCGAGATCTTTGGGTTATAATCATACATTTCAAGTTTAAAATAAATCGGATAAAACTTGTGACCTCTACAGTGTTCACAAGCTAAAAACGTGATTTTTGTACAATCAGGGGCCATAATCCATGAAGTTACAGTCCGAAACATGCCAATATCGAAAGGAACCGAGATCTTAGGGTGATAAACCTATATTTTAAATTTCATTGAAATCGGATAAAAATTGTGACCTGTAGACTGTTCAAAAACAATTGTGGACGGACGGACAGGGGCGACGACAATATACGTCCACATGAAAATGTGGGCGTATAAAAAACTGGCTGTGTGTATTCACAGAAAGTCAAATAATTGCTTGGGACTGGGATAACTATTTCTTAAGAACAATTAACTTATTTTTTCAATAAAATATATGATTTGATTTTGAATACGTACGTTTACATGATGGTTTTTCTCCTGTCCATTGATGTTGCTGTTGGTTAGTGTCTGGATTGGTAATTAATTGACATATTCGTTTTTGACTTCCTTCTATTTTATAACCATTATAACATGAATATGTAGCATGGCTACCTGGTTTCTGACTAGGTGAATCAACATAACCATTAGCTATATGATCTAATTTTGGACATAAAGTAGCTGAAACAAAATTGAAATATGTTAAAAATAGCTAGTAATTATAACAATTTCTCTACTTTTACATACTCTAGCCCTGATCAAGCTATAAGCTTTGATAGAAATCAGCATTACTGTATTCCCTAGTGTATAGAATGCACTGGTGTATAATATGCAGAGTGAGTTTGCTAGGGGTGTTCTTATGATGGTCTTGTGTTAAGACGCACTCTTCTTTGCACTCCCTGAATGAAGTGTGTCCTTGCTATATTATATTTGCAGATTTGAAACTCTAGAATACAGAATAGTTGTGTCAATAAGATGCGATGTTTCTTCCCTCTTAAGATCTCTTGATCCAATTTTCTTACCAATATCAAACAGAAAATTTACCTTGACACTGAGTTACATTATGAGACCAACCACCAGAACTAAGACAGGTAACTCTATTAGGACCATCTGTTATATAACTGGGTGGACAATCTATATAAGCTTGTGTAGGGTATATATATCTACCATCTGGTAAAACTGTACCATGATAAAATACATCACCTCTAACAATATCTAACTTTATACAAGGAGCTGAAATAACATTCAAATAATGTGCAGCAAATTAGACAGGTGCACAGAGCATTTTTATTTCTCTGACATTCATCGAAATAGCATCGAACAAACAAATGTGCAAAGCACTGCTATCGTTTTGGTCTCAATTCCACTCTATTCATATACATGTATGCCCCTAAATGAGCAGAAATATTGTCTCAGAACTTTTATAAAATTCTAGGACAATCCCTCAGACATCACGCCAAACTTGACGTTGTCTCCAATTCCTGAACACACCTCTGTTAGAATGCAAACATTATCATGATTTTTCCTCTCCTTACCGATAAGTTTTTGAAAAGGTTAACGGTACCAGAGTAATCATAAAAGTTGCATACGGTCTAATAATGCTGTTGATTAATTAGCAATTCTCTATTAAAAGTGTTCCAAAATGTTATATTGACCAATTGCTTGAAAAGTAATCAACATTATAAAGATCACCAATTCTTGTGACCTCTTACACTTGATAATGTAAATGAGGTAGAAGTCTTTTTATACTGATAAGACTTACCAATACAAGATCTGTCAGGTCTGAGCAATACACCATCAACAATAATTTCTGGCCCATCATATAGTTCATATTGAGCTGGACAAGAACAGATATAACTACCATTATTATTAATACATGTTCGATCACACCCACCATTATTACTAGCACATTCATTTATATCTGAAATCATTAACAACAAAAACCAAAACAGTTATAAGTTGATTATATAAACTGTTCAAAAATAGAGAGTTTGTAAACGTTTATTTGGTTTTAATCATGTCATAATTTTACCACTTATAAAGGAGGACTTATAGCTTATTGACTCAAGAAGGATGCACAATGGACACTCAACTAGAATGTCTGCATTTGAATCATGGTATGGACTGAGAAGAACTTCTGATTATCCCACTACTCAGGTGTAAAGTGAATGGAACAGAAAAGCTGAGTTCACCCAATCTACACATTGACATGCATGTAAAAGAATATTTCACAGCTGGAAGACGATGAAGAAGGGTCATGACTAGTAAAAAAAAAATTAAAATCTGAGAAATTTTCAACTAATTCGCCTAGTGTGTCTGCTTCGCCGAAGCATTTGCCCAAATTTAGAATTCATTAGCCAATCACCACTCATCATTGCCTAGTGTGTTCACCCATTCGGCCGAATAAAATTCGGTGCCGATTGATTCGACCAAACGATTCGGCTATATGCTTTGTACTTTAAAATCTGTACCTTTTTGTAAAATGAAAAATTTAAAGCGAAAATAAAAATTTCAAGAACTAGATTTAGATGATAATACTTACCTTGGCAAGATGTATTTGTGGATGAAGGATGTTGATAACCTTTATTACATGAGCATTGATAACTACCTGGTAAATTCTGACAATCATGATTACTACAATTATTATTAGCATTATTACTACATTCATTTATATCTGTAATGAGATAAACATGTACAATATTACTAATATAATACAAACAAACACAACCAATGATCAAAAAAAATAAAATGATTTATTTAGAACTAAACTGTTATGGTTAAAAGAAATACAAAAATTGAAAAAAGTATGTATTGCATTATGGGAATGGCACCATCTGTTAAGTAGTCCAGTTTATATTCGAGATCAGTTACCTAATTCATAAATAAACTAAATATTTATTCAGATTCTAAAACCAAAACTGGCAAAAAGGGATTTAGTAAAAGCAGAAAGTATCTTCGTCATTTTTGATTGTGGAAATATTAAATGTTCGGAACTTACCGTTACAAGATGGTACGGGTTTATCATATGTTTCTTGTGTTGTACATGTTAATATATTATCTGATGATGGTTGATATCCCTGATTACATGTTATACTTATAATCTGACCAACATTTACACGTCCTGTTACATTAACAACACCATTTAATAACCCCTCTATAGCTGGACAATGGAATGCTGAAAATATTTATTTTAATATCAGTTACAGTCTACATATTTATACAGTGTGTCATTAAAGAGTCTTTGCTCTACTAATCCTACACACATCATGAGTAACCTACTTCTCCCAATTATTTTTACCAACTTTGTTTCTTATAGATTTTATATGGAGAAAGCTTTGACTATTAAAGTTTAACACAAGGCACAAAATCTGATGGAAAAATATATCAATTTGAGAATAGAGAGAGGGAGAGAAATGGGGTTTGATGTTCACTCGACACAAACTAGTATGCCATTTCGGGACCAACACATGGTACGATTTCAGATTTCATTTCAATAATTCACTTGCACAGAGGAAACCGGAGGACCCAGAGAAAACCCACAAGGCTGGACAGGCGACCCTACTCCTTGTCACATACAACTGGGGAATCGAAACCATGCCACTTGACTCAATGACAGACCTTGTGATACAGCGTGCACATGCTAACCATTCGGTCATCCACCACGTACCCCACCCCACCCCTCTTTGAGAATAGAATAATAGAAGCCATGAAGTTTCGAACCGATGCATGCCAATAACTTTTGGAGATAAACCTATATATTTCAAGTTTCGTCAAAATTGGATAAGAATTGTGACCTGTAGAGTGTCCACTACACACTAAGTCTCAAATTATCTGAACTATTGTGCTGACAAGATGTTAAATTCCATTCCATACCTTGACATAGTGGTGTTGGACTAGACCAGGTTTTATTAGCTGTACAATAAGGTTGAGCTGAACCTACTAATCTATAACCAGGGTTACAGAAATACAATATAGAAACACCATAATGATTTTCTTCTGCAATAACACGGCCATTTTCAGGTGGCAATACTTTAGGACAATGAATAACTGAAAAAAAAAAACGAGTAATAATATCTAGTTCTATATTGTTAGCAGTTTCATCTAAACAGTAACAGTATTTACATAATTTACCATTCACATTTCTAAATGATGCACTTGTAAACTAGATGTTTCTCCTAAAACTTTCTCAACTGTAGTTTATTATGAGTTGAGAACTTAATGACTTTTATCTAAAACTAAACTGTGACCTGTCTCCAGTGTAATAAGATTGTACAGATTGATTATGCTTCAATGTCTGTTCAGGTAAATGATTATGCTTCAATGTCTGTACAGGTAAAAAAAAAAAGAAAGAAGCTCTTTATGATGTGTGGAACGCTAATAGACGGATGTATATCAACAAACCACCAACCTATTAATGAACCCCAACAAACCCACTGGTGCATGTAAAAAAGCAGGACTATTGTAATTAAACTTACTGTCACACCCAGGTACATGACTCCATCCTCTCTCTATACAAACACTTCTACTGTCTCCCATCAGTTCATGACCAACCAAACATCCATACACAGCCACACCACCATATGTGGTCTTATCTAAATCCACTAATAAACCATTTTCAGGAATCCTTGGTGAGCCACAATCAATTACTGGAAAAATAATTTTAAACCTGAGATATACAGACCTGTGATACAGATAGAGATGTGAGATCATTTGTTGAAAGTCGCCAGAAATAAATTTCAGAAATAACTTGTATTCCATGGAATTGTGTCATGCGTTCTTCTCATTCCATTAATAAATGCTGCCTAAAACAATATATAGACAATTGACATTAAATTGAATATCAATGGCAAGTTTTAATATTCAGAGAGATTTACTTACATATACAAGATGGATGTTGCTCATCAGGTCTCCATTGTCCTTCTATATCACAGATTTTAACAGTGGGTCCTTGTAATATGTAACCCATATCACAGCTATAACTAACTATAGTACTATAATCTGTACTACTAGTATTAATATGTAATGGAGGTAGAACTTTCAAATTCTCACAATCTACAAGAAAACAGACAGTCATCTATAGAGATTTATAAACCTTACATGTATACCAAACAATTTACAATTAAGTACGGTACTTTAAAAACAGAAATTATGACAAGCAAGTAATCACAATGTTACATATGACCATGCACACTAATTCAATCAATTTCAAAGAATAATTTTTGTCTTTAAATGAAATAAAATACCGAGAAGTTATCCCACAAATCAGTGGCATTGTCAAACATAACAAACCTCAAAACAATACAATATCTTATGATGCAGGATCAGATGATAGGTCAATCATTTCATTGATAACCTAACAAAGATGTGATAACCTAACAAAGATGTCATTATCTTCTAAATGCCTCACATTTTAAACAGAAGTATGGTACAGTGAGTTTATTAGTTCATCTTCTTATTAATTCCTTAGGTAGGGGCCTATATCAGGAAGCAATCGGAACAGAAAGGTTCAAATATTGTTACATTTACATATGCAGTAATATTCTCTGTATAATTTCTTCTGTTCCCGTGCATTCTTCTTTCTTTTTCAGTCTATAATCCATGACAAAACAATTTGTTTAACTGATAAAAGGAGTTTTACTCACTATAAGAGATAGCAGCCGTCCATCCACTTCTTTGTATCCGTCTGTCAGAAGTAAAGCGGACATAAAATTCACCATTACTTGACTGAGTTGGTGGTGGTGACATTTTCCCTGAGAAAGTACCTACTAAATCTCGACTAGAAGTATACACCTGTAAGAGAAGGAAACATAAAAATTAACATGAAATTGGTGAAGAATCTTCATAATTAGATACACTGTAAAATGTTTATGTTACACAAACTTACATGAACAGGATCAGAAGTGATTTCTGTATTAAAACCGGGATCAAATATAAGAGACAGATGTCTGTGTTGTGGATCTACCAATCTCCAAGAACAATTCACATCATTAGGATAATTAGTAACTCCATAACCGGGGGATTCAATTTTGGCAAAACCACTATTAATAATAACATCACAACCTGTAATACAAAAAGAATAAGAATATATCATATAATAAAAACAATATAATTGGTACATCTCTCAATCATCACTGCTGTATTTTACACTTTAAGCTCTTCAGATGAATTGGGGTAATCTCATTTGTCATTTCAATACATAGTGATGGCTCAATCTTGCGATTAACAACTTTTAAATTTTTAGATAGGTTTTTTCTGTAGTAACATCAGACTTCCTTGTTGTGTTTCCTTCGTGATCGTAATAAAACTACAGGTTAGATGGTTTCTACAACTTTATTGTTAAACTAGTTGGCTTCGAAGATCCCTCGTTCTCAATAAACAATAGATGATGGCTGCTCGGAATATCTTGGTGAGCTCTGATCAATTTTGCTCAAAAACCTCTTTTATAACTCCCTTATTTCTGCACGTTATAGACTGACCTTGGCGTTAATTTCCTTCTCAAATATGGAATATACAACCCCATTCTCCCAAGACCAGGGGGGAGAACATTACCTTGTTTGGTAAACACATGTCATAAACAAATAGAATTTGATGGATATTTTGACAATGGTAAGGATTTTACCATAATATCACTGGGTTTTTTTATATATATAAATATATCATTCTCTTTCATTAGTACGTGGGATTTGACTCTATAGATAGTGTTAACCAATAATTAGTTAAATATACAATTATGGTCGCAAGGACCTTAGTATTACACTTCCTTACGACAAAATGAACTGTTAGACGAAGAACTGTGTAGTGTATGGAGTGTTCACAAGGAAATTTGGACCATCTGTCAAACAATGGACACAGGTGACAACATTAATTGATGTGGGCATATACAAACAAATATAGGATCTGAATCATCACTTTAAATTTTAGTTAGAGAAAAGATCATACTCATAACTTCTAACATCATATATTATTACTGCATATAGTTTTTGATTAATATTGAAATCTTACCACTTTTGTAAGTTGCATTAAATCCTTTCATTCCATAAGCAAAATCGGTTCTCATTCTCACAAATAAAGAATTGCCACTAGATATGATAATCTTAGGTAAACTAGCACCAGTAAATCTTTCAAATACAGCAGATGACACATCATCACCATTTCTAACTTCAACCCAATCATACGGACTCTCAAACTCAAAATCACCAAACTAAAAAATAGTCAGACATTTTATAAAAGATAAAAATAATATTAATGTTCTGCAACCTGCACATTATAATTTTTGATCAGGCGCTTTAAACTACAAACTGATGTAAGAAGATAAATCTCATAATGTATTGCCAATGAACAGAGATACAAATATCGTCTTTTATTAACTAATGTTGAAGTTTCAAAGAAAGGTACCCAACCATGGTGTCACCGACTATTTTTACATCATTTTAGTCCGGAACATGAAACGGAAAATCAAGTAACCTTTCTTTATCAATTGCATTACTTACATTTACTTCCCATACAAAATAGTAAAATTTCCATACAGCCATCAAAACAAAACAAAACAAATTAGTGTTACTCAGTGTTAGTACAATAATCATATAAATATATTTATATAACTCAAACAAATCTGCAATATTTATAATACCTGTAATGTTACAATTTCCTCTGCATTTTGAGCAGTAATTGACCAATCACAGACTACATTTTCTGGATAATACTGAGGATATTGAGGTGATGAGAACCAGTTGTCTTGAGTTGTAGCTACCAGACTACCACCACATGCATCACGTTCACCATCAAAAGATACTATAAAATATATTGTAGTTCAACTTTATTCATAAACAGAACCAATTCATTTTAAGTCGAACAGTACAATAAATATTTGTCAATCAATATGTAATAAGTAATACATATGTTCACAAATCTTTATTTGAGAATGGTTTTGTACTTGATTTAGGCAGATTACTATGTACAACTTCTGAGTATTGATGTTTTTTTAAGATCTGAACAAAAAACCCAAAAAGACAATTCCTGTTCACTAGGATATTAGTGAGGAGGGAAAAAAATTACATCAAAATTGAGTTTTCCTAGAATATTATTTATTCATCAGAAATTATATCTACATGTGAACCTTTTGTATGTAGAGAACGTCTAGGTCAAGTAAATATAAATATAAAATTGGAATTCAGTAATAAAGATTAGCTGTTTTATAGTTTTTTAGTACAAGTGAATTTGTGGTATATATGATCATATGTGTAGAGGTTATTTTCAAAAATTGTTGGCTGTCACAAGATTGGTTAAGTACCTGCAGTAAATGTTGCTTGAAAACCTTTCTTCTCTTTAGATTGGTCAGCTTTCAATCTTACAACCAGAACATTTCCAGACGATAGTGGAACTTCTGGGGTTTTCTTGCCGGCATAACGACCTAGTTTAGTTGAATCGGTGTTGCTGCCATCATAAACATCCACGTAATCATATTTATTTTCTATGTCAAAATCATCAAACTGTAAAATAAGTTACAAATGTTAATTTTGAGATGTATCAAGAAACTCAATCATACAATTTAAACCATATGAGAAAAACTGACATAAACCATGTGTTATTGACAATGATAAGAGTTATGCTCTTTTATTTTCGGTAAACATGTCTGACAAGAAAAATTTTGAAATAGCAACACTGGTTTGTGGTCCACTCAACACAACAAAGTCGTTTTTTCGATTAACATAAACTTTATTGTTATTTCAATAACGCACACAGAGGTTTTTGGCATGAAAAACCAGCAGTTCCCATGCAAGGTACACCCACATTTTGCAAGAGATGGATAGAGTACAAGCTAAAAAAAAGATAGGTTGCCAGGGAATGAAACATACGCCCACAGCAGCTAATTCGTCTGGGCAGTCAACAAGTGTTGCCACATATTTTTTCTTTTGTCATTAATGAGAACGTTTACAACACATGAAAATCTGATTATGAGTAATAACCCATGAAGTAATTATCAGAAAACATTAGAATTTGTTTTGATTGTTTGTCTCATGACCTTAATCAATTTATATCAATTTTAGCCTCTAGAGCGTTTACAAGATTTTTCAAAGTGAACAAGGGCCATAACTCTGGTAATTATCGAAAATGACTAGGATCCTTCGTCTCATGGCCACTGTGTATAAATTTAAAGTAGCCTCTAGAGCTTCAACATATTTCATGACCTTAAACTGTGCGTATAAATTTAAAGTCAATCGGATATTAACTTTAGCCTCTACAATGTCCACAAGATATTTATCGGAAATTGTTAAAAATCAATAGCCTTCTGCGTCTCATAACCTAAACACTGTGTATAAATTTAAAGTCAATCGAATGTTAACTTTAGCCTCTAGAGCGTCAACAAGATATTTCAAAGAGATCAAGGGCCATAACTCTGGCAATAACTATCGGAAATCGTTAAAAATCAATAGGATTCTTCGTCTCATAATCTATAACGCTGATATTAAGTTTAGCCTCTAGAGCATCAACAAGATATTTCAAAGAGATCAAGGGCCATATCTCTGGAAGTTACTATCAGAAATCGCTGAAAATTAATAGGCTTCTTCGGCTCAATCGAATATCAACTTTAGCCTCTAGAGGGTCCACAAGTTTTTCAAAGTGATCAAGGGCCATAACTCTGCAAACCAATAGGCTTCCTTGTCTCATGACCTTAAATACTGTGTATAAATTTAAAGTCAATCAGATATTAACTTTAGCCTCTAGAGCGTCCACAATGACGAACGAACGGAACGGACAGGGGCCAACGACAATATATGACCACATTTCAATGTGGGCGTAAAAAAATTAATTTTTTGTACAATCAGGGGCCATAATCCAGGATGTTATGGTTTGATATGCGCAAATATCAAAAGGAACTAAAATCTTTGGGATATTAACATATATACCTATCAAGTTTCATCAAAATCGGAAAAAAATTGTGACCTCTAGATCTAGAGCCATTTTGTCTGGCAGTTTCACGAAATTCGAAATCAACCATTTTCTAAATCGGATAATAATTGTGACCTCTAGAGGAACCACAAACCAAAAACGTGATATCTGATATGCGTGAATATCGAAAGGAACCAAGATCTTTGTGTTATAAATAATATGCACTCCAAGTTTCATAAAAATCAGATAAAAATTGTGACCTCTAGAGTGTTCATAAGCTAAAAACGTGATTTTTCATATAATCAGGGGTCATAATCCATAAAGGTATAGCCCGATACACGCCAATATCAAAAGGAACCAAGATCTTTGGGAGACAGACCTATATTTCAAGCTTCGTCAAAATCGGATAAATATTGTGACCTGTAGAGTGTCCACAACAAATTGTGGACGAATGCACAGGACAACAGCGTATAAAAAAGAATCCAGAGAAAGTAGACAATCCTCTTCAACAACATGGTATGATCTATAGTGTACATAATAGATCACACACCTACATTAGACCAGATATTTTTCTTTAAAGGACAAGTTCCAGATATATTTAAGTGAATTTGACAGGTTAATTCAGTTTGAAAAACTCTTTCTAACCATTATCCTAGTCTTGTGCAACTTTCTGAAGTTCTCTGATTTTTTTTTTTTTTGAAAACAAATAAACTTTCAGTTTCCCTGTGGGGTTGGACAGTAGTTACCAAAATTGATTGCTATGAAAGTTTGTGTACCTTTTTAATAATCTACTTCTTGGTCAGAATAAAAACAAAGACAATATTTAATTGAATAAATTTAATAAGAACTAAATTTGGTAACAAGTGGCTTCTTGTTTAACTTGTTAAAATATGAAATTATATATTTTGATATAAATATTCTGTTTTATTGCGATACAATGGAAACAGACGAGATTTAAATCCCTTGGAGTTCGTTGTTAGTTATGTCAACAAAAACATTTGTGACAAGTTGGACTGTTTATGTTGGGTACTAACAGCTCTCTATTAAACAGTTTTCGAGGAATAAATTCACTTGCTGAGTTTTAGATGGTTTCGACAATATCATCGTCCAGACGAAATAGATTTGAGTAATTTATTGATCTTCAAGGAAATGATAGTGGTCCAGGCATTGTTAGCTATTTTGTAAGGCACAATTTAGTACGCAAGATATGACTTGACAATACATGAATAATAATGATGTGTGATAGTTTTAGCCAGTGAAAAAATTGATTATTTAGGTTCGCGGTTTATAATATGCTTTCCCATTAGCCGAAATGACCGCTACATGTGCCATTTTGAGGAATTCATCCAATCAGTGTTACTTATTCCCAGGTATGTGGGGCCCTACATGTGTAGGCCTATTATCAACTTCTTTAGATTGTGAAGAGAAGTAAACAACAAGAAATGACTTCTCTGATGATTTGTAGAATTTTATTTAGAGCTTATTAACGTAATTTTTTAATATATTTTTTTTTTTTGTGTTAAAAAGGTTAGCATGCGATTTTCGGGGTTCTCAATCTAAGCGTGCAGGTGAGGAGAAACAAGGAATCAATTCAACACGGCCTTACCAAGACACTTATACAATTTGAAGAATGAAATTCCTTAAATGAGAACAACGTCTCCTGGTTCTGCAAATCTAGATAATTTCCAAAAGGTTCAATATTTTATTTTTTGAATTTTCAGAAAAGCTAGTAGGCTATATTGTCACATTTTGGCATTTGGTTTACTGAGATATAATGTACTTTTATTTAAGGTGCCTTGTTAAATCTAGGACAATTACTTTAATAAATTTAATATTATAGGCTAAAATGTCTTACTGTCAGCTGTATTTTTGTTCCCACAGATGTTTCAATCCTCCATTGACAATCAGAATATTTAGGATAATTTTGGGGGTAATTTGGAGATTGGAATGTTCCATCTTTACCAGTAAGTGTTTGCCCACATTGATCACCTGAAAAAAAATAAAATGGAACCATATGTTAGTCCCAAAATTACCTAATTTGTGTTGAGTGGAGGTTAAACCCCCCCCCTCTCTCTCTCTCTCTCTCAGAAATAAATAAGGCTCAATTTGTATGGTGTTTTGCTTATTTTAAACTAAGGCAAACCTATGACATAACGACTGAAAGCAATAGATAGATTCCTCTGCAAAAATAAACCATACTTACTATTATCACAGTCTCGTTCATCAGATCCATCTTGGCAATCTTTTTCACCATCACAGATCCAATTCTTACAAATACAGCCTCGTCCATCAGAACATCGCTTCTGGTGTCTTTCACAGGTACGAATTTCACAAACAAATGGACGTTTTGATTCACAGCCATGAAGAATCCAGCGATATTTACCATATTTGGTTTCATTTAGACCAATATCACAGCATTTTTTCTCTCTAGATCCTAATTCAAAAAAAGGTAAAAATACGTTGTGACAGAGTTTGTATTCCAAATTAATGGCAAATATGGTTGTAATATAACTGCCAGGCAATGAAACATATAGGTCTACCTTTCAGCAGATCAGTTGCCAGCTTTGGTTACAATGTTTGTCTGAATTTTGATAGGGTTCACGTCTATAAGTAGATGAAGGGCAGGACAATTTGTACAATACTACCAAATAAAACCATATACGACCTTATTGTTGTGAAAGAATATGTCAATTATATCAGTAAATATTATTCAATATGTGTAAAACTTGCAAAAAATGTACAACAAATGTGATGGTGAATGTCTCACCATTCCAGTTATCTCCCTTGATTACTCCATACTAACAAATATTAACCCATACTAGTATGTGGTTGTAATTGGTAGTATTCAGTTAGTATTGGGTAAATCATCTTGCCATAGTTATATAAGCCCAGCAAGTTTGAAGAAAGGAGTTAACAATGACAGACAGATAGGTAGTATGACAATAATTTGACTTGTAGTGTACCAAAATGCTCTCATGTATAGCTATTACAATATTTTATGACACGCTCAATAATTCTGCAAATAATTGATGTACGAAGCTTATCTTCAATCAGTTTCATCCTTATTACCAGTAAAGCAATCCAAGTAACTAGAAGTGGTAGCTCTAGTTCAGCTGCCAACTCAGAACAGACTTGAACAAATGATAATCAAAAATATAGACATAGCTGTTGTGAGTAATGTAGGCACCAAATAACAATTTTGATTGTTTATATCGTGCTACATTCATGTGTTATGTTAAGATATACCGTACCTGAAAATGGTGAATTATCTGGTGACCAAAATCCTTCTTGTTCTGAGGCTGGTGAACCATTGGACCAATAAAAGCTACCTTTATCATCTTGTGTAAAACCTGTGATGGGCATAAATAAATATCATCATGACAATGATATATCAAATTTTTTTTTATTTCTACAATAAGAGGAAGGTATTCATTTTTTAATTTAAATACAATATAAGACCGTCAATATTCCAGTTGGCGGGATAAAATATATAAACATTTTCTAATATAAAAAATTATCATCCATTTTCGCGAAAATTGTCGTATCAAATTTTTACTATGATTTTGGCCTTCAGCCCCCCTCCCAACAACATACCTTTGCTTTTTCTCAAAACTTACTTTCCTGACTTGGTCAGCTTCAAACGGACACAGCTCAATCAATTTTTGCCCGATTCAAACAAACCAAGCACCATTTTGAACATATTGGAATGGGGAATGTGAAATAACAAACTCAATTTTCAAACTTTCTTCATCGCAATTTTGCCGGCACAGGTCACATAACAATATGATATAATGAAATCTATGAACTTTATATTACACAATTTCTTCTTTACTTTTTAGCTTCAAATCAATATCCAATCATTATTTTGTAAATTTTAATTGTATTCTTACCAATCCAAGAAAATAGTTCAGCTGCGTTCCTCCTCGGTACAATAGTATTTTGATTGGCATCTGTTATAAATTCTTGCAAAACCTGGCCTAATCCATGATTCTTGTTGAACCCCTGAATAATGGCCAATGTACCACCAAAACTGAGAAAGAAAAGGAAAATTTAAATGGAGAAAATCAAATTTCTAAAATACATGGAGAGCGATGGTTCTCAAAGTACTTCCAACGCATGTCCATGTTGTTGTTTATTTAGCAGACAAGTTCAAAATTAACGGATTTTGTCATGAAAAAAATATTTTGGACTGTAAATTTTCTGAAGTCCTTCATATATAGCAAGGCAATGGGATAATAACAGGCTACAGATGGCTGATAATCTGTACTCCCTTAGAGCTCTACTGATAGATGATACTATAAAAGAGAAAGAGTTGTACAAAGCTGATCATTTCCTGTTTGGTTTCGAATATAGAAGAGTAATTTCAAGCCCTTTTTATTAGATAGTTTATGCAAAAATTTTATTAGCAATATTCAAATATTAATCTGTTTGTCTGGATGACCTTACATGGCCTCTTCCCCTTCTTACAGTACTTAAAGCTTTATAAAGGCTTATCAGTGCAAATTATACAGTTTCTTTTCTAGTAAATCTTAAGGCATATGTATAGATATACTATAATGAACTTCACACTAAAAAACACCAAAATTAAATCACCAATTATAGGAGATAAAAATGTTGTTTGCCACAGTTTGTAAAAGTCTACACTGTCTGTAATTTAAATGGGTGTGTCCCAGAATTTAATTCAATATGTACATATGTTCAACATTATAAGCCCTAACATCTGTTAAATCTGTTCCTTTTCTGTATTCTTATCTATGAAACTTCTATAAATTTAAAGGAGCTAAATCTCTGTTCTTTGGAAACGAAAATGGATGGAAATGTGTCAAAAAGAACACATTAATGTAATAAATGTACATCATACTGGGTGGTGAGCATTATAATAGTACTGATAATATGCGAACACATTCAGTGAGAAGTGGCATTGGGTTTTCTAGAAAGAGTATATGAAACAACACCATCACTACTTTTATTTCAGTAGCCATGTGCAAAGCTACTGGTACTCATTAAAAGATATACACAAAGTGCAACAGTAAGAGCAAATATGTCATAAAATAACTATCAAAACAAGTGAATGGATCTGGAGAAACATAAGCCAGCCTTGAGACTACATGGGTGGATATACTTGAAACAATTTTAATCTTTCTAACGATTAAGTTACAGAAATTCAAGCCTGAATGTTTCACGCTACATATTTTAAAGGAGACAAATTTGAAACTTTTAAACTGTAGATGTATTTGCTGATTTTTACACTGTCGCTTAATAAATCTATCTCAGAATGGGGGATAGATTCTTATCAAGGGAAGGAACTAGAGTTACTGTTACCAAGATACTTATCAAATATTTACTGTTTGATGACTTTCACAGCAGTTTTTAAATAAACAAATTAAATAGGTCGCAAAAGCATTACAAATTGAAAAATGCACATGTGTCCTAAAATTCAGAGGCGGGTTGGTTGGCCAAATGGTTAACGCATACACGTTACATCATAAGATCTGTCATTGAGTCAAGTGGCGTGGTTTCGATTTTCCGCTTGTACGTGACAAGAGGTACAGGGATGCCTGTACAACCTCGTGGGTTTTCTAGAGGTCCTCCGGTTTCCTTCCACTGCTAAAGACCCCTACGTGCAAGCGAATTATTGAAATAAAATTGAACCATATGTTAGTCCGAAAATGAGCTAGTTTGTGTTGAGTGTAGTTGATGTTAAATCTCATTTTTCTCTCTCTCCCTAAAATTCATAAGTAAACATCCTTACTATCTTCCCCATCTGTTTTATATGAAATCATATTTATCAAGTGACCTTTTACAACAAATAAGAAAACTGTTCTTGCGAGATAACATTTTTCATGTGCACATTATTTCAGAACTTTATCACATTTGATGGGAGAAACAGTATTAATACTGTTTTTGATAAAGATTGCTTGATTTGCATTTAAAGAGCATGCAACAAAATTATGATCTGTAAACTTGGGGGACATATATATTTTATGCAGTCAGATTTACCGAACACTACTCTATTCATCTCAAGCTCGTGCTATATAATCAGAGATTTTTCTTTGATCTGTAAATTAGTCTTTATATTATTTTTTTTTAATTGAAATATAAATATTGTAGATTTAAAAATATGACAAGACAGCTGTAGTATGATTCTACATTTCTTATAATATAAAGACATTTCAGTTTGTGAACTAGATGTTTTAATCATATTTTCTTGATTTATTAGATTCACATTGTGGTTATTATTTCTTATTAAGGGCTATCTGGAATACCAAATTAACATTTACCCATAATCGATTTACTGAACCTAAACCTATCTAAGATTTATACAATTGAAAATACATATTATATATGTACCTGTTCAAGACACTTAGACACTTTATCAATTGGAAGTCAGGTCTCCCAGTTCAACCAAAGGAGGAAAATTCTTATAGTAAAAATCTGTTAAATTATTACAGATCTACAAATGATAGTTTCTTTTCATTTGTATCCAATAACCTACAGGCTTATTTCATAGAACTGATCTCTACTTAATGTTCCATAAATATTTCTACACTGACTAAGACACAAAAAATAAGTATCATTCATGTACTGTTATAGAGATTAGGAAAGGTGAATAAAAAACATATCTAGATTAAACTAAAGTACTAAGTCTAGATACAATGTATGAATGTTATTTGAGTTTAGAATGGGTGGAGGTATTTAACATTTTACACATACTTGTCAATAATGACTTTTTATTACATTATAGTATATAACCTACTCCCTATATATCATAGTGTCAAATAACAAATATTGCAGTATTTAAATAAGATACTTTTCATCATGTTCTTAAGTCTTAATCCTTTAATTGGCTATATCTCTTTCCAAAATCAGTTCAACTTTTAACAGAAATTTGAGAAAAAATAATAAGGAATGTAAGAATGAATTTTTTCCCCTTTTTAGATAACAGTACTGTGAAGTGCACCTGTTTAAAATCTTTACTTTAAAAAAACTGTTATCTTAATGGACCAAATACCTTGAAAAAGTCTCACTTTTCATTTATTTTTACACTAAATTAAAGTTTGTCTTATTTATTTTCAACCAGTATTATTATCACATTTCAATGAAAAACTCCTGGTGTAAGGTATCATGCTTTGTCAATTTAACACTGTATTGTAAATTTGAACACTTATTTAGGATATTATCAGGTGCTGTTAGTGAATGAAATAATGTGAATGAAACATTTCGAATGAATAATCTTTTTATATCTAACAAATTGAAATAGTCTGAACTATTATGCAGTGGTGACATCAGGATTTTCGAGCACAAGTTTTCAAAGACCTCTGGCAAAATATGGGATTTGGAGTATGCGCTAGCCTACACAGCAGCTATGACATGCAATATACCCCACACTTTGCACAAGATGTATGGAGAACTTGGTAAATCGGTAGTGTTTCACACCAAGTTTGTAAGAAATCTTAAAGATAGGTTGCCAGGCAACGAAACATACGCCCACAGCAGCTAAATCGTCCGGGCAGTCAACAAGAGTTGTCACATATTTTTACTTTTTTCAGTACTGAAACATTGATAATACACTAAAATCATTAGAATTTGTTTGGTTTTTATAAAGTTCTGCCTCATGCTAAAGTTTAGCATACGAAACATTTAATATCATGGATTTAGCTGATTCATTGAAAATCAATATACTCGTTCGTCTCAAGACCTTAAACTCTGAGTATCAATCTGAAGTCAATCGGATGATAACATAAGCCTCTAGAGCATCACACGACATTTCAAAGTGATCAAGGGCCATAACTCTGACCCTAATCTGAAAATCACTAGGCTTCTTCGTCACATGACCTTAAACACTGTGTATAAATTTAAAGTCAATCGGATATTAACTTTAGCCTCTAGAAAGTCCACAAGATTTTTCAAAGTGATCAAGGGCCATAACCCAGGCAGTAATTATCGGAAATCGCTGAAAATCAATAGAATTCTTCATCTCATGACCTTAAACACTGTGTATAAATTTAAAGTCAATCGGATATTATCTTTAGCCTCTAGAGCGTTCACAAGATTTTTTGAAGTGATCAAGGGCCATGACTCTGGCAGTAATTATCGGAAATCGTCGAAAATCAATAGGCTTCTTCGTCTCATGACCTTAAACACTGTGTATAAATTCAAAGTCAATCTGATATTATCTTTAGCCTCTAGAGCATTCACAAGTGATCAAGAGCCATAACTCTGGCAGTAATTATTGGAAATTGCAGAAAATCAATAAAATTATCGGAAATCGTCGAAAATCAATAGGCTTCTTCGTCTCATGACCTTAAACACTGTGTATAAATTTAAAGTCAATCTGATATTATCTTTAGCCTCTAGAGCATCCACAAAATATTTTGAAGTGATTAAGGGCCATAACTCTGGCAGTAATTATCGGAAATTGCGGAAAATCAATAGGCTTCTTCATCACATGACCTTAAACTTTTTTTACACTGGGCAAGTTCTTTAAATAAAATGTCAGTACCATTTTTATCTCTACTCAGCTAACTTCATTCTGTACAGAACATCTCATTTAATAAAAAGTAACATACGTGAATCTAAACATAACATGAAATGTGTTTCACCCTAACATAGGTATTTTTTAAAAAGTTGATGTTTCTTTCACAGCGTTCTACTTGACATATTCATAGCTTTAACATAAAATACTGTCTTTAGGATGACATATAATTCTGACATCACAATCTAGAGGTAATAAAATCAGAAATTGACATCATTTGTTTTTGGATTAAAGTGAGATTGGAAATTATGGTGCACATTCCTTAAGTAGAGGTTTCTACATATAATGGGAATAAAATCAGTGCAACTAATTACAAAAGCTTTTAAAATAACCATTTATTATATCAAAATCTGTGAAACTAACTACAAAAGACAAGTAAAACGAAATAAATTTTGAACTATATAAAAGGAAACGAAATAGGATCTGTGTTTTAAGTATTCATGGATTTATAGGGTGGTGCTGATAAGAGCACCACTCCCCCAACCCTTTAATCATCTTAAAGTCTCTCTATATAGATATATCTATCATGACATTTCTCCACAACATTCCCTGGTAAATTGACAAACTACTATGACATACACAAACAGCTATATTAAATAAGTACATAGTAAAGCTGATATCATGTACAATTTGCTCATCGAAGCATCAGAGACAAATTGCTATTATAAATTCTGTAAACAGAAAATATCTTTTTTTAATATTTTCTTTACAATCAATGCATCAATGTACATCAACAAGGCCAATAATTGCTATCCTTATGTAATGTACCTGTCACAAGAAGATGGGTTTCAGTTTGTTTTGTACATCCACTACATTATAATCTTAATTTTTTTTAAACAATTAAGTTGTATTATCATTTTACCTTTGACAGAATTTTTCTGCTTCATCCCAGGATACAGATTCAACAAATACTCGATAACATTTTCTTCCTATCTTATGCCAACCTGAAAAGTATAGTTTACATTAACTGATTATACCACTTTTGGTCGTTTTTATCATGTGATGGTCAGTATCATAGCAGATCAATATATTTTATGCATAAACATAATTAATTTACCAGGAAATCATGTATGCTCACAGATAACCAAGTACCCTGCTCTACTGTAAAGAAAAGTTTCTAGCCAACTATCAGATCATCATCGAATTATTTTGAAGTTTTAAAAAATGGACTGCAAGAACTTTATGTACTATAATAAAATTGTGAGCAACGGAGAGATACTACCATATTAAGATGTTATGCTACCACATTAAGATGTAGTTGTATAAAGAGACAGGTCTTAATAAGATGGGCAATAACTGTGCAAATTAATTTGTTGACATGCGACCAATAAGCACAGATTTTCAGTTCATGGTCAAAGTAAACTAGGCTGTTATATTATGTTTTATATATAAATAAGACAATACAAGTATTCAAAGAGATGTCATCATATTATTATGACATGACAAAAAATAAGATTCATTAAAATCATAAAATTTTAATATCTTTAGGTCATGATTATTTTGAAATGAAATGGGGTTCAAAGTCCTACTGTTCTGCACCTACCAGTGATTAGAAAAGACTTGTTCATGTGACTAATCCATCACTCAAACTAACACATTAAACTTTCTGTTTTAAAAAACAGAAACCCTTTTGATATATTTCTACCTTAAAGCATAATTATGTCATTTATTCGACCCACTGAAAGTGCAATCCTTATGAACAGGATAAATAAATATTTAAACTAAAACTGCATAATAAGCCCCCATAACTAATTTATTACAGACCATTGGTATTTTAGCACATACATGCATGCCTTCATGCTAGCCCTCTCCAATTCTTTGTTACACTATTTATAGTGATTTCTATTTTAAAATTTGAATCAGTGAAGTATGTGTCAATAAGTTAAAAGAACCTTGTAATATATATGTATAATGACTTTGATAAGAAATATATCTTCCCTGGTAGTCTGGGTACCAGTATGTTTTCAATCAATGGCTATATAATTAGGATCTTTTAATAGTGCCTAGGAAGAAATATATCTTTAAAAATATTTAAAAAAATATAAAATCTTGAGTTGAATAATATTATGTTAAGATGAATGTTAGCTATAGGTAGTAAATAGTGATGAATGAGACAAGGTTGAGTAGTTCACATAGGTAACAAATGTTTTATTCAACAATCAGTAAAATTTGTATGTCACCTTTTATATACGGTAGGGATCATTGCATGTAAATGTGTACCAGAAGTCAATTGTTCAAATGAAATCCTATTATTAACATTTAACAAATTAACTCTGCATTATCAAACCAGGAAAAAAATAAGAATGTTAGAATTAATAGAGCAGTTATTTTGGGTTTATTTTTCATTGATGTTTTATTGTACTTATTTACATATTTGACATATGTTGATCTGAGTTAAGATTGTCGACACACACAGCATTATCAAATAAACATGCATAATGTAAGATTTAGATAGAGGTGACAGTACTCACAATAATTGTTTAAAAATAGATAATGAAAAAGGAATATATTGAAAATTTCTGTCAAATTACTTTATTCTGAGCGAAGTTACGTTTGCAGATTTGGTCAACCAATCTCTTATTATTGAGGTGAAGCCTGTACATGAATTAAATATGGACAATTTTCAGAAAGGTGTTACCTATTTGATGTTATATTATTTGTGGTAATCACATATATTAGCCTATTCAGAATGACATTCTACATAACAAATTACCAAGAATTATTTTTGTTGAAGTCTAATTCTATCAAAGGTAATGGGAGCTTATAATTACCCTACCAGGACCTCTTTTGACTCAAAATGTGGCTGGTTAGTTTCAAAAATGATTAAGGACCCTGTTCGGACAGATTCTGGAGGCTGCAGCCTACCATAAAATCCATAGTATAAAAGTAGAAATAAGACTGTTGGAATAAAGATACATTATGGAAGATAATATAAAGAGTTGACTGTTCTCGCTATAATAGTGAACAAGCCAACAGTGAGGCCGATGTCCCCCGCCGAAATCACAAAATAAATAGATGACACATATTAAAGATACATTATGGGAGATTTTAATAGAGAGTTAGCCATTCTTGCTATAACATTTCAAAAATAGATGATGAAAGAAGAATATATTGAAAATTTCAGTCAAATTACTTTATTCTGAACAAAGTTATCACCATTGTAATTTTTGACTAGAAATAGGAGTCAACTATCATTTCACCGTCTCCGAGAATGGCCGATCGTTTGATTGACAAGCGTTAACTTCACCTACATAATCACGATATCAAGTAATGTTTTCAGTGGCTGTGGTACCATTAGCCTATTCGGTTTGAGATGGGGTTGCAATTCAATTCGTATCACATTTATTTTTACTACAAATTAAAAATAAGACTTTTAATATATAGATAATGTAGGACGGAGGGCCTGACAAGGACAGCTGTCTAGTCGTTCGGATGGGACGAAAAACTGAGGTCCCGTGTACACATAAAAAATCCCTTGGCAGTTGGAATTTGATATAAGAGTAGGCCGCAGTGCCACTGCCCGGGCAAAATTTCCCTCATAGCACACTGTATGGCGTATGCCCGTCTTCATTAGCCCAGTTTAGGAGCAGAACAGTAGGACGTTAAACCCCATTTCATTTCATTTCATTTAATATATAGATAAGAAGAGAAGGTTTGAAAGGAATGGACCAAATCAATGAGGCATAATTATAGCAGACTTCTTGTTAGCCTGCGTGTACTCTTGTACTGTAACTGGTAGGCCTACGTAACTCCCGAAGTAGACAAATAGGAAACAGTGATCCAATCAATGGGGCTGCAATTCAACTGGGGTGATGTTAGTTGTGATGTTTATCAATTTCCATAATTTTTCTGTAAACGCAAGTGACAAAAAAGCGCATAATACCGACATCCAAACTCTCATTTTAACCACAACTAAACATAATATCAAGGTCGTATATATCAATCTTTCAATCAAATTGACTGGCATGCGGCCTCGCTCAACAGCGGCCTCGCTTCGTACACTCTATCATTTAGCCTTGATCTAAAATTTCCGGGAGTATGATGTCAACGTAACGGTTAATCTCCGCTTACGACACCATTTAAAAATTTAATCAATCAATGAAATCCTGTTTAAATCCAAGCCATCCATGGGTCTACAGAGTTGATTTTGTGCTTGTTGTGTAAATAAAGACCTAATTTATAATTTCTATGACATCTGAAGCCTAAATAAAGACTTGCAATAACCATATTTAGCTCTTGCATAATGTATGTTTAATTAATCGCAGAATTGAACAAAAATTCAACTAACATTTTTTAATTCACCAAAAATCTTCTAATCATTTTTAATTAAAATAAGTTACATGTTGCGTCAACAACGTTTTAGTTTTAACATGACTGTTTCAATGTCTTTTAATTTAACACGAGGAAGAAATAATAAGAAAGTTTGATATAGAATTGTTGATAATATAAGAATACGTCAGAAACTTGAAGAATACAAAAAGGTGAATTTCAGTGCAAACTGGCACTCTTTTGTTTACAAAAATATCAAACATACTTTTTCTGTAGAGTACAGACTACTAAGAAAGAATGAGAGGGCAAAGAAACCTGTCTCCACCCATAATAGGTTACTAGATCAAGACCTTGACTGAAATAAAATATAAACTTTTAAAAGATGAAAATATTAATTACAAAACTAAAGATATATTTCTGTTGTGAAGAGAAAGTGTTTAAATCTAAATGCAATATTTGCCATTTACATTCAATTTCTCTATTCAAAGATTTTCAAGATACTGAGTGTTTTGTTTGACCCAATAATCTTTGAGCTATAAAACTCAGCAAAATGTCATTTTTCCTTGAGATAAAAGAGCTCCATTTATTTTTCACCAAAATCTGTAAATGAAATGGAATTTTATGAACTATTGCACATTAGAACGAACTGAGACAAACATATATTGTACGTTTTACATCAAGACATGGACAGAGTTGTATAAAACTAACACAGCAAATATATTTGAATTATTATTGCTTTTTTTTTTATTCAATTGTAGCTTTATTTCCATCTAAATGTGTAATATATCTGCAGGCTATTTGAAGCAATAAATATCATAAATAGTCATGTGTAAGATGTTATTTTTATCTTTATACACATGAACAATTAATTTAGATAGAAAAAAGCTACATGACATGATAATATGATGTCCACCTAAAAGAATAAATTACACATATCTCCTGTATGTAATGTAGAATTAGAACTTCCTTACAATTGAACTCTACTTAAAGAGTCATTAAGTCAGCATATTATTCAGCAAGTAGGAACATTTATTGTGTGTTGGGCCATGATGATGTCTTGGTCAAAGACAGGAATTTGTTGGTTGGAGAAATTGTTTTAATGAGTCCATAGTTCTCTTGCAGACAATTCACGACCGTGAATGCGCAAATTAAGTCGTGCAGTTGCAATAGCAAGGGATAGGGGAGTAACTGTACCACCTTTCTGTTCCTGACGGAGAAGTTCATTTTCTAATTCGGCGATGGCTTTCTCAGCAGTCAGGTTTTTGTTGGGATTCTTGGGGTAGTCAATTTTCAATCACAGATGGTATTGATTTAATACTGGATCGTTCTTTAATGCAATAAAACCCAGGGCCGTAACTAGCTCAGAGCAACGAGGGGGGCAGGAAGTGTTCTCGGGGGTGCTGTAATATTAACGGACAATGTATATCTATTTTTTTATAGTCGAAAATAATTATTGAGAATTATGTGTTTGAAAATTGCGTCCTGTTGTTCTGTCTGTGGACATCAAATAACAACATTCATTTGTGATTTAATATTCCATACATATACACCAGGACACCATTTACATAAATGTTATTATTTGATAGCTACAGAGATAACAACAGAATGCAAATTTCAAACGCATGATTCTCAATACTTAAATATATCAGATTCGCCGGTTCGCCAGAAAATGACGAATTGGTTGTGGTTCAATAGATGTATTGGGAATGCGAAGTTTACAGGCAACGGCGTCTAAGATTGTGGGCTGAGGCCATATCTGACGGATCATTTTGAAAGCTTTTTTTTGCCCTGCTTCAGCGTCAAGCAGGAAAGTGGCGAAATTGGGATCCAGCGATAACTAATATTGGAGATTCTGTTGTCAAGATTCAAAGGAAGGAGCATGTGTATTATTCGCCATTGGTGAACTTGCTGGCTTACACAAAAAAATATACACAATACAAAGTATGGGATAATTGAGTGAAGACAATTTATAGTAAAAAACGTTTCGTCCAAGCAACAACACTTTTGACATTTTTTTTTTTAAACTAATGTATACGTTTATAATGAGCGAAAAGTTTGTATCCCACTCCGGTTGCCACGCCAGTCAATAATGCCACACTTTGGACGAACACTCAAAGAACAACTTTGTCAAAGATGAATATTTAATAATCCAGCATGGTCAAGGAAGGAACCGGAAGAGAGAGAGACACTCGATTATGCAAGTCAATAATACATTCAGTACCATTCGACACTACTCGGTACTGGCGCTCAGCTAATGAAAAGGTTGCATCCTTAAAAATTAGTTACGATTTCATTAATAAGGCCCCAGGATTACGATTCAATGTTTACAAAATTATCATCATTGTCGATCATAAATTTGCAATATCTCTATTCCTTATTTATATATTTGCTTTTAGGGTCCTCGTAATGCTAGTTTTCTAAATTGTAGTGGGATTTGATTTTTATTGAGTTGGGGGGATTCTAAATAAGACACAAAAAAAGTCTTGCAACATGGGTCGATTATTTGGAAGGAAATTGAATTTTTGTCTTTTATGGTCTAGTGGGTACAGCTACCTTGAAAATTCTTTTTAACACTTCTAGTGCAAGAGACCTTTTTGGGGAATAAAATTCTTTCAATTGTATGGCAATTAGGGATATAAAAAAATTGTTATTTTGACATACCTGTGGGACACTTATGCCAAGGTACAGGTTTATGTTGAAAACTAATCTCAAATTCATAGCTTGCTCTCTGAAAAAACAACAAAAAAAAACATTTTATGACCACAATTAATGTAAATGTAGGCATAGTTCTTTGAGTTCAGTCTTCTTCACTCTGAAGAGGACAGTTGCCATTCAATTTCATGTAGCAAAACTGCAACTTTGAGAACAGTGGGGTAGGTCAATGTCACTTTGACCCATTTTCCACGTAGGCCTACATGTTTCCAAGCATGATTTCAACGGTTCCATTTGACAATGGAATTTTAGCCCCTGTTCAAGGCGATAAGTTATTAATTCAAGAAATCTACATTTTTAAACCAGGCCAGTAACTTGGGGGGCGCAGGGGGAGGCAAAGCCCCCCCCCCCCCGCCGATGACACTTCCCGCCCCCTCGTTGCTCTGAGCTAGTTACAGCCTTGTTTGAAACATAAAAAATAATACTGTTTTCTAGACAACGTTCTACTATAAGGCTCAATTACTTTATTTTCAGATTCAGTTACCAGCTGAAATTTAAAATTCCAAAATAATTTCATCTTTAATAAACACCTGTTTGTATTAATTTGATAACCTATTCATCCCACGCTTACAAATATTATTAGTCATTGTTATATACGACTAAGATGACATGGGCTAAGTGACAAACTCATATCTATCTTAGCCTATATTATTGCATGCTGCCAATCACTGTCTAATCTCGCTTTGCCTTTGGGGCGGATGTCTCAAAATGTTCTGACTTGTAAAAACTTGTAACCACTAACTGACGTTTGTAAACCAACAAAGTTTTTTTCATCATCACGATGCTCAGCCAGTTTGATACCACAATTTAAAACAACCCTTTGACATTCTCTTCGTCTACGGAATTATTCAAGGTCAAACTGTCAAAGGTGACATACACAGAACAAACTAGGCCTACAAACGGACTAGCGTCTACCAGTGCTTCTTAAGAAATAGAAGCTTGTTGCTTAACTTCTGTTTGAGGGTGATATCGCAGACAATTTTTAAACGTCTGCTTCTATGTTATATCACTTCCCGCGCTTTTCACAGCACGTGATAAGATTAACTAATATGAACACGGTTATTGATGTTGACGGGATGGAACGCGAGACACTTATACTATGGAAGACAAAAAGCAGCAAAAATCAGCAAAAATCATTGAATCGCAAGAAAAAGCAATTAAAATGATATACAGTTTTGCAGCCAGGTCCTGGTGTAAATTAAGTGCAGGCAGGAAGCTGTTGCAAACAAACGATGATTTTAAAGGAGAAATCCTAGATAATATAACTGGTTAATAATACGGGGAGGGTGCTAGTAGATCTTTTTCTAGTGTCACCATGGACCTTATTATAATACTATTATTAGATCCTTGGCGTCACACAACTACCATCTCCGAAGCTCTGTTTTCAAAGTCCATATAATAGGCCAGATGGAGTCGTGGCCGGTGCCAGACTATTTTGCACTCTTCGCAAGGCCTGCAATTACTTGCACCCCGAACCCCGCTACCAAAATAGCCACCTACTCCGATTTTCAAAAACATATTTTGTAGAAAAATGAAAAGTACAAAACTTGACCTGAATTTTCTTTTCGGGGACTCTTTTAAAATGGGAATTGCTCTTTAATTATAATAATTTTCGCAAAGGTAATGGAATCAAATTATTGTAAGGTGACAAATCAAGGGGTGTCTTTTGATCTGTTGACTGGAGTAGTGGCTCACTTATTATAAAGGATATCTTAACTTTTGTCAGTGTGCAGATATTGTTGAAGTACGTTTATTATGTAAATATAACTTATATCTTCTGTTCGTCTTCAAGTAACATGCCGACTACTTTAACATGTCTGACCAAACATTTACAACTGTTAACATCGCGACAGAGAGGACTCTCAATATCTAAGTACGTATAATATGTTAAATTCTTAATAACAAATAGAACCTATATTTGTTCAAGGTTTAAACTGTTAGAAGGGGACGATAAGCCGTTATTTTGTTACTACATTATCAAGTTTATGAGTATACTAACGCCCTTGTTTTTAGATACATATATCATATATCATTCTAATTCAGATAAAGAAAATATCAGATTGTGTCATGTCATGTCAATGTTTATCTATAAGTAATAGCCCTACATATATATATAATATATTATATAAAAGCATATTTTCATAGCCCAGGTTTTATCCAAAATGGTCTTGTGTAGGAGTAAGCTTATAAAAAGTTTCAAGTTCAAGAGATTTACAAGAGGTTTTACACTGAATATTTGTTGAAGTGTTCAGCTTTACTGATAACGTTGCATATTTTATATAATTTCTGGATAGTAAATAATGCTCTACAACACAAACAGTAATTATGTGTTAACAGTTTCTGTATATGTTATAAACAAACGCAAATGTGCAGCATGCACTTTTAGATAAATTAATTTGTTCCAAATAATACCACAGCTGGTTCGGCTGCAAAATTTCGAAACGCGTCTGATGTTATATCTGTGGTTTAACAAATAATCTAATTTTGGCTGACAAAGTGTCCAATAAAATCTCTCTAGAATGGTGTCTATAACGGTACAGTTCAAAAACCGACAAATATAATATACAAACTGATTCGCTGGCTGTGCAATTAAAACTGAAATTAGAAACTCTATGTAGCCATTCCGGTAAATGACGATAATGAAATGAAATGAAATGGGGTTTAACGTCCTTCTGTTCTGCTCCTAAACTGGGCTAATAAAGACGGACATACGCCATACAGTGTGCTGTGAGGGAATTTTGCCCAGGCAGCGGCGCTACGGCCTACTCTTATATCGAATTCCAACAGCCAAGGGATCTTTAACGTGCACGCCAATGTGTACACGGGACCTCGGTTTTTCTTCCCATCCGAACGACTAGACAGCTGTCCTTGTCAGCCCCTCCGTCCTGCATCACTGACAAGGGGAAACCACGCCGGAAAATCGGGATGAACTTTCTCGGCCAATGCAGGGATCGAACACCCGACCTCCACACAACATAATCAGAAAATAGTTTATCATGTTTTATTTCCAAATGCTTTATGACGCTTTTGTAGTTTTCTGTCTTAATAAAAAAAACCCCCCAAAACCCCAGCATTTTACAAGGTTACCGGTATAGTCTATTTCTAAAATCAAACAATCATTTATGATGATCGTTATTTGATATGAAACCTGTTCCTCTATCAAATCTAAGATCAACCACGAAAACACAATTAAAACCGTGTTTAAGAATGAAATTTGACTATTGGACGGAAATACAGTAGACCCAAGAAGCGCAAAAATACTTAATCAAACGCCTAATCGACAAGCCTACCTCTCACTAAATGAAACCTGACGCGTGCCATTCTAGACACACCCGTGTTAATCTATAATTTAAATGGTAGCAACGTATGAGAAACATGCCTGGTGTAAAATAATTGCCTGTATCAAAATTCGACATTACTATAAGATTATATTATATACTATTCAAAAAAAGTAGGGGATATTTGATTTTGGGGGCATAATACTAAAATATGCAAATGACTACGAAAAAAGTCACTATAGAACCTAACAGAAGAAACATTTCCAGTTACATGTGACGCCCAAACGCACCAATAGCTACCGCATGGAATGCAGGTGATGCTTGGGATCATCATGGGGGTCCAACCCAAGATTTGCACGACTCTGACTTTGAATGTTACAGTCATTGTGGCATTGAATTCCAGGGTGGAAACATCAGTTTAATTGTTTTAGTGACCAGAAAACAAATTTTGATATGCGTCGGCTTACCCAAAATGAAAGGTTACGTGCCCTTGGCATGCTACAGATCGGCACAACACAGGCGGTTGTGGCGCGGACGATGAATGTTTCTCAGTCTGTCATAAGCAGGCTATGGTCCAGATACCGTGATACACAATCTGTACAGGACAGACCACGCTCAGGTCGACCAAGGGCGACAACTCAAGCCCAGGATCGATTTATCCGTACCTTGGCCTTGAGAAATCGTGTCATCACAGCAAATCAGATCAGCGCTCGTCTTCAAACAGACACTGGTGTGAGAGTGAGTGGCCAGACGATTCGGAATCGACTGCATAGGGGTCACCTTCGCGCCCGACGTCCTCGCGTGATCCCTTGTTTGAGAGATCATCACATTCAGGCAAGACGTCGTTGGTGTAGGGATCGTCAACACTGGGATAATCGACGCTGGAGCAATGTGATGTTTTCAGATGAGTCAAGGTTCACTGTTGATTTTTTGGACAGACGTAGGAGGGTGTGGCGTCGTCGAAACGAGCGCTTCCAAGACGTTAACGTCATCAGACATGATCGATTTGGGGGTGGTTCTGTTATGGTGTGGGGAGGCATCACTGTTGCTGGAAGAACGGCTTTACATGTTGTTGCAGGGCGTGTTACAGGCCAGTACTACCGGGACAACATCTTGGCAGTCCATGTTGTGCCGTTCGCACGACGTCATGGCCGCCGTTTCATCTTCCAGGATGACAACGCAAGATGTCACAGGGCCAGGATCGTTACAGGTTACCTCCAACAACAGAACATCACCACATTACCTTGGCCAGCACTGAGTCCCGACCTCTCCCCCATCGAGCATGTCTGGGACATGCTTGGACAGAGGTTACGTCAACGTCAACAACGTCCTGCCAATGTCCAAGAACTTGCTGCTGCGTTGCAACAGGAATGGGACAATCTGGACCAAAATGACCTTAGACGTCTCATTAGGAGTATGCCACGTCGGATCAATGCTTGTTTGGCAAACAGAGGAGGATTTACCCGTTACTGACTTGGTTGTGATGCTGTGGTAACTTTGCTGTTTGACCCCGGGTATCATTTTACCCTTATAATGGTCAGTCTGTGCCTTACTTAGTCTAACGATCATTTGGAATAAATCGAGGAATGTGAACTTCATTTCATTTTGTCATTTGTTTCTTCGTCAGTTTCATTAGGTGACTTTAATAACACTTAAAAATCAAATATCCCCTACTTTTTTTGAATAGTATATTATATGTATCTCGAGTCTAGGTTGTAAATTTTGCATTCAATTATAA